TACATGTACAGGCGTCCCCGGGCTAGTCCCGGCTGTACAACTGCATATTTTAATGTACCTCGCACAGGAAGTACAACAAGCTCTCAAGATTTGCGCGCTACTTCTGCAAACGTATTAATTTAGATGAGTGTACAGCGATACCTACTGCGACAAGTGGCACGTTGCGGGAATACCTCCACCGTAACTTCGTTCCAGCTGTGAAGCTTTGCCATATTTAGCGTCTAAAATGGTCGGCAAAATAACTGCAAAGCACAATAACATCGTCAAGGAAAACATACAGCATCGCAATCGCTGAAGTCGTTATTGCTCGTGATCATGAGCTTGGAAAGAGGCTGGATGGACGCGCGCGGTGGCTGCAAACCATAATCTAGCAGAGCGAAGGTCTTCGACACGCTCCAATTTACCAGCAACCAGCAACACAAGGAATAAACCTGGCCTCTGCCATGCTGCTCTACCCTGCCATCGCCTTGGCGTTGGCTCTCGGACAAGTGTCTGCGGCAACTAACCTAACCTGGACACCTTGCCCCCTCACAAGTGACAAATCCATTGACGGTAGTTCCAGGGATAATAAGGCGGAATGCACCATGTACGCTGCGCCGCTGTGCCACCCCGGGATCTGCGAAACGCCCGACTCGGCCATCTCGACAGTTGATGTATTCGTGAGGCGAATTCCCGCTGCGAACCGACAACCCGATGTAGCTCCAAACGTGTGGCTTGTTCAGGGTGGCCCGTACTACTGGGACTCTCTGCGTAAGTACTGCAAGACCGTTGGAGCACGTGATGATTTCAAGGACTAACACTTGCTGTGGGCGGTTGTGTTCCAGTGGACATTCCGATGCTGATACTGTATAACCAACTGAAGGGCGAGGCGAACGTGTACACGATGGACTACCGCGGGGCTGGACAGAGTACGCCCTTGAAGTGTGCGGCCCAAGCCAAGTCGTCAAGCGTGGTCGATCTGGATCTGGAACTGGTCCCTGCATGTGCAAAGGAACTCGAGGAGAAGTACGGGGACCTCGCGGCCTTCTCGACCACCAGCGCTGCCATGGACCTGACGACTTTCATCTCGAAGTATGGCAACGATTTCAGTACGACCTTGTACGGAGTGAGCTACGGTACGATCTGGGTGGAGCGCGTGATGCATCTCAATCCTCCGGAGGTGACGGGGTACGTTCTGGACAGGGTCACCACGACGTCGCTGGATAACTTCTACAGCCTATCGGATGTAGATGGCGCGTTCGATGAGGTTGCCGACTCGTTCATGGCTTTGTGCTCAGAAGACAGCTCGTGCAACGCGCGCTTCAAGAAGAACGGACTTAAGGCCACGCTGCAACAATTGATGATGAAACTCGACAAGAATCCGAAAGCGACGTGTGCCAAGTTGCTGAGAAGTGTGCAAAGCGGCCAGGACGAGGACCCGCCATCGTTTGTGCTTCGCTATCTGCTGGGTGCACTACTTACAGACATGGAATTGCGAACGGTCATCCCGCCAATCGTATACCGATTGTTCCGTTGCGCGAAGAAGGACGTCGCCGTTTTGACCAATGTCATTGAGACCGTTAACCGGGTCTTTAACCCCACCGCCAAGGATATAGGCTCCGGATCCATCGTGCTGGATATGCTCGTGGACTTCTCGGAGATATGGGAAGCGCCTTCACCCTCCGCTCAGGAGCTCAGGACACGCTTCGAAGGTACGAGTATGAACAGCTTGCTGGCGTACAAGGATGTACCCTCGTACTGCGCGTTCTCTAAGGAAAAGTCGCCAACGTGCAACAAGCTCAAGGTCGGCAACTACAAAGGGAACGGCATCATTTACGAGCGCGACGAGTACTGGAACAAGGCCGCCAAAATCCCCGAGAAAGCCAACGTGTTGCTTATGAGCGATGGACTGGATCCGATATCGTCTCCGAAGTATGCACAGGCCTTGTTGAAGGCTCTTGACGGCCAGAAGAAGGAGCTCGTCACCTTCAAGTACGCGTCCGGTGGCAGTCTCATCGACAGAAATAACGAGCCAGCTTGTCGTATGTACGTCCTTTCCTCTTTCGTGCAGCACGATGGCGACTTGACCAAGCTGAACAAGACGTGCCTTGAGGACGAGGCGGCATTTAGCTGGACGATACCGGAGGTTTACCAATACCCGATGTTGAGCGCTAAGGACGCGTACGACGGTGAGTTCGACCCGAGCTTGAGTGCCGATGAGGCGTCTAGCGATGCCGGCGACTCATCTGGCTCAATGGAAGAAGACTCGCCTGGTCAGGCTTAAGCCTCAATTGATTCAGCCAGCAACAGTTACAGCATCTCTTCATCCGAAGTCGAGGACATGAGCGCAGCGGTCGAAAAGTCACGGGTGGCGGAACGGGGCCTGCGCTGGAAAGGTTTGGGGCCCTGGCGGACAGCAAGTCGGTAGGCGGAGTGCGTTTCTTGGAAGATGGCAGTAAATGAGTCGGTGGCGGATTGTGCAGCATAAAACTGTCGGGCATTCGGTAGGCTTCGCGATCACTCATTGACATGTGAATACACAAGCCCGTAGATTTGTATTCCGTTGCGTGTCGACAACGAACGCTTTCACCAACTTTGTCGTGGAGAGCTCCCATCTTCTCTGCTTACTCGTGACCCACAAAAGAAGATCCGAGGTTAGTTCGAAGTACTGCGTAATATATGTAGCACTGTACTACTTCGTATTGTGCTTTGCACGAACTTTGGCATGCGATTAAGGGCTCTAAACCAACGAGCAAATCCTTCCCGGTGTTCATATCTCGCAGCCTAACTCTAAGTTAAAGTTAAGCTAATCAACCGCCAGTACCAAGCACAACGCAGAGCAAGAACGGAGCGGTTGCCACTGCAAGAATAAATCGGTTGTCGCTGCAAGAAAACAAACTGATAAGGTCCCAATAGAATGGCGCCAACTCCTTGCATAATAGTAAGCACCGATTTCGGCGGGGACGTTTTCTTCTTCGCTCTCTTCGTCGTGGCCTTGCGCGTTAAACCAAGCTCGAAGTTCAGAGCACGGCATATAGTAGCAGTAGAAAATTTCTACTAGAAATGTTTGGATGTGCAAGAAACGCTGACTTTAAAGCTGCTTGCAGCTCCTCGATATAAAGACAGAGATGTTCTTCAATATTGTAGATGTAGTTCAGTATGATAGATCGCCAACGCATGTCAATCATCGACTACATGTAGAAAGCAATCAGACAAAGCGAGTGAGTTAGAATTAGAATGTCAGGGTCGTAGTATTGTCGGATTTACTCCAGCCATTCAACGAAAGTGAGCATAACTCAACGTTAGCCTCCTAACTCAATGATGGGCTAATCACCGTGATTTGCTAAAACAACGAATTACGTCGTTGTTTAGACAGAAGGCATGCAAGGCACAATAATACATGTAGTTATATTACGAATAATTGCAAATTATCACAAACTCGTAAACATTGCTTCATGGGCCATGATCATGGCGCGGCTTAGCTTGTTCACGTAATGCTGATGGGGCAGTACTGTAATACGTTGGAGCTGTTCTACTGTTGTCTTTTTATCCATGACGAACGCGGGTGACGGCCTCTCCGGTAAGTTTCAGCTGATAGTCCACCAGAATGCCAGATCGCACGGAGTTCGCCGTCGAAACAAGAACGCCCAACATGTCTGCGACGTCTTCCAACCTCATACCTCGGTTATTCCATGCCTGAAACAGGTGATGCTGCAGGGTCTTCGCGACCTTCTTCGCCTTCGAGGTGTTCATGAGTTTTTGGCAAAGCACCGCTATATCTGCTTCCGAGTGTGTCTCCCGCAACTTCGCGTAAATGAAGTCATCCGGATACCAGAAGTTTGCCTTCTTCGCTTTTCTGTACTTGGCAATGGCTGTGAACCACTTTGAGGCGGCGGAGCTGTTGTCGTCAAGCCTTCCAGTCGCAATGTCTAGCTTCTGGAAAAGTTCGTCGAGCTCTTTTGCAGACCAGCCACATCTCCTCTCTTCGTCTCTCGAGTCGTAGGACCACAGCAGCCGCTCCAACGCAGCTTGGTTTTGATCGGCTGCGCGGAGGTTCGGGCTCGCGTCGGTGACTTGGTCGGCTTGTCGGCGGGCTACGGCAGCATTGATCTCCCAGAAAAGGAAAATGACAGCCAGCAACACAATGCGTTGGGCAAACATAGCTGCTGCCCTGGGAGATTCTTGGTACAGCTATTGGGAGCTTCGCAAAATGAGAAGTGAGAGCAAGACGGCGGGGCACTCAACAAGCTCGTACAGTACCAGCCAGTCAAAAGTGCGCGATATAGTGCACGACGTGTATCCTGGGATGAACGAAACCTGGCTAACTGTAAAGTAATGACTGCATCACACCTTCTACGAGCCCGAGCCCGTCAACTTCAAAAGTGGGCTCCCCCTAATACGAGAGCCAAAAGTCGCACAAAATGGGCTCCCTCGTGGTAAGTACGAGATCAAGGAGCCCTGGTTCGTCCCCAGATTTAGCCTCAAATCTATGACGGGCTCTTCATAGTAATATCTGATTGGTCAATTTTACCTAGACTTAAGGCGAGCAACTTCGCGTGATCGATGCGCCACGCTAGAAGATCGAGCTCAAAGATCACCACACTAGAAGATCTCGCGCCGCTCATATGTGTACAGCCGCTCCGAGGTCACCCCAGCGTCGCCGATCGTCCTTCCTTCCCCTCAAGGAGGAGCCCTCTTTCCTATGCCTTTTCAGGTTAGAACGTGTAGATACTTCAATGACGGCCAATCATCAGCGAGATAGTTAACACAGGTGAGGGGGGAGCCCATAATGAGGGCTCACAGTTCTGGAGGGCTCCTTTCACTTAACCTATTGAACTCAAGAGCCCAGGAGCCCGAGCTCGCGACGTTTTGGGTTCACCCAAGAGCCCAGGAGCCCGGCTCTCCCCAGGGCTCGTAGAAAGTAATGACCCTCCGGGTCTGTTGCTGAGATCATCGAGGCGCTGTCCGCCTCGGCCTCTGCATCGGGTTCTGGTTCCGTCTCATTTGCTGAAGCCTTCAAGATGCTGTCGCCTGGATCGTCACGGCCGTCCTTCGGCTCTGCAAGGACATTGCGGTCGTCCCGTGAGTCTTCGGTGGCAGACGTCTCCATCTCAGTGTCGTCGAGTGCATCTTCGAATTCTTCGGCTACCGTCACCGTTGGCTCCGGCGCATCAAACGAGCTTGCAACGCCCCTCACTGCTAAGAGCTCCGTCGTGCTGGTGTACCGCAACTGGGTGGGACCTCGCTCCGTCCAAGGCGACAGCGCATGCTGGCGTGAGGCGCACGTTATGAAGAAATGCCCCTCGAACTACGACCGCAACGAGAAGACCAACACGTGGGCCGAATGCCCCATTGAGTACCCGGTGGAGTGCGGCATGGAGTGCATCCGCCAGAACGACGACTGCGGACGCGAGGTGCTCTACAAGGTCGGTTCCGTGTTCAACGTCGGCATCAACGGCGTCATGGACAACTGGTTCGGCAAGTTCTCGGAAATGGCCAAGGGCGTGCGGACCGCCGTCATGTGCTCCTGCATGATTGTGGGTGAGCTCCGGGCACTTAACCGCTACATCCGCTCCATTAAAGCTGGGGACCCCGAGGCGTCTCAAGACAAGATCATGGCGCTGCTCTATCAGTCGAACGCTGTGGTGGTTGAACTGCCTATTACGATCAAGCTGTGTATGGGCGGAAAAACAACCCGCCAATGGTGGCTGGCGGACTGCATCATGGCCACTTCGCAGTTCATTCTGTCCCAGGTTCTGGCCCACGACGACAGCCTCATTACGAGTTGGGAGATCACCAAGGGCGAGATCGGATACCTCAAGGACGCTCTCAGGTCCAACTCGACGTGCGGCCACGACCTGCAAGGCCTCATGGAGCGCACGTGGTCGACCGTCGAGGCCTTGAGGGAGCAGAACCCCGGCATTACCAAGGACAAGCTGCGCGTCAACGGACATCGTCAAGACGGACATCGCCACGGTGACCAGCAACTGCATGGAGCTACTGATGTCCCAGTCCGACGAGAAGACGGCCTACACCACGCGCGACAAGCTGCGCAAGACCTTCGGTGTCGTCATCAACGACCTCATCACAACGGGCAAGAGCGACAATGGCACGTCCTACAAGGCCATGGAGTACGCGTACAAGGTGGTGAACCAGGGCCTCAACTTCTGGGTCGTCACGGGCTTCGACATGAGCGGCGTCTCGAGTTTCATCTCCGAGTACTTCCAGTCCATCTGCGGCCCGACGCAGTTCATGGGCGAGATCGACGATGGCACGCACCCGGACACGCTGGGGCTCAACATGACCCAGAAGGCGTTCATGAACAGCACCATGTCCTGGACCAAGAAGGGCGACGGCCAGGTGATCATCAACTTCCAGAGCACCGACACCAAGAACGTGACGGTCAACATTATGTCTGGAGGCGACAAGATCGACGAAATCGACGTCGCTGCCTGTGGGAAAGCCACGTGGAAGTCAACTGTGGAGAAGCTGAGCGGCCGGACGCTGTATCTGGATCGCTGGCGCCCTGGTTTCCTGGGTCTTCCTGGCACCGGAGGTGCTCTTTGATGCTGGGGGTCCCTCATGCAGCTGAAGGCATTGTCTGATGAGTCGGCCATTGACCATGTTTCAAAGGTAAAAACTGTCTCGATCATCTCGTGAGTCACACAACACTACATCGGTATAACGCGCACGTGTTGACTCAACACATGTTACGGTAGGCCATAACGAAATCATCGACGTCTGATTCAGACGTGCCCAAGTCATCGATCATTTCGAGACAGTCTGAAGCGGTACAACGAAGAAAGAAGGGAATGTCAGATGAAGGTTCAAGGAAAGCTTGACGTCGCACTTCTCGGGAACCAGAGCTTCGTAGAGGTACCCTTGAAGTTGTCCACAACAACTTTAGTGCCACTGATATCAGCTCGAAGCTTTTCCGGGTTCGAAGACGATGCATATCAATTTAGGTTGAAGAGAACTACTGTAAACTGCACTTGGTCGACTCACTGGTAGCGACTGCTCCTACCTGTTGTCGGAAGGTGCGCCGACTGCAACAGGATGGCTGCTTCTGCCCCATCGCTCCATTGAAGCCCACCGGTTTTTCCGACTTGTTCACGATGCTCAATACCAGGGACTTCCTGGAGGGCGGTGTGTATGTGTCTAACTCTTAGAGCGTGTTCGCTACGCAGCTGGAGATGGATATCTGCAGGGAGCTGGTGCATCTCCATCTCCAGCTTGTTCGCTACAACAGAGCGCATCTAGGTAACATTAGCCAATCACAGTGCAACTGCAACGACTCGCTATACTTTGCTGTTTCTTCGTCGGCCGGGAACACTGTGCCCGAGACACCGGACGCGTGGCAAGATGGACCAAGCTGCCCCGAGAGCTGCGCCTCCGTTCCCGTCAGCCAGTGGCGACCTCGTGCTGACTGCTGCCAGTTTGGACATACCTGCCTCTGATGTTGCTCTTGCCCAGACTGTGTATGCGACACCGGCCACTACTCAAACGGAATCAGAAGAAAAAGACCAATACTGGTGAAACGTCTATCGCCACGAAGCAAACCTCCTTTGCGTGGACGACTGCAGCAGCTGATGCCTTGCTGCGGGCTCGTTTTGACACGCTCAAGCATCGTTTTCAGGGCACCAGAAGCGCGAAACAGCTTGCCGCCGCCTGGATGTTAGTCTCCGCAGAAACGTATCTAGTCTCGGGTCTCGAGGTGAAACCCCACCAGTGCAAGTCAAAGGTAAAGTACAAGGCCATCTATGATAACGTGTAGGATTTCTAATTGATTTTGTAAAAAGTAAAGCGCGGCTGCAACTTTCTTCTCAAAGCTATGCTGCCGTACTTTGGCAGCAGCAAACAGAACACCTTGATCTCGTAGTAAACCAGCAATCCGTAGGAAAGTCGGCTTGGTGCAGCGAAGATTCCAAACCAACTTGCATACGTGGCTGACTGTAGCATGAGGTCACGGTACGAATCTGTTCCTTAGGGCCTCGCGGCGCATCGTCGGATTCTCCTGATAGGAGGACTGCAACCTGTGCGACAGCTGAGCATGTAGCAACCAGTACAGCTTCCTCTTCGTCCATTGTGTGTGCGGCTGAACTGCCTCAATCTCCAGCTACTTTCTCCTTCTCCACCTCTGGGAGCTGGAGAAGGAGACGGGGTAATTCTCCAGTTGTCACGTTGTGAACTAAACTATTTTGACCAATCAAAAGACAAGAAATAGAGTTGATGAGAGGCCATCTCCATCTCCAGCTACCTAGCGATTCGCTAGTAGCGAACACGCTCTTAGAGCGTGCAGAAGAAGGCGGAAGGACACGGCAAGCAGCTGTCGATGATGATCACCCACGAGTAAAGGACGATAACAACCTCAGATTTGTACAACAGCAACCACACCAAACGGGCACGAGCAACCATAGCACGATCGACGATTGGGAAATGGACAGGTCGGTAGCTACATACAGAGCGACTCGCTCTGGGAAATGGACTGGTCAAAAGCTAGAGCGACTCGCTCTGAGCGAGACAACAATATTATTGAGAGCATGCGCGCGCAGGTACATGTAACACCTGCGCAAGAAATGTAATTAGGATGCCATGGTACTTATATTTATAGGATTTTACTCTTCTTATTTGCTACGTTGGCCGCGCGGATAATACGCTGATGTAGAAGCGCACGGTAGTTTTCGACATTGAATTTGTCGGAGCGCAACTTATCCATTGATCCACGTAGCGTATGCGGGCGATCTTTCATAATCGCTGTGGATATCTTTTCGATGAAGTAGAGCAGATAAATTCCACAATCAACAGAGTTTTGCTGCTGAGGCTTGGTAGGGGAGGCGTGAAAACTCCATTTAACCGACCCCACCGAAGCTGTTTCTGGGACCCGCTCTTTCGCCAACCACCACTGCATCAAGGAAAACACGTTTGCCGTGTCATGCGCTTCTGTAGCAGAATTAACGTGATACAGCCGAATGATGCCCCCCTGCAGGGGATTCTCAACCGCAAGAAAGCTCCAGTGACTATTACCGTTGACTGGAAGAATAACAAACCGGCACGATACCCAGTCAAATTTCCCTATGTGACCAGCGAGGCGCTCGTCCCTTGCAGCTTTCTCCTTCGTTCTTTTCACGGCTTGCATCGTTCGGAAAAAAAGAAGTTCCGCGGCAAAAAATCAAGCCATTCTCCCGAGGCATGAAACCATGCACAAAATAATCAACGGCGGACTCTGTCAAAGTCTGATGCGGCATTAGGCTGTCCAGGTACTCGCGATAGATCCAGCTCGTATCATCACCACGCGTCCACTCCAATATTGGCTTCTGCTTCCGCGACCTGGTAGCAGACTGCCTCCGAGGCAAAGAAGTCTTCTTAGCAGCTGTAGGCACCTCATACTCGCTCTCTTCGGACTCGTTACAGTCCATACTCTCGCTACTGCTATCGCTTTCATCCGATCCAGCGCTATCGTAGCTGTCTTCATCGCTGTCTTCATCTCCACAGCCATCGAAGGGTACAGCGCCGTCACCGGGGGTTACTCCATCATTTTGACCACGCTCACTGTCGACACCAGGGGTTACGCCGCCATCACGAGGGGTTACACCATCATCACTAGTGGTTACTCCATCATTTTGACCACGCTCACTGTCGACACCAGGGGTTACGCCTCCAGCACCTCCATTCTCCTCGTGCTCACTGTCATCGCCACGGGTTACACCGCCACCACCAGAGGTTGCACCGCCGTCAGTAGAGGGTACACCGCCATCGTCAGGGGGTACACGTGCTGTGTAGCGTTGGATAAACCGTTTTACCCATGTTACTTGGGACGCTGGAATATCAAAATCCGAGTTGAACTCTTCCAGGCTCCGGCAATAAAACATCACATCGTCAAACGTCCAGTTGTCCTCCATAAGCTCATGAAGGTATTCGATTACTCTCCATTCGTCCGGCTTCATCTTGTGTTTGCGTCCTCCGCCTTCGTTGCGCTTGCGATCTGAGCCAACCTCTTTGTCACAAACATCCCAGTAGCGTTTCACCCAGCCTCTCAAAGTCGATTCCTTGACCTCAAGCTCGACAGCGGCTTCTTCTAGAGTCCAATCTGGGTTATCTACTTTCCAGCGCCTAAGAAGCGCAAGCTTCTCCTTCTCAGTGCGATTCACACACACCCGCCTCTTCATTCGGAAAAGGGGGGAAGGGAGGGGGAATTCTCGAATGATAGTCAGCCGTATATGGCCAATCATTTTAGGTATCAGATTTAATCAGATCAAGAGTAAATATCAAATTAACTCGCGCGAGTTATTCTGAATCCAGCATTTCAGATTTACTCGCGTGAGTTATTCTGAATCCAGCATTTCAGATTTACTCGCGTGAGTTATTCTGAATCCAGCACTTTGAGGTTAGTATGAAGTAGTGCGTAACCGACCTACAGCAGGCCAGGGGGGCTGTATGAGGTTCGAACTGCAGTGCTTACATTCCCTAAGCCCGCATTTGTGGCGATACGCTTATACTTGAGCAGTGGTCGTGAGCTTATCCGGTTAACACGAACGCCTACTCAGCCAAGTTGCCTTTCCGTCCATTGTAGCTAGTAGGGGGTTGCTTGTACAGGATGACAGCAGCGAGGCCCAAGACTTATTGACGCCTGAACAGGACAAGCGCGAAGCGACAAGTGCCGAGCACGAACTAAGTCAAGGGATGATCCAAACTACACATGTGGGCTTTATATAACTCAATGGAAACCTCCATTTTGATATATGGAGAGTAGCACATAGTGACCATGTTGCGTTGGCGGCACCAAGTGCTAATAGTTAGCAGGTGCTTCCAAGCCGATGAATTCTAAATTATTAACACGGAAAACGCTGTTGAGAAATCAAGATAGATTCCGGGAGAGCTCGAAAGTGGTTTCGTTACGCGAGCCTGATTGTTCTACCCACAAAACCAGAAACACCTACAGAGTGGCATTCGAATACATACTATGTGAGTCATCAATTATATCGCTTTGTGACGTAGATGTTTGTAGATCTTGCGATATAAGCAAGGTCCAGGAAACAACTACATGGTATCGGTGGCAACAACCAGCCTCCATTTCAACATTACCGACCTTTTGAGAAGTACTTCAGTCGTAAAAGATGTAATATTCGTATAGACACGCAGGTAGCCTCTTGCCAGGAACTAATCTAACAAAAATTGCATGTCGAGGGCCGCCGTGGCCAGGGGGGACGGCCAATATGGCGTCTGATGGGGACGGGCTCGGTTGGAGGTGGCAAATGCTCAGATGTGGTTGACGTAGACCATACATATGGCCCAGAACTGGTAAATGTTTCTTGCCAAGTCGCCAAACCAGTCTGAAATGAATATGAGGGAGCTGCAGGACTTGGCTGTGCAATCGGCGGATAGAGAGGGTGGAAATGCTGTGGATCGAGCTGGAAAGCCACCCGGTCTGGTAAAGTCGCCGTGTAACCAGTTGGTCTGTAGGCATATGCTGTGTATCTGGTGTGATCTCGCGGACAAAGGTTGAAACCAGGCGCGAAGCCAATATCGAACCCAACCACACCAAGACTTTGAGCTGGGAAGTTATGCGCATGCCTCCTGAGATCGGACCCGGTGTGATTGCCATGCAGCGACACTTCGTTGGCTGCCAGCAGTAAACCGGTAGCTGAATCATCTACATGTACTGTAGCCGCACTGCTCACTTGTGGACGCTTCTGGCGCACACGCCTATCCTTGAATCTTAAATTGGACCCATTAACTCCAGGCACGCTGAGTCCGTAAGCCGCACGTCCACAGATTATGTGGGCACAAGACAGGAACTTCTTATAGAAAAGACATGAGCACTCAAACGTACTCAGGTGCACCGCCCACCCGCCTCGTGGCATGCCAACGTGGTGCGCGCGGCGTACAGACCATTTCACAGCTTCCTGATAGAACTAGGCAGCGGTAGCCTTTTCTGCATCTGTTAAACACTCGGGCGATATGATGACAGGAGTTTTGACGTTGCTGGGGGCCTCCAACTCGTCAAGGTCAGACAGTTCGGGGCGGTCTTCTAAATGATCACCGCAATGATACAGCACGCGAACAACCGACTTCTCGGTCGTAGCGTAAACGACGACTCGGTTGGTCGACACTAACGTTCGGGCCAGCTGCTTTGCACCTTGAGGCGGGGCGTTTGGTCCAGATGCCATGGGAGGTGGTACACACAGCGAATAATCTTCTGCAATCGTCAGTAGCTTCATCAACAAACGGCGCGTATCCGCTGCCTTGCGCTGCGTATAGCGCTTGATGCTGACATTAAACACTTCACATGGGTTGTTGGTTGTAGCGTACCCCCCTGGAGAGTGATAAATCTGCCATCTCCAGAAGCGGCTATGAATCCATTGTGCCGCGAAATATGTCAAAAAGACGTGCAACCTTCTATCGCATTGCCACTCTTGAGATACACGCCCCCACACCTCCCAAAATTCGGTTTGGTTGAGTGTGTAGTGCATGTCAAGAATACCACGATACACCATAGCTCGCACCGAATCTGGTAAGTGTCGCACTCGCTTGCGTACATTGTACATCACGTGGAAGAAACACATCAGGTACGGACAGGTTGCACATTCTGCAACATCCCGCAGTCCGTTCAATTGGGCCTCTTCGGCGTCGCCCATTATCACGTCAACTCGAAGTGGTCTTTTCATGTGGGTCCTGAAAATTCGTGCGAAAGCTCCAATCGATTCGTAATATTCGCGTCGGGTCCTTTGGCTAATAATGAAAAGCGCGGCTAGGTGGTAGCTTCGGTGGCGATCAGTGAAACCGCACGTAACAACAGGGTAACCGATGTCGCTCAGCTTGAAAGTAGCGTCCCAGTGAAAAATGAGAAATGCTTCGCGATCCTGTAGCGAACTGATGTTTTGCGTTAGCTTCAAGCTCGTGATTCCAAGTATCAACGGTTCATCATCTTCCCCGTTCCCAACAAAAGGGAAGCCGTGCTCATCTTCACGATTTCCAAACACAAACGCGGTGTCGGGATCCACTCCAGCAACGAAGGCCTTCGCCTTCACTAACTCCTTCGTCCTGACAATAGCGTTTTTAGACCCCTGCAGCCATTGATTGTACTTGACACTACGCAGAACTTGAGGGCACGTCGGAAACCCAAGCACTGGAGTCGGTATTTCAGGTGCACGAAGCATGTTGCTCCAGATTAAGCGTGGTGGTACCGCGTTTTCGTCCATTCGCTGGATGTAGTCGCGCATTTCACGTGTCACCTTGGCGCGAGGAGGTAACGAACACGCTATGTCTTCACGCGCGTGTGGCTGGCCATTTGTGTACGCAATCCATCGCTTCGAAGTCGGGCACTCATGCACTTTCCAGAGCGTTGCACATTTAACAGTTCCTTTGCAGTCTGGACTCTGACAGCGAAGGCGCCGCTCAGCCATCGAGTGGTCCCCGGGGCAAATCATACACCACCCAAAATATGGCAGAACAGCAAAATCGCTACCAGCGAAACTTGACTAACGCATCTTCGCCTTGGAACTCGGCTAACTTCGTCCAGGTGTGGTTTGGAGACATCTGAAGTGGGGACAGCTGCAGCTAGGTTCTCCGCAAACTCTCGAAAGGTACTGGCTTGTTGTGTTGTGTGGGGAGCTGTTGGCCGACAGTATTCTCGTGTAGATTACACCAAGGTTATGAAATTCGAATATTTGAAAGTCTGAGCGTCAGATTAACACGCGCGAGTTATTGTGAATCAAGAAATTCAGATTAACTCGCGCGAGTTATTGTGAATCAAGGGGTTTAAGCTGAGCCACCTACACGTTAGCGCTGGTCATCTCTGCGGTCAACGTTTTGTATGGTTGCCGTGCTTTGAAATACTGTAGAAATACCAGCCAGTTCAGCAACCAGCTTTGCAACCGTCATCTCATTGGTTAAAAATGGAGTACCAGGTAATGTGTCACTTTGCTGCAGCCCTTTGAGGTTGCTTTATGAGCAACGCGCTGTGAAATGAGCTGAATAACTCTTGTGCATGTAGTACTGACTGCGAGAACCTCTTTGCAATACACTGGCGTCGCTCTCGTAGGTGCAGTACCGATCGCGAGAACTGGTCACGGCCTTGTACTCCTTGAACGCCTTAACTTTCTTCAACAGAGCGGCAACAGCTCACGCGTGCACGCAGTACTGCTGCGGGGTCCTTCCATACCGATTTCATGAGTCTGTAGCCGCGGGACGGCTTCCATTTCACGCAGATTGCTACTGTGCGGTAGGTCTGGCGGGCTGGCTTTTATTTGTGTGAAGATGTCTGAAATGATGACACAGTTTGCTTGCGTTCTCTCATCTCAGTGAGAGCTGGATAGAGTGTGCCTCTGATCCTACCTAGTAGCCGTAGATGAGGAAGTGGTAGAGGTAGCCTGCATGAAATCGTACGGGTTGTGCAGCAGCACCAGGAGGGTGCGGAGCTAGATCTACGGGTAGCCCCGCCGCCATAACAGGCCTTCGGCTCCGACGTGACCTCCTACTACGTGCAGGTACGACAGTATGAGCTGGTTCGACCAGCCATGGAAAGCTCCAGGCCGCCGTAGGCGGTGCCACGGCTTGCCACGGTGATAAACGCTTTACAACCCTGCATAAACGAATTCACTTGTGTTTTGTGTACTGTCTCCCATACGGCGTCGTTTTGCTACCGTGACTTGCAGATTGTATAGGAGTTGAGTTGCAAAGCAACAATCCTGGTCGATACCATGCAGCTGGCCAATCAGAGGTGGCGATTTCTAGAAATACAACCTGGGTTGCGAATGGCCGGTAAGGTACCGGTATTAACAGCTCTGGCAATGAGGCAGAGCAACAGATCAAGCTTGGGAACTGACAATCTGGCTACCGGTACCGGTACGATGCTTGAGAAAGTACAGTTAGAATGTGCAGGTTGCTAGTGACCGGAAAAGTGGTTGTTGACGATTACTTTCCAGCTGTTGTGGTTGTTCTCGTCTTTTTTAGATTGCCATTGTCCCAAAGAAGGTTGTTTGTGGTGCAAAGTTGGTACACTGGCGACCCGGACTCATCACCCACGAGGAGGACAGGCACGTGTACAGATAAATAAGGCAACGCAAAACCCGGCACACATATGTTGTACTTTTTACAATAAGTAATTCAGATAGCCAATCAACTTCGGGATTTACACTTGACATTTGTATTCCATATGGTTTTAAGGACTTTCTTTAAATTTGTGTGTACTTTATGCTCCGTTACGTGTACTTTATGTCATTGCCTTGTACAATCTCTATCGTTCCTGACAGAGAATTCTGGCACATTTACTATGGAGAATGCCATTCAGTGGTGCCGGATTTATCCGTCGTTGTCTGTACACGTTTAATACATGTACAGGCGTCCCCGGGCTAGTCCCGGCTGTACAACTGCATATTTTAATGTACCTCGCACAGGAAGTACAACAAGCTCTCAAGATTTGTGCGCTACTTCTGCAAACGTATTGATTTAGATGAGTGTACAGCGATACCTACTGCGACAAGTGGCACGTTGCGGGAATACCTCCACCGTAACTTCGTTCCAGCTGTGAAGCTTTGCCATATTTAGCGACTAAAATGGTCGGCAAAATACCTGCAAAGCACAATAACATCGTCAAGGAAAACATACAGCATCGCAATCGCTGAAGTCGTTATTGCTCGTGATCATGAGCTTGGAAAGAGGCTGGATGGACGCGCGCGGTGGCTGCAAACCATAATCTAGCAGAGCGAAGGTCTTCGACACGCTCCAATTTACCAGCAACCAGCAACACAAGGAATAAACCTGGCCTCTGCCATGCTGCTCTACCCTGCCATCGCCTTGGCGTTGGCTCTCGGACAAGTGTCTGCGGCAACTAACCTAACCTGGACACCTTGCCCCCTCACAAGTGACAAATCCATTGACGGTAGTTCCAGGGATAATAAGGCGGAATGCACCATGTACGCTGCGCCGCTGTGCCACCCCGGGATCTGCGAAACGCCCGACTCGGCCATCTCGACAGTTGATGTATTCGTGAGGCGAATTCCCGCTGCGAACCGACAACCCGATGTAGCTCCAAACGTGTGGCTTGTTCAGGGTGGCCCGTACTACTGGGACTCTCTGCGTAAGTACTGCAAGACCGTTGGAGCACGTGATGATTTCAAGGACTAACACTTGCTGTGGGCGGTTGTGTTCCAGTGGACATTCCGATGCTGATACTGTATAACCAACTGAAGGGCGAGGCGAACGTGTACACGATGGACTACCGCGGGGCTGGACAGAGTACGCCCTTGAAGTGTGCGGCCCAAGCCAAGTCGTCAAGCGTGGTCGATCTGGATCTGGAACTGGTCCCTGCATGTGCAAAGGAACTCGAGGAGAAGTACGGGGACCTCGCGGCCTTCTCGACCACCAGCGCTGCCATGGACCTGACGACTTTCATCTCGAAGTATGGCAACGATTTCAGTACGACCTTGTACGGAGTGAGCTACGGTACGATCTGGGTGGAGCGCGTGATGCATCTCAATCCTCCGGAGGTGACGGGGTACGTTCTGGACAGGGTCACTACGACGTCGCTGGATAATGTAGATGGCGCGTTCGATGAGGTTGCCGACTCGTTCATGGCTTTGTGCTCAGAAGACAGCTCGTGCAACGCGCGCTTCAAGAAGAACGGACTTAAGGCCACGCTGCAACAATTGATGATGAAACTCGACAAGAATCCGAAAGCGACGTGTGCCAAGTTGCTGAGAAGTGTGCAAAGCGGCCAGGACGAGGACCCGCCATCGTTTGTGCTTCGCTATCTGCTGGGTGCACTACTTCCAATCATGGAATGGCGAACGCTCATCCCGCCAATCGTATACCGATTGTTCCGTTGCGCGAAGAAGGACGTCGCCGTTTTGACCAAGGTCATTGAGACCGTTAACCGGTTCTTGAACATCACCGCCAAGGATATAGGCTCCGGATCCATCGTGCTGGATATGCTCGTGGACTTCTCGGAGATATGGGAAGCGCCTTCACCCTCCGCTCAGGAGCTCAGGACACGCTTCGAAGGTACGAGTATGAACAGCTTGACGACGTACAAGGATGTACCCTCGTACTGCGCGTTCTCTAAGGAAAAGTCGCCCACGTGCAACAAGCTCAAGGTCGGCAACTACAAAGGGAACGGCATCATTTACGAGCGCGACGAGTACTGGAACAAGGCCGCCAAAATCCCCGAGAAAGCCAACGTGTTGCTTATGAGCGATGGACTGGATCCGATATCGTCTCCGAAGTGTGCACAGGCCTGGTTGAAGGCTCTTGACGGCCAGAAGAAGGAGCTCGTCACCTTCAAGTACGCGTCCGGTGGCAGTCTCATCGACAGCAATAACGAGCCAGCTTGTCGTATGTACGTCCTTTCCTCTTTCGTGCAGCACGATGGCGACTTGACCAAGCTAAACAAGACGTGCCTTGAGGACGAGGCGGCATTTAGCTGGACGATACCGGAGGTTTACCAATACCCGATCTTGAGCGCTAAGGACGCGTACGACGGTGAGTTCGACCCGAGCTTGAGTGCCGATGAGGCGTCTAGCGATGCCGGCGACTCATCTGGCTCAATGGAAGAAGACTCGCCTGGTCAGGCTTAAGCCTCAATTGATTCAGCCAGCAACAGTTACAGCATCTCTTCATCCGAAGTCGAGGACATGAGCGCAGCGGTCGAAAAGTCACGGGTGGCGGAACGGGGCCTGCGCTGGAAAGGTTTGGGGCCCTGGCGGACAGCAAGTCGGTAGGCGGAGTGCGTTTCTTGGAAGATGGCAGTAAATGAGTCGGTGGCGGATTGTGCAGCATAAAACTGTCGGGCATTCGGTAGGCTTCGCGATCACTCATTGACATGTGAATACACAAGCCCGTAGATTTGTATTCCGTTGCGTGTCGACAACGAACGCTTTCACCAACTTTGTCGTGGAGAGCTCCCATCTTCTCTGCTTACTCGTGACCCACAAAAGAAGATCCGAGGTTAGTTCGAAGTACTGCGTAATATATGTAGCACTGTACTACTTCGTATTGTGCTTTGCACGAACTTTGGCATGCGATTAAGGGCTCTAAACCAACGAGCAAATCCTTCCCGGTGTTCATATCTCGCAGCCTAACTCTAAGTTAAAGTTAAGCTAATCAACCGCCAGTACCAAGCACAACGCAGAGCAAGAACGGAGCGGTTGCCACTGCAAGAATAAATCGGTTGTCGCTGCAAGAAAACAAACTGATAAGGTCCCAATAGAATGGCGCCAACTCCTTGCATAATAGTAAGCACCGATATCGGCGGGGACGTTTTCTTCTTCGCTCTCTTCGTCGTGGCCTTGCGCGTTAAACCAAGCTCGAAGTTCAGAGCACGGCATATAGTAGCAGTAGAAAATTTCTACTAGAAATGTTTGGATGTGCAAGAAACGCTGACTTTAAAGCTGCTTGCAGCTCCTCGATATAAAGACAGAGATGTTCTTCAATATTGTAGATGTAGTTCAGTATGATAGATCGCCAACGCATGTCAATCATCGACTACATGTAGAAAGCAATCAGACAAAGCGAGTGAGTTAGAATTAGAATGTCAGGGCCGTAGTATTGTCGGATTTACTCCAGCCATTCAACGAAAGTGAGCATAACTCAACGTTAGCCTCCTAACTCAATGATGGGCTAATCACCGTGATTTGCTAAAACAACGAATTACGTCGTTGTTTAGACAGAAGGCATGCAAGGCACAATAATACATGTAGTTATATTACGAATAATTGCAAATTATCACAAACTCGTAAACATTGCTTCATGGGCCATGATCATGGCGCGGCTTAGCTTGTTCACGTAATGCTGATGGGGCAGTACTGTAATACGTTGGAGCTGTTCTACTGTTGTCTTTTTATCCATGACGAACGCGGGTGACGGCCTCTCCGGTAAGTTTCAGCTGATAGTCCACCAGAATGCCAGATCGCACGGAGTTCGCCGTCGAAACAAGAACGCCCAACATGTCTGCGACGTCTTCCAACCTCATACCTCGGTTATTCCATGCCTGAAACAGGTGATGCTGCAGGGTCTTCGCGACCTTCTTCGCCTTCGAGGTGTTCATGAGTTTTTGGCAAAGCACCGCTATATCTGCTTCCGAGTGTGTCTCCCGCAACTTCGCGTAAATGAAGTCATCCGGATACCAGAAGTTTGCCTTCTTCGCTTTTCTGTACTTGGCAATGACTGTGAACCACTTGAGGCGGCGGAGCTGCTGTCGTCAAGCCTTCCAGTCGCAATGTCTAGCTTCTGGAAAAGTTCGTCGAGCTCTTTTGCAGACCAGCCCCATCTCCTCTCTTCGTCTTTCGAGTCGTAGGACCACAGCAGCTGCAATGCGTGAGCTTGTGCCTGTGCTTGAGACTGGACTTGATATATGTGCTGCAACTACGCCTCCGTCTGCGCTTGCGATTCGCGCACATGCTCGTGGGTATAGTGAAGTAGCTGCTGCACTCGACGGTCCATCATCAACCCCTGCTCTTCGTTCCGGCGTAAACTCTCTTGAATTGCTTGGGCTAACACCTTCATGCCTTGGTTCTCTTGCATCATGATGAGATTTTCTTGCAGAGACAGCTGTCGATTGCGGCGCACCATGCGAACTCCTTTCGGCATTCAAGCACTTCGATCTTCGTTTGGTCTTCATCTTGGCTGGTGGGAAGGCCCAACGCGTCTTCGGGGTCCGCCATTCGGGCCGTACGCAAGAGTAGTTGTGTGTGTGGGGGGGGTCGATTGTAAAGCGCACCAGCCCCTATACATCTACCGCATATCATTGCAAGAAAATACTGTTCTTCCTTAGAGCCGCAGCCAAGTTCTCAGACCTACTCAGAGATGTCCTGTATCCAATGACAGGAAGAGAAAACGAGCTCAGCCGAAACGTCTTTTCGTTTAAGTAAAGGTTCGCATTGGTTCAGTTCGACTAATTCAACACATTAAAACCTGAGAATCGTGAGGGGAGGCCGATAAAAAATTTATCGCCCAGGGGGGTTCGTATAGCGCAGCCCAAGACTGTTCCCCAGGGTGTAGACCCAGAGAATCGACTTGGGAGTCAACAGCGAGAAGATAGACCCAGAGATTCACAGCCGCAAAGCTTTAAACCCTGAAATTCACACTCCTTGGTTGGCGTGGGTACGTTGTGTAATCCCTGTCGGCTCGTTTGTCTTCGACGGAACGGCACTCCACCGGTAGTAAATGTAGCCTTGAAGAAGTGCGGGAGCGCACGTCTACTTCAGAACGCACTTCCACACCAAAAGGCAAACCCAGAGAATCGGATCCCCTGAAACCCAGAATATCACGAATTCAGGGTCCAGGATTTCAGTCAACTCCGGGACTTGGACTCAGAAGAAACCTTACCCAAATGCCCTCCTAGCTCGATAAAAACCAACAAATACAGAGTATACAAACACTACAACTAGTATTCTTTTGGACCCTTGGACGGTGGGTCACACACACACTAGGCTCACTCGAGTCTGAAATTCAGGGGCCTAGCTCCCCTGATACTCACACAAACGCGCACCACCTCCAATAAAGGAGGAAAATACAATCACTATCAGTAACCTTCCCTTCACACAAGCAGTCAATACAAAATCCTGGAGGCGACTACCTAGCACCCCAGAATACCCTCTGGAATAATATGAAATGGGCCACAGCAAGTGACCCAACTAGGATATGGAATAGATGGATCACTCCAGGAAGCTCAACGCCGTCGCTGGTCCCCACCTAACTGGACTTGAGTTTTGATGGAGTCCACACAGCCGGCTGTCCTTCGCCGTTGATGTGCCCTTAGCGTCCCGCGGTCGTAGTCTCGGGTCCTCCGGATTTCCGTCGGCAGGCTTGGCCGAAGTCACTTGCGCAGTACAGGGTAAAAGGAACTCTGTTTGTCTTTTATCAGCTACTTCTCGCTCTTACTTCTCTCTCTTCTGCATTCTTCTTCGGGCAAATATATTCTGTTCACTATGCTTCGGGTCAAATGTCTTGTCTTGAGTATGCCTTGGGTTCAGCGGTCCAACCTTGCGGTCGGCTTGCGACTCCATTGTCGCACGGCGTCGAAAGTGCCAATTGTGGGTCCTTGGACTTGGTTTAGTATGGTGCAGGACTCCCTCTCGACTCCTCGAAAGTATCCAGTCTGCGCATCCATAGCGGTTTCTTCAAGGTCACGCATCACTTTGATTGCAGACTGACTGCGAACCGACTCGAATCCCTGAGAATCAGGTGACACTCAGGGTCATCTTCTGAAATCCTGGGAATTCTGAGGAATCTTGGGGAACTGCAGGGATTCTTGGGTGTTGGCTTGGGAAACACTTAGGTTCAGTATAGAGAGTCTGGATTTATGGTCCAAACCCAGAGAATCATCTTAGGAACTCTGGGTCACCTGTACTCAGGGAGGTGAACTCTGGGTCATCGTGCGGCCCTCTGGGAAACAAGTCTGCTGCATTGCAGGCTCGTGTGTATCTCCACAAAGCCACACTTTTAACGGGTTTAGCGGCCTCCTGCGCATGATCTTGGTGGTAGTGGGTTGATTCTCAGGGTAATTTGATCCTCTGGGGCACTCTGAGCCACAGCAAGATGAGGTGTACTCTGGAATACGTTCGCCAGAGACACTTTCCGCCAGACTTTAGGCACTCGTCGTAAGGGAAAGTCCGCGGCTGGACTGAGTGTTCTCAGAAATCCTGGGCGTGCACTCCCAGGATTCACACTTCCAGCCAGTTGGGCCCATCTGCGGTCAGGCGCTGGATTCATCCCGAGAAATCACCTCTCTCCCACAGTCGCCATCCATGTCATACGGGTACAGCCGCGCCGTATCCAAGTCACACACCAATCAGCATCCGACACAAACTCTAAGTCAAAGAGGTGACGGCACATCGTCGGAAATTTTCTGGGGACCGCCTCGTGTCAGGAGGGGAGGGCCAAAACCTCTTTCCAGATCTGGCACACCGACTGGAGCAACGGGAACGACATCCCGAAGGCGCTCCTGCAAGAGCACAAGATCCGCAATCGGCCGCCGCCCTGGTAGGAAGCGACGTCGCATCACGCAAGGGGGCGTCACGCCGTCGCGGAGTCAGATGGAACGGCGGGAGCAGATGGAGGTGGCGCTTCGGCTAGCAAGGCTGCCGAGGAAGAGAATGATGAAAGTGCAGGGGAGGCAGACGACGAATCGTCGTACGCAGTGTGTATGTTCTTTGGTAGCTTGCAATCAATGGAAACTCTACTTCTGCAGTTTGCAATCAATGAATGCGTTACTCATGCTTTCCTGTCATTGGCTGCAACACGTGAAGCCATCGCTGCTGGACGTGTGTAACGATGCAAGAAGGGCTCCGGGACATTCGTTATGTTGGTTTCGCCATCATACGCACTATTACTGCCTCGTTCTGGCTGCATAAGATGGCTTTATGTTGTAGGAGCCGCTACTATACCCACCTGTCTTCTCTCACGCACAACCCCAACCACCCTCTCCAAATTCGTACTTACGCGGCGACTCATACAAAAACCAATATACTTGGATACGGGACGGTAAAAAAAATGTACCCTCGTAAAGAGAGCCGGGAAGTAACGGGTTAAGTAATGTGCGTTCTAATCTTCCACTGGCCTCTATTTAGTGGGGGACAACGCATACATACCTACAGAAGGAATGCTCACTCCATACATATTCGCCGACGGAATGGATGAAGGTAAAGATACTTTTAATTGTTCCTTAGTCAGTTGCGTATCAGGATTGAGCAGGCATTTGGACTATGTGTTGCATAGTGGAGGATTCTTAAGAAACCACTTAAAGTATCCTTAAAAAGATGCTCCTATCGTAGTCCGTGCATAATATTATGCGTCTCCATAACTTCTGTTTTAACAATCATGAAAATGGATACGGCAGCGCGGTGGGCGTCGAGCGAACTTTTGTGCAGCACCAAAACGATGTATGAGAACCTGGCGGCATTCCTTGAAGCATTGAAGTTACAAGTGAGCGCTCCCGAACCTGTGTTCTTCGACGGCATTTGCAAGTATATTTGGTCGCAAAGCAACCGCAGACCTCAATACAACATCGACCGCAATACATTGCAGCGATCAAACGAAGTAACCGTATAACAAGCTACGTACTGCTACGTCTTATAAGTGTATGAAATACTAGTGTTAACAGTACGTAATGATAAACAAACATGAGTAGGCCCCAACAATTTTTTTTATCTGCATCAAGTAGCGCAGCTAACCGTATGACAGGCACGCTTCCATCTCGGTGCGACATTTTGCAATGCAGCACCGCAACGCAGCAACTTCAACGAGGTTTAGAATAAGTACCAGCTTTTGACATACCGATCGGAGTTTCTAATCTCGGATAGAAACAGATGCATGAAGTACAAGAACTTGATTTTCGTAAAGTATAATATGGATAAGTGAGTTTACTGAGCTCCACCAGTTTACTAGGGGTGTAGGAAAAGAGAACCCAACCGGATGAAGAACTGGAGTCAGCCCCACTTTCAAATTGGCCCTCCGTCTGACGGTCTACAACTACAACAAACCCTAAGACAACAACATTTCAGATACTTAGATGAGTGTCTTGACCAAGCCAGAGAAGACCGTGCCGGGCGGACTGGAGAAATTCTCCGGAAAGCACCACGAGTATGCTACTTGGAAAGACAAGCTACTCACGCACGTGGCCCAATTTCAGTTGGAGGCCGAGAACAAGCTACTCGAAGCCGGTGACCCGGACCCGAAGGTCTGCATGAGGGACTTCTTGGAGTCCACGCCGCCATGTCTTACGGATGCAGACGTGAAAGCAGCTCCGCCCGAAGGACAATTGGCTGTCCGGGAGGAGATCATGGTATGGCGCAAGGCGGACGCAGCCATGAGGCATGTCCTCAACTCGACCCTCCCAAACTCGTTTCTGTCGTCCCTACCGGACGAGGTGCAAAACATGGAGGTGCGTCTCATTTGGCAGCATCTCGAACGGAAGTTTACGAATGGTGATGCTGGAGGATTGGTAGCGTGGTCGAATCGGTGGACTCAGATTCTGAACTCGAATTGGAAAGACACCATGACCCTGTTCTCGCTGCTCAACCAAGCGCGGAACGAGATGAATCGGAAGTCTAAGAAGCCTCGGCAAGGAGATGATGACGGAGACGATGATGTGCGTGCAAGTGTTGGCGCAACTCCCAAGCGAGATTTGGGCATCTTCGATTGAGCTCGCGGAGGAAGCGTTCACCGCCGAAAAGGTCGAGGTGGCGCTGAACAAGCTGTTTGGTGGCCGATCCCGGAAGCAGATCACGGGAAATGGCGGTGCGACAACGGTGGCGCGCATAAACCATATCAAGAGTGAGCGTGTTGTGCGTGGATACGACACTAAGAAGTGCAAGTCGGATGCCAACACCAAGGTTCAGGACCAAGGCTATTTCTACTGTTTCGGCCAAGGACATCAGAAGTCGCAATGCGAGCGCATGAAGGCAGACCGCGACCCAAACCGTGAAGGGGGACCGCTTTTCCGCACCAACGTGCAAGCCCAACTTTCCAAGCGGACGCCCAACGGGACTAAGAAGATTGCCACGGTGCAGCACGTTGCCAAGAAGCAAAGGACGACACGTGACACACCCACGGACGTCGAGATGGAAGAAGAGTTCAAACTACCTGAGTCGGAAAAGGCCGGATCGGAAGACGAGAATGGAGGTTGTCTGCTGAGTTTCGGTCAAGTCGACACCAGGGTACGTAAGAAGTATGGTGCTTATTTAAAGTGGCTACGGCGATTAACAGTTTCGGATGATCAGTGGATTGTTAATACAGGAGCTGGACTAGGGATAAGCCGGACAGGAGCTGGTTCGAATCTGTCCACACAGGTTCGAGTCACCAGTTTGAGTATGGAAACGGTAGCACATCGGAGATCTAGATTATCCGCAGTGAATGAAATTAAAGCGAAACTATCTGCACGCTTTAAAATGAAAGATCTCGGTGAAGCTCATTATTTATTAAAGATGGAGATCAGAAGTGATAGGGCAAGGAGGCAACGTAGTCTATCACAACATAAGTATATCATGGATTTATTAGAAAAGTTTGACATGATGGACTGCACAACGGTTGCCACTCCACAAGCAGCGAGCATCGTATTGGAAAAAGAAACTAAGCTTAGTGCTGAAGCCATCGCAGCGCAGCCATTCGACTACCGTGGACTGGTAGGATCGCTGATGTATCTGGTAAGAGGAACTAGACCAGATATTGCGAACGCTGTAAGAGAATTAAGTAAATTTCTCTCTTGTTGTAATAAGTCACATTGGAAAGCAGCCCAGCGAGTACTTAAGTATCTGAAAGGAACATCGATGTATGGGTTAGTATATGAGGGTACTAACAAAGAAGTAACGTATAAGCTATACACAGATGCAAGCTTCGCAAATGCTAATGAGGACCGTAAATCAGTTACAGGTTACGTGTCAATACTCGCGGATGCGTGTGTATCGTGGAAGAGTTATAGACAAGAGATGGTCAGTTTACATACAGCACAAGCTGAGTTAGTCGCCGTAAGTGAGGGTGCTAAGGAAAGTTAGTGGCTCTGGTTATTGCTTAAAGAGTTAGGATGGCAGCAGAAGCAGCCGATATATTGTTGGTGCGATAACACAGCAGCTATAACTATTGTTAAGAATCCTGGAAACCATTCCTCGACAAAACACATAGATACTCGATATTTGTATGCCCGAGAAGCTTATGAAAGAAAGCGCATCGATATCACGTACTGCAATACAAAAGATATGGTGGCGGATGCCCTTACAAAGGCACTACCACAAGAACAATTTTGCAAGCTACGTGAGCTTATGGGTGTGACAAACTTAGAAGTTGAAAGAAACAATGAGAGTGCGTAATAACCTTAAGGGATATTTATGCACAGGTAGTAATCATAACGTGGCACTACAAATACACTGAGTTAACTATCTAGTTTGATTTGTATCAAGTTACCGATCTTAAGATAAGTAGGACAAGTACAACCGTCAGAGTGGAGTTAAGTTTTGCACCCCTAAATGCAGTGTTAAGTTTCAAGGGGTGAAATTAAAAGAGAAGCAACTTAAAGATCTAAGTTATAAAACTGTCAAAGCATATTGGCGTTTATGTAAGTTTGTTGAAGTTATGCCAAGGACAACGTCAAATTTTGGTGAAAAGGATAGGCTTTTCCAATTTGCTCTCCACATTGCGCATTGTAAGATACTTCTCTGGCCCACTTAATAAACAACATTAAGGTTTTTTGTGGACCACACACGATTTTAATTGGTTAAAATTGTACTAGGGATTTGCATCATGTGCGTGCACTAAAACCTCAGAGTATTGTTGGTAACTGTGGGCACTCACCAAGTTCCCGCCAAACCCGCAGTCTGCGCGCCAACAGCTCCTATTATGGGACGCCACCCGTAGCAACCGAACCTGTCGCCAGAGAAGAAGCTTGCTGTCCTTATCTACCTCATCGGTAAGGCGAAGGGCGGCGAGCTTCCTCTAGGCACTAAAGCAGACGCGGCCAACGCGTTTTCAGTGCACCGTAACACAGTCGCGCGGGTTTGGGCGAAGCGCGCCACGCCAGCAGCTCTTGTCGAGCCACTGCGTCGCCGCCCGCGTGGCGTGCTATACCCCGACATCGCCGAGAAGGTCGCTGCGGTCCCCCTTCCGCTCCGACAGACGCAGCGCAGCCTCTCAGCTGCCGTCCACGTGTCGCGGACGACGCTGCAGAGATACATCAAGACCGGCATGCTGCGTCGGCGGTTTTCGGCGGTTAAGCCGCAGTTAACAGCCACACACAAGGCCCGGCGGCTCGAGGTTGCGCTACGACATGTACGACAGCTTCGTGGTACGTTAATTTATTAACTTTAAATTATTTTTTTATTTTGCTAATGAAATAAGTATTGTTATTGCTCATGCAGCACTTCGGCAACCTCGTTTCGTCGATATGTACGATGTGGTACATATCGACGAAAAGTGGTTTAACATGTACAAAGGGGCAACCCATTATTACATGGCTCCAACGGAAGATATGCCCCATCACACGTCGCCTAATAAACGCTACATTGGGAAAGTGATGTTTTTAGCAGCCGTTGCTAGACCAAGACACGATTTTGGTCGTCGTAAGTATTTTAACGGTAAGATTGGCATCTGGCCAGTAGATGAGCTCGTGCAGGCACAGCGCTCCTCCGTCAACAGGCTGGCCGGCGCCTGGGAGACCAAGAACGTCTCGATGGCGTCAAGTGAATACGCCAAGATGCTCATGACAAAGGTATTTCCAGCAATCCGCGCTGTATGGCCAGGTAAACTATTGTTTGGTTTTTCATTTCTTACAATTACTTATATAATTTATTTGTGTACTACTTTTTTACAGGATGTAAACGGCGGTCGATTCGCGTCCAGCACGACAATGCAAGCCCACACGGGGCTGCTGCTTTTCAAGCTGTCCAAGATGCTGCAAAAGAGGGCGGTTGGGACATACGCATGGAGTTCCAGCCCGCCAAATCACCCGACCTCAACGTGCTAGATCTCTCGGTGTTCAACGCTATTCAATCGGTTCAGTATCGCCAGCCAACATACAAGACGGACGCTCTCATCGGTGCTGTACTGGCGGCTTTTGAGATTTTGCCCACGCGAACGCTGGACAAGTCGTTCATTACTTTACAAAAAGTAATGGAGTGTATAATTAGGCATGAAGGAGACAACAACTTTGCGCTCCCACGTGTAAGTAAACTGCACGTGGAGAATGGGATTATCCCAACGTCTATTCTTGCGAATGTGGCATGTATGCAGCGGGCAAGCTCGCCTTGAAGAACATGCAATAAACCTGAGTCTAATTTGCACCTTCATTACATCTAATTCGTCACAACTAAATCAGAGTCTATCCGGATTGGACAAAAAGCAGGTGGTTATTTAAATCCGGCGACATGTCAGCTTAACAGCCAATAAAACCTTATTTCTTGTTTTCGGTTCGGAGCGTTTTAACGCGCTTTTCATAGCCTTAGAGTGGGTCCGTTGCATTCAGGAGGCTCTGCATATGATGATGATACTAAATTCGCGAATTATCGCCAATTTTGGATGGAACTACGCTAAAAAGACTAAATCGTACATATTCGAATTAGACAAACTCCGTGGTAGATAGACCAGCATGCACGTTAACGCTAAACAAAAACTACGACGAATTCGGGGAGAAGGTCAGCTTTATTTTGAGGCCTTACTCGTTAATTAGCGAGGGTCAGGTGCTGAGATATGGCCACTTAAGCACAGTGTTGTTTCTTAAGTGGGCCAGTGAAGTACAAAGCTATAGGTCTGGTTATATGCTCCTAAGACGCATACTTAAAGGTCTTATAACGCACATATGCCAGAAATGGTGCCAATGGTTAGATAAGTGGTGACGTATCGGTTGCGTGTCTTTTGTGGGAGTGTTGTGGTTTAGAATAAGTACCAGCTTTTGACATACCGATCGGAGTTTCTAATCTCGGATAGAAACAGATGCATGAAGTACAAGAACTTGATTTTCGTAAAGTATAATATGGATAAGTGAGTTTACTGAGCTCCACCAGTTTACTAGGGGTGTAGGAAAAGAGAACCCAACCGGATGAAGAACTGGAGTCGGCCCCACTTTCAAATTGGCCCTCCGTCTGACGGTCTACAACTACAACTACGCTCAAGACAACAACACGTCATCATGACTACCCGCCTGGGTAAGCTCTGCGGGGAGACGACGCATTTCGACAAGAGAACGCTGCACACTGATCATCAGCTCGACACCTTTTTTTTCGGATGGCAGCCGCGTGCATGGTCACTGTGTTTGGTTTCGCTGCGAGTAGAGTTTTAGAGCTTGAGGGCTATACTTTCTTAAAAGAACGCAATTTGGCGCTTGATTAGTAGCGGTCTGTCTTCACTGAATAGCAGCTCTTTCAATACGTCAGCGACAGCGTCCCCACGTTTGCCTTTTGAATATTACACAAAATAAGCACAAGGATAAATAGTTATTTCAAAAACTATTTTAACATCATGTAGGAAAAATATTACCGTTGCGTTCTTAAGGTGACTCGGCTACCGTCATCCTAGAAGGCGGGATCTCCATCGAATCAGGAGCGATGGAGGCAGCCAGCAGGTGGATGCTGCACTTGTGAAGGTTTGGGCGTGTGATGGTGGTCACTAGATGCAGGTAGTAGACGTCCATGCGTCCACCGCAAACGCTGTATATGGTTTGTGGTTTCGCAACCTCGTGAAGTTCGCATACACCTCGCGGTACTTGCTCGTCAGGCTCTTGATATCGAGCGCGTCACGGCTAGCGAGGTAACCGAGACTTGCAAGCCGCTCACAATGCACGTCCAAAATCAGTACACTTAGCAACCTCAACATACAATACACCGTTCTGTGATCTACGACTCCCTGTTGAAATGGCGCCAGTCGCTTGAATCATCTCAGAAACAATTAGCGAAGCCCGGAGAGCGGTCAAGTTCGCCGCTTTATTGAGCGGGGAAGGGGGGGCTTCAGACGGCGGCATTCTACACGCAGGGTGTTTGCTCCCCACGTCTTGTTCGTTGCCATCGCGTTTCAATACGGTCTAGCTCCTCCGTTGTCGACGTTTTGATTGGGGCCTTTTACGAAGTAAACTCCGCCTCCCATCACTCCTTCCGCTCCTAACGACGCGAAATGAACTCGGGGTCTACTGGGACTTGGGAGATTTCTCCCCCGTGCCAACAGATGCGCGGGCCAACCACAACGCGTTATTTCCTCCCGGGACGTGGGAGCGAGAACTTAAGAACGGCCCTTAGATATCCTGAATGTCGTCACCGTCCTCGGTGGCGGGAAGAGTTCCTGTATCTGCGCTAAACATGCTCTAACTCGTTCAATGTTGCCAATGCCTGCAAGTCGAATACGCGCCCCTTGATCCTATTAAAAGGGTTAATGTTCGGCTCAGCCTTGCGTAATGCCCACACACGTTAAAGTATATATGCTGTGCGCAGAATATGAGGTGAACGGGAACGCCACGAGATCTTAGTCGTACTTGAGCATCCGGCTCTGTCGATGAACATGGCCCTGTCGTCAAGGTTTAGGTTGGAGACTACGCAGGCTGCAGAACCCCACTCGAAATTTTCAGTAGTAAACTCCATCCTTACCGATCACTAGCACGCATACGCCGTTGCAGTTCAGGCGCTTCATGTGTGTTTCATCCCAATGGAAAAGAGGTATCCAGTTGGCTTGATCGGCAATTAGTTTCCCAATAGACCGAAACACACGGAAAATCTTCGTTGTCTATCCAGCTGACAGCAAACATGAGAGCCAGGATTATGCCGTCCGAACGACCGCAGAAAGGGTGGTAATTTGGCTTAGCGTCAGTCATCATTGTTTTCGCCTGTGCAATAGCTCTTTGAACCAGTGCCGGACGATGATCAACATTGCCATTGTCAATTGTATTCACAGCTGTTGTCACCGTGTTCGAGCAGTACTTAGCCCTTGTTATTGACCCTTGAGACCCAAGCAGTTCCATCAACAATTCGGCAAAAAATGGCCTACTGAGTCGCGACAAGGTTAGTGGTGGAGATTCGTGTCACGAACAAACCACACATCCGGTAGGCATATTGAGTATTTGGTGTTCACACGCCGCTTTACATTGCTGTCCTTTTTCTTGTTCTCGATCCGATGGGCTACTACACACATCGTCGACATAGGTCCGACGTGCATACCTAACTTTTATTGTGTCCTGACGAGACAGGCTGCTTGATCGACATATTTTCATTGGAAGCATAGGCGCAAAGAGATTCGGTGCTGGCCCGAGCTGAAGCAAAGACATCTCAGATTTATCACTGGGATAGGAAGCGACGAAGTGCTGATAGCCCAGCTCAAACAGGTTTAATTTGGGCGCTCCCCCCTCCCGTCGAAACCGGCGATGAACCGGTAACATGTCTTAGGTCAACCCTAAACCCAATTTACAGTAAGTGATGTCGATTGACCGAGTGTTCTCAACTTCTCAAGAAAGATGGAGACTGGCCAGTCCATTTGCAAATTCAGATTCGTTGTATTGATTTTGCTCTTAAATCGATTGTACGTCATGCTCATAGTGGTGGCACATTGTCGGGCAGAAGATACCCAAGGAGCGTGCGGATTGCGTAAATATATCGGTAGATGCAAGGGCTTACAAAACATAGGTTTGATATGTTGGCGCAGGTCTCACGATCATGACTAGCGAGGCCGCATCAGGGGTCGGTCGGTGATCACCTACGTTTTACAAGTCGAAGGTCCGCTGCAGTATACAATACATGATCGTCGTTAGTGGAACGCTAGAAGATGTTGTTCATGTGGAAGTACCTTGAGCTGAATAAGTGACCCTGAATAGTGCGAATGGTTCGAGCGGTGGTTTTAATTAGCATGTGTGGTATCGGAAAATGGAGATTACCGGAGCGATTGCCCGTCGCCCAAGAATCAAGGTACAATGATCAAGGAGCAGTCAAGCGCGAGATGGAAGTGGCTGCTTTGGTTAAGCTGGCGACATTATCCTCGTTGGAGTGACAGGTAGTGGCCGGAGCCTCGTCGGGTCCTAATACAACCCCGAACGAGGCTTCATGGTACCCACTTTTAGGTACAGATTCATTTAGTTACGTACTTCGGCCGCACTTATTAGTGTAGCCGCGGTCGTCATTTGATGTGTCCGGAATCGCCTTATTGCGATCGTTCACACTAGATATTTGTATAGGGACATAGGACTCATCATAGGATGGCCAGAACGAGGCCCCCAGGGCCTCAGAAAACTCAGTAATAAAAAGACAGTCTTCCCCCAAAGCCAACAAGGGTCAAGTCCGACTTCGGTAAGTGTAGCTAGCTTATTGTAGTGCCTGGACACGCTCGGCTGCGTGTGGATGCCTGTCGGGGAGCTTATCATGCATTGACCGAGAGTTTCCTTGGCAGCGCCGAGAGTTGGCGTGGCCGGAGAGGCAGGAACGGTATTAGAGTATCGTTTAGTATATATTTGTGGGATTAGAGTGTCCCTGAGTGTATTAGTCTACCTACCGAGGTTTTACCTTGGTCCCCCTGTATAAGGCCTAACACACCGGTACCCTTCCTTTCTGAGGGACTGCAGTGGGGTTGCGCGAAAGCGCTACATAGTATCCTAGCCTTAGCTCGTGGCGAGTGGTACAGGTTTTTGGGTTGACCGAAGATAACCTAAGGTGTACAGAGGCGCTTGCAACCGACCCGGTGTAAGGGATCGTTCCTGGTCTTCAGGTTTTGATCCAATAAGCGCGTACCTTTGCGGGTTAGCGTGTTGTTGGTGTCTCTAATACATTTTGGTAGAAGAGAATTTAAGTGGTATTACCACACCACACATGCTTGAATGTATCAATGGCGGTGAAAAGTTGGTTAAGCAATCCTATCCCATCCTTCGCGTAGCCCTAGTTGTGTCCCGCCCAAACAGCCTTACGAGCTCGGCCCTGCCTCGCTCAACCTCTCTGCGGTAGTGAGAGGAAGAGTCAGTCACAGTGAGTGACTCAGTGCGTCCTCGTCCTCATCTTCAAACAGTCTACTATTGTTTCCTCTACTTCGATATAAATAGCCTATCAAACGCAAGAAAAACACGTGCTTCCTTTTTAAAATATTCACGGTTACTCGTGATATTTATGCACAGGCCAAACTGACCTGACCAATTCGCAATTTTCTCTTCAAAATTTCGTCGCGCTTGTCAGAAAGCCCTACCAGCCACTCAAAACCTAGTAAACCCTATTTTTGAAGTGCACCCCAAAATGGCATCGTCACCCTCGCTCTTCCGCGGGCTGCAGTTCTACCTCACGCGCACGCTGTCCCCCCATGACGCAGACGAGCTGCGGAGCCTCATCGAACAGCACGGCGGGGTCGTGTCTGCGTCGCCCGCGGGCGCCACGCAGCTCGTGGACTACGACAACCTGGACTCGCGACGGCCGGAGTGGGTCTCCACCGACTACATCGTGGACTCGGTGGCGTCGGGGGCGCTGCAAGACCCCGCGCGGTACTGCGGGTCGTTATTCACAGGGCGAGGCGCCGTAGACGGTAGAGTCCACGCCAAGCGCAAGGTCGCGTACTCGGTCGAGGACGACGCGCGCATGCTGCACTTCGCCAAGCTGCGCGGCTGGAAGTCCATGGACACGGTCCCGCAGAGCGCGTGGGTGCTGGCGGAGCACGAGAAGGTCACGCGCCACTCGTCGCAGAGCATGCACGAGCACTTCCGGAAGCAGCTGAGGGGCAAGACGCCCAAGGAGCAACGAGACATTATGGCCAAGGCGGCGGTGAGAGAGGCTAGCTGCTATAGCTGTAGCGTGTGGTGGTCGGGCAGCTCTGACCTGGTGCACTGTGTTTGTATAGGCGGTGATTAGAGCGCGGTTGGGCCGACAAGAGGCAGAAGAAGAGGAGAAGGACGGGGCTGCTGTGAGAACGCCGCCGTCTGCGTCAAGGGGGGGGCAGGCAGCGACTCCCGAGCGGACGACGCCTAATGCACGAGCAGATCCGACCACGCCAGCTACGAGCTCGCCACCTGAAGGACGTCAGCGTGGTGGAAGTAGACAGCAGAAGCGAAAGCGGGGTACGCCGAACGGTGTGGATGCGGAGGCAGGTTCACCGCGTCGAGAAGACGATGAAAGTGATGCCGAAAGCAAGAGTGGGGAAGCTGGTGGCACTCACGGAGTATTTTTCCGGAGCGCGTGGACTGAGCTGGTCACAGATCCTCTGAAGAGGGCGTATTTGAGGGCGCTCTTTCAAACCACCCCGCAGCCTGAAGCTCCTTTTCAGAGCTCAGCAAGCTCGAGTCGCACCGAATCCATTGCCAGTGTATCGCGTGCCAGTGAAGCCCCTACGGAGATCTTAGTTCAAGATGACGACGAAGAGCAGCAACCAAAAGAGACTGGAGTCGAGTTTGCGACGGACCCTGAAACCGATGAGATCGTTTCTCGACTTCAGCTGGAGACGCATCAGGAGATGCCGTGTGTGGTCCATGCGTTGTACTACTGCAGTGGAGACGTTGATATGGCCAGAGAATTCCTCAAGGGTGCGTCACCGTCGGGTATGTGGTCGCCCGATGATGACCTACTTCTTGTGAACCTGGTGGCAGAGGAAAGCATTGAGCGCTCAGCCGTTGAGGCTGCCGTAGCACGCGGTAATTTTGCAGCCATGCGAGTGCCTCGCAACGCGGATGCGATTCTGCATCGAGTCACGTTTTTGCGGTGATATTCGAAGTAAATTCCAACTTATCAAGCCCACTTGGGTGCTCTCATCGTCAATGCACTTCTCGATAAACCTTTCCTGTCGCTACTGATCGAGTGAGTCTACCCGGTTAGTACACCTGGCATTTTCGTATTACGCGCGGCCTTGCAAAAGCTCCTCCAGTGCCCGAAAGAATCGTCTTCGTGCCTACAGCATGGAAACAGTTCGTGAGCCCTCTCTTCGTATAGACTAGTATAGTTTCAGGCAGCGGAACGTACCATAAACCCCCGAGCGTATTTTTGCATGCAGATGACGGAGTGCTGGACCTGCAGATACACTTCCAGTGCGTCGGGCTTTTTAGGCAGACAATATGCCGCCGGTTCTTGTCGAACCAGCACTTGCTGAGTTGTAGGCACGGCTAGGTTGGACGAGAATTCTGCGAATGGCTCGTTCTCCTGGACGGATTGCAAGACGTCTACCTTGTTTGTCTGGCTCAGTCTGGTCGGCGTTGTAGCGGCTTCTGCTGGTCGGATGGCTGAGCTATTGGTGACGTTCTGGATCTGGCAATGAACAGGCGGGCTGGGAGTAATTGGAAACTTCAGGTCAGACGGGATCATCGGCTCCGCGGTAGATGGCATTGGGGCTACAGCCGAGGCCAAGATTCGCGAAGCAACACTAGGCGTGTCGAGTGTTTTTGGTGGGGAGGCCGCAGCACTTTCAGGGACGAGTTTTTGGATGTTTCTACAATACAGTCATGGTACGGTGAGGTGGGCGGTGCTGGTATTTTTTCACAAAGGCGAATCTTCACTTACAGAGAAGGGATAGCTGCAACAGTTCGGCTGGATGGATTCGTGTTTAGCAGACTCCACGGTTCTTTCTCGAGCTCTGACGCGTCAACCACAGTCCGTCAGTGCATGAATTCAGAGCTTAATAAACTCGCGAGTTTTTCGCCTACGTTTTTGAGATTGGTCGCGGTCCTCGAGAAGCCACCTGGAAGGCAACAGGGGGATTAACACAAGCAGTCATTTCCGGATCAAGCAGTTCAGGCGCTTACTTCAGGAGCTTTTGCGATAAAGCGAATAGCATTTGCATCTTTTCCTGTATCAAGAAACATATTTGTGAGTTTTTTTCCTGGTGAATTGAGAGTTAGCTATCTACCGATGAAGTAGCTGGTTGTAGCTGAAGGTGCATCACTTTTCTCGCATAATCCTGGGGGGCAAGTGCATTAGCGTAAATACAACGAAGATGTCCCTAGTAGTCAAGGAGCTACTCACCAGAACCAGCTCAGTGTCGAGAGTGTTCAAATCGACTTGAGCGAGGGAACTCATGGACGCCGACCGAGATCGTCGTAGAGGAGCCATAGAACCGGATCGAGAGGGAGGCATAGCTGGATGGTGCTGGAATCTCACCAGGTCTGGTCGCTGCTACTATCCAACTAGGCTCGGCAGACTCCTCCTATCAATTCTGCTAAATTTATCAGGTCTTGTGCATCAAGCAAAGATCGCCCTGCTCGAATTAGCCCACGCACCACAGCAACTTGGAAGGAGTACTCCTTGGTTACCATTCAGGGCAACACATCAAAACGCCATACAGCTAGCATGAGTACACGCTCCTTACATGTTCGAGTTAAGGTTAATGGGAATAGGGCTGCGAGAGAATTTCTTGTTGCGCGAGCCCTCGATGCGCGGGTGCATGGGCGGCCGCGCTGCATCGCCTCGAATCCCAGCTCCGAATCCTGCGGAGTCGCCAAGACGAGGCGTGTTCGGCGTTTTCTGCAGCACGACAACAGTAAACGGCCACAAAAGTAAATAAAGTCAGAGGTCTACCACTGGCCAACCTCACCACAAGGGCAGGCGTACCGGATCCTGTCGGTCGCTCTCCTTCGTGATTAGTTGGTGCTGAAGCGGCGGAAGTCGGACGCCGTACTCGTTCGAGATCGGAGGCAGTGGGATGCTGTTGCGCTTGTCGGCTAGCTCCATCATCACCTGCATTAACATACCCGTGTCAGTATTTCTAGCTCTACAGCATACGGTTGCAAGCAGTTAAATCCACCCACATCTCGGGGCGGCACTTGGGTGTAGTGGTGGTTCAGCCTCGACGAAATGGCCAGCCGCACGTCGTCCGGGTCAATAGTCTGCCACAATTAAGAAGAAGAAGAAGAAAAATAGCAGCGTCACGCCTCGTTCCTCGTGTCTTTTTGGGTCAATTTCCTTCCCCACCTGCTTGTCCGCGTACATGGAGTACTCCTGCGCGTCCACGAGGATCTCCGTCACATAGCCTGCCATATGTAAAATGTATAAATTAAATAAACTCTTGAGCTGTTGGGGGTTATTATAGTTCTCTCTGCGTGCGGCGCCACGTACGGTGCACGAACTCCTGCAGCTGCGCCACGACGCGCGGCTCGTACTTGTCGGCGCCCATGGACTCCAGCAGCTGCTCCATGGACAGAACGTCCAGCGGCTGCACGTTGACGCCCCCGTCGTGCTCGTCGGCGTCGCCCTCGTCCTCATGGAGGCGCTTGTTCGTCGCCTTGGTCTTGGCGTCGCTGCCCATGATGCCACAATTAGGGATTAGGACATAAAATATGGTAATCGTACTTTGTCGGAGATGACTACACTGGTTGAAGTGACGGTGAGATGGGGTGTTGCTGTTGCAGTCTCGCTGCAAAATGCAGAGGTGGGAACGTGTGGCGTGGACCCCAGTGCAGCTCTCCCGGCTGGAAACTGAATGTGGAGTGGACTCCAACGACGAAATGTCTGCCGGCATGCGAATGAGCCGAAACGGATTCGAGTTGGCGCTATTGAAAGACAGCAGCAGCACCAAGAGCAGTCTGCAACCACCGTGGTGGAAGGCCCACACTTCACAAGTTTCCAGGTTCCTGTCACTAGATCGCCTTTGGTTTCAACCACAATCTCATTCGCGATGGAGGCTACTGGCGTAGACGACGTCGAAGTCGGGAAATTGGCCGAGAGTCCGGCCCTGCCTGAGATCACTGTCAAGCAGGCGCGCGAAGCTCTCGCCCACGACAAAATCATCGCGCGCTCTGTGGGTCGAATCATCTACGCGATGATCTACTTTGGGTTCTTCGCGGCTGTGCTGTTCACTCACATCCCCACCTCGCGGTTGTACGAGCAAGCCTACGCCGTCTCGTCGATCCTAGCGACGTCCGGTGGCGACGCGATCACCCCCAACTCTCCCATTAAGTTCTTCAACATTGGACAGCTCAGCGACGTCTTCGACTGGCTCAACACTGCGTTCGTACCTGCCGTATTCGTGACCCAAGATCAGAACGGGAATGACCTCGCTTCGCAAGATTACGCTCTACTCGGAGGCAAAAGTAAGGCGTTAGGCGGCGTTCTCATTGAAGTGTACTCATTGACCCCAGTCGACTGTGGCGCGGACGGGTCCCTCTTCCAAGTGTACCCGGTCTGTCACGTATCCGAAGGACTTCCAAACGAATACGGCTCGTACATGCTAATTCTGAGCCTCAATGCGACCGAGGCGCTGCAAGGTCTCGCTGAGTGGAAGGCCCAGAATTGGATCGACAACACAACGGACAAGGTGGTGATTTCCGTGCTGACCTACAACGGAGAGCTCGAAGGATACGTGGTCACAGAGCTGACACTGAAGTTCCATCAAGGCGGCTACATCACTCCAACGGCGTCGACGCGACCAACCATCTCGATTCCTTACGGGAGGGAGAACTCGTATGCGAGCGACGTCCTCGTCTGGATCTGGATGTTTTTGGCGTTGATGTGGGCCGCTTCTTGCGTTGCTCAGTGGCGACGGAAGGAGAAGCGTCCGTCTCGACGCCAAATGGCGGCTCGCTTGTTCGACCTGTACGTCGTGGAAGCTGCCATGGGCGTCTTCTACATCATTTGGGCGATCATCGTGAGTCTGCTAGAGGACTACGACTTCCAAGAATCGCTTTGGAAGCTCGCGGACCCATTCGCCATTGAAACGGAAGGAACCGAAGACGATATCATCTCTCTCAACTACGTGATCGACAACCTCAAGGCGATCGCTCACTATACTGCAGCTCTTCGCGTGGTAGGCGCCATCGTGATCGCTCTGCTCGGTCTGCAGATTCTCAACCGATTCCGGTTTCACCCACAGCTCAACATCCTCACCCGCACTGTAGCCAACGCACTCAAGCAGTTCGGCGCGTTCTTCGTGGTGTTTATTGTGATCTTCACAACGTTCACCATCATCGGCTCGATGATCTTTGGTGACCGAGCCAAGGAGTTCTCCCGGCTGGACAACTCAATGGCGTCCTGCATCAACATGCTCTTCGGCGAGTTCGACTTTGAGTCGATCAAGGACCTCCAGTTCTCTGTCGCCTTCTACTGGATCTACATGATCGTCGTGAGCATCGTGCTGATGAACATGATGCTCGCTATCGTGCTTGACGCCTACGAACAAGTAAGCAGTGAAAGCTACAAGAAGTCGGCGAATTTGACTCTCGCGAACCGCGTCATTTCAATTTGCTGGGACGTGGTGTGTGAGGTTCGTATCTTGATATTCTCTCGAGGTACTGCAGTTTCCCGAGGAAGGATCAGACCGCGTCTGCTGGGGTGGGTTCTTCAGAAGAAGCTCAAGGACAGCCCGCACACAGTCTTGACGCCAGAGACCATGAAGTCGTTGTTTCCGACTGTCAGCAACGAGGAGTTCCAAGCCACCTTCCAGCACATTGAAGAGGGCATGGTCATTGTGAATGCTCTAAAATCTGGCGAACCGACTTGCAAGGAAGAGTAGACATCTTGTAGGACACTGCTTGCGATCCATGGCATTTAGTGGCTTGATATATTTTACTAGTTAAACTGCCTCCTTTTCTATTTGATTAGTTTCGTGCTTGCCCGCTATTTTGTGAAATACTACGACGCAGCTATTATTTAGGGAAATGCTTGCCTCCAGGCACGAAGCAGTTGAAATGGTTGGTTCGGAACAAAGCATTGAAATGTAATGCAATGTATTACGTGCTCGCGTAACCTTAGATACGCTAGGCTGGATATCTTACCTATCGAGCATATTTTTTTTCTTTCTCGCTCAACTACAACAACTGTAGTTCTGTGTAGATCGGTTTGAACACTTCTACATAATACGGGGCCTCCACACCGTCCTTCGTGGCACCATTGCCAGTAACTTCAGCTAGGATGCTCGACCCACTGCAATTTTTCGGTTGTACATCAAATTAACAGGAATTTATGCCTGCTGCGAATGTGTTGGAGAGTTTATCTAGTTTAGAGAAGTGGATCACTCGCCAATAATAAGTACGGACAACTCGTCACGGAGGCAGTTCGTACCATCGATAGCGACAGCAATAGAATCGTTGCATGGCCTGAGCGCGGGCGGGTGAGATGGGGAGTCTGTCTATGATTAGAGATGGGATCAAGTCATTAAGTCACTTGAGCAGTTAGAGCAGTTAAAAGCTGTGTTTCTCTTCATCGCAATGGGGTAGGAAATAACATGAGAAACGGTCTCATGGGTCTCCTTGCCTGCTAGTGAAATTCGCCATAACTAGAACCGCCTCACTCAACTCACCAGAGAGACCCCACGGAATCCAGTGGAAATCGCAGCTAGAACCTTGATCTGCGTCGGAGATGGCGGGACCAGCTGCTGATGTCAGTACAAGTGAAGACCTCGAAAGTGGGCAGATGAGGACTGCAACAAACGCAACTGCTACGACTGAGTTTCCGCTTGACGACGTCTATGCAGCTCTCGCCCATGACAAGTCGATCCTCAAGTCTGTTGGAAGGATTGTTTTCTCAGCGATTTACCTCGGCTTCTTCACGTCCGTACTGTCCTCGCACATTCCGACCGCGAGGATGTACGAACAAACTTACGCCGTTTACTCGATCCTTGCGACGTCGGGCAGCGATGCAGTTACCCCGAGCTCGCCGATCAAGTTCTTCAACATTGGCCAGCTCAGTGACATCTTCGACTGGCTGAACAACTCATTCGTTCCATCAGTGTTCGTGACTCAGGATCAGAACGGAAACGACCTCGATCCGGAAAACTATGCGCGCATCGGCCTCTTCTCCAAGGCTCTCGCAGGTGTTGTTATCGAAGTGGTTCAAAGGGAGACCACTGATTGCGCTCCAGAGAGCAACTACCTGTACGATTTGTACCGTGAATGTCATAAAGACGAATCCTCCCAGAATTACTACATCTTGTCTACAAGTCTCAATGCGACCGAGGCATCTGAAATTCAGATTCTGAATACCTAGCCGAGTGGAAAGGTGAAGACACCTGGATCAATAACTCGACCGACGAGGCGGTTATTTCAGTGTTGACGTACAACGGAGAGCTTGAGGGCTACGTGGTCAATACTGACGCTCAATCAAGGTGGCTACGTTACTCCAACAGCTGTGGTGAGGCCGACGATTTCGATTCCGTACGGGAATGACAGCTCCTACGCTAGTGATGTTCTCGTTTGGACCTGGATGGCCGCATCGATTGGTTGGGCAGTGTCTCGGGTCTTGATCTGGCGAAACAAAGAGAACCGTCCGTCTCGACGCAGCATGATCGCTAGCGTGTTCAGCCTATTCAACATCGAAGCCGTCCTTTGTGTCTTCTACGCTGTCTGGGCCACCATCGTGAACCTGCTCAACGCCTCGGATTTCCAAAACGCCATTTTATTGTTCGCAGACCCAGTCAACATTAATGAAGAAGGCAGCGCAGAGGCCATCGACTCGCTAGCCATCGTCATTAACGATCTTATGAGAATCGCCGACAAAACTGAAGTTCTACGTGCGATTGGTGCCGTCGCCATCGCTCTGCTGTGTCTTCAGATGTTAAATCGATTCCTATTCCACCCTCAGCTCAACATCCTCACTCGCACTATTGCCAGCGCACTGAAGCAATTTTTCGCCTTCTTCATTGTGTTTATTGTGAACTTCACGGGGTTCACAATCATCGGCTCGATGATATTCGGCGATCGTGCGAAGGAATTCTCGTCACTGGCGAACTCAATGATCGTGGTCGGAATCGTGCTGATGAACATGATGCTCGCTATCGTGCTGGATGCCTACGATCGAGTGAGTAAGGAGAGCTACAGGAAGGCGGCCAACCTAAAGCTTGCAAACCGCGTGTTAACTATTTGCTGGGATATTGTCTGCGAGCTGCGCATTGAGATGTTCGCCCGAGGGACCGTGGTATCTCGTGGAAAGATTAGGCCAAGTGTGCTGGAATGGACGCTGAAAAACAGCAAGGACACACACATGGTGACGGAACAGACGATGAAGGAGCTGTTTGCGCATGCCGGGGATGAAGCTTCAATACATTCAATCGAGATAGTGAACGCTGTGAAAGCTGGGGAAGCGGGCTCGAACGGAGACGAGACTATCACGACAGTGAATGTGGCTTCCAGAAATAATGCTTAACTCAAGCAGTCTTTGTGGCCGCCACATGTTTGCTTAAGCTGCTTAAGTAAACGGATAATATTACTACATTTATTATAGATCAACGGATATATTTCTTTCTCTAAGTCGGCTGAAGGAAAGCTTGAAAACAGCAACCACATATTTCCAGCGCACAGCGTCGCTTTCAGTGAAGCTCCAATTTGCTTCGACATCACGCACCACCAAGAGACAATTCCCTAGTGAACGAGATGGGCTTTTAGCTTTATATATATTACGCTCCAAAGGAGAGACGTATTCACCCTGCTTTAAAAAAAATAAACTAACGAATTCTAAACACCTTGAGCGTCCTACTCTCATATCCCTGATCTCTATCCTATAATTTTCAAAAACGTCTATCAATCATCAGGTATGCCCCTGTTCGTTTGTCTATACCTCTGTAATGAGTACCTGATGCCAAGAATATGTTTCACCCACCCGAGTCGTTTGGATCTGGATGACTATGACTCTAGTGTGTAGTGTAGAGGGATTTTGCGTTGCGCAGTGGTGACCGAAGGAAAACCGTCGGGAGTCACTTTCTTTTGTTGAGGTGTGGTATGTGAGGTGGCATCTTCTCTTGCCTCAAGCGTATTGAGGCGCCGTGTCGAAAGGAGAATTCGCATACGACCTCAATCCCAGAGATCATGAAGTCGTTGGTTTTCCGGGATCCAGTGTCAGCTACGAGAGGTTTCGAGTCACTTTTCGGCACATTCAGCAGGGCATTGGTATTGTGGAAAAAAAACGGGTGATTAGAGTGAAATGATTGGAGTGAAAGAAAGGGTAGCCCAAGTAACATAGCCGTCCAAAGCAAGACTAATATCTGCTACAACAATGGGTACAGAAGCCAAACCCTTCCGGCATTTCTCTATAACTCTTTTTCTTGTTTATAGTGATCCATCATACGATAGCAAGGTCACAGTATGTGTAGACCACAGTCCGTTATATGAAAATTCCCGAGCGGTTGTTGCACGGTCCCTGGAATGAATTGTCTAAATTCAGAGGTGGGGTGTTATTTGAAGAAACTTCATCTGAAGTTGTGGTTTCAGGAGTTGATGGTGCAGTTATAACGTTGATGGTGCAGTTATATACGTGCGTGTGTGTGTGAAACGAGTTCATTTGGCGCTGCGATGTGATCATACATTTCTGCTGTAAAAAGACAACCGTCGCGACGGTTGAAAAAACACGCGAGGGACCCAGAGAGACTTCAACTAGCAGTCTTACTTCCAAAGACCCTCCCAGCACCAGCCAGCACAAGGTGTGGCGTAATTTGCAGCTTGGGAGCTTGATCCCCCGTTGAACATAGTGAGATGGCGGCATCGGTCGCGGATAGCAGTACAGCTGATCCCGAAATCGGGGAGACGAAGACGACCGCCCGTACAGAGCCCACCTCCACGATCGAAATTCCATTTGAAGACTTCACGGCAGCTCTCGACCACGACAAAACAATCCTGCTCTCGGTGGGCAGAATCATTTTCTCGGCGATTTACCTCGGCTTCTTCACGTCCGTGCTGTTTTCTCATATCCCTACCTCGCGGATGTACGCAGAAGCGTACTCACTGTCCTCTGTTCTGGCGTCGTCCGGTGGCGACGCGGTTACTGCCAGTTCACCCATGAAGTTCTCTTACATTGGCCAGCTCAGTGATGTCTTTGACTGGCTGAATAACTCGCTTGTGCCATCCGTATTCGTGACCCAAGACCAGAATGGCTTCGATTTGGATTCAAAAGATTTTGCTCGCGTAGGTCTTTTCAACAAAGGGCTGGGCGGAGTGATTATTGAGGTCTACCGGCGGACCGAGTCGGACTGTGCTCCGAACACCTACCTGTACGACCTGTACGAGACGTGTCATCAAGGCTCGATTACTCGTTTTTCGTACATTCTCTTCTTTAGCCTCGATGCGACCGAGGCATCGCAAGCACTAGATGAGTGGAAAAGTGAGGACAACTGGATCAACAACGCGACTGACAGAGCGGTGATTTCAGTGCTGACGTACAATGGGGAGCTCGAGGGATACGTGGTTACCGAGTTAACGCTGACGCTTGACCAAGGTGGTTTTGTCACACCCACTTCATTGGTAAGACCAACCATTTCGATTCCTTACGGCAGTTCAAGTTCCTATGCAAGTGATGTTCTCGTTTGGATCTGGATGACTATGTCAGTCGTTTGGGCGATTTTCCGCGTTTTAGAGTGGCGAAAGAAGGCCAATCGTCCTTCTGGGCGCGAGATGGTCTTGCGCTTGTTCAGCTTATTCAGCGTCGAAGTCGTCCTCTCGGTGTTTTACGTACTGTGGGGTACTATCGTGGGTCTGCTGAACGACCCAGATTTCCAAGACGCCATTCACAACTACGCGGATCCGTTCAAGGCTGATGATGTTGGGGAAACTGAAGGTATCAACGCGCTTCTGGACGTCATGGGTGACCTTAAGACGATCGCCCATTACACCGCAGCTCTTCGTGCAGTTGGCGCAGTCGTCACCGCGCTGCTCTGCCTCCAGATTCTCAACCGATTCCGATTCCATCCGCAGCTCAACATCCTCACTCGCACCGTTGCCAGCGCTCTAAAGCAATTTGGCGCCTTCTTCGTGGTGTTTATCGTTATTTTCATGGGGTTCGCAATTATCGGATCGATGATCTTTGGTGATCAAGCAAAGGAATTCTCGTCACTAACCAATTCAATGAGGTCCTGCATTAATATCATTTTCGGCCAGTTCGACTTGGACTGCATCGAAGATATTCCGTTCTCAGTTGTCTTCTTCTGGGGCTACATGATCGTCGTCGGCATTGTGCTGCTGAACTTGATGCTCGCAATCGTGTTGGACGCCTACGACCAAGTGAGTAAGGAAAGCTACAAAAAGGCGTCCAACCTCAAGCTCGCGAATCGTGTCATATCTATTTGTTATGATGTGGTGTGCGAGCTATGCCTAGCGCTATCCGCTCGAAGGACCGCTACATCACGTGGAAGGATTAAATCACGTGAGCTGAATGAGAAACTCGTACGCAGCAAGTCGACAACCCAACAAGTGAACGAATCGGTACTGCAGGCTAAGTTTCCAGATACTTCTCCGGCAGAACGCCATGCCACGCTTCAATACATTCAAGAGGGTGTTGAAATTGTAAGCGCTAGCAAAAAATCTGAAAACGATGAAGATGAAGAGTTGAAAGAGATGCTAGAGAACCTCTTTCCCGGTGGCAAGATCGAGGACTTCAAGAACGCGTTTCAACAAGCCGAACAAAGTATTGTTTTTGTCAATGTGCTGAAGTCGAAAAAGGAGTAGAGAGATCAGTAGGCTTATTCGAATCGATTGACAAAAGTTTTTTTTTTTCTTTCCTCTTCAATCATAACCACCCTCGTTGTCAAGGAGTCATTGACAACTCCAAGACAACCGCGCACTACACTGAAGCACTCCGTGTGATTAGTGCCGCCGTTATCGCTCCGCTCTCTTTCCAGATTCTCAACCAATTCCGATACCACCCACAGCTCAGCATTACGCTCGCACTGAAGCAATTTCGCGCTTCTGCGCTGCTTTCGTTGTGCTATTCGCGGGATTCACAATATCGGGTCATCGTGCGAAGGAGTTCTTTGAAGCATTCAACACAAACCCAATGCCAGCAAGATACACGTTCATTTACTCCAATCAGATGACGAGTGAAACAGCAGTCCTGTAACCCATCGAAATCGCTATGATGCATGTACCAGCACGCAATCGGCTTCATCGCCAGGCAAGAAGAAGGCAGTTCTCGAGGCTATCCTTTGTGTCACAATAGTGGACTAGACGAGTTTTCAGCTTCATCTGCGTTAAGTATGCTGCGCGACCAGCGTCTATGATGCGCTTGCACTTCCGCCCCAGAACTGCACGCTCGTCCTTGCTGTAGGGTTTCAAACCATAGTAACAACCGGTTAGAAGAAAATGGCGTATACGCATGCACAATGAGCTGGGCTGTACCTGATGCCAAGAATGTGTTTCACTGCGTCACCCTCGAGGCCCATGCCACACGTAGTCCACGACGTCATGCTAGTTAGTAGCTGAAACTCTTCGGGCTTGAACCCTTGGGCCTGGAAGAACGCTGGGTTCACGTAGTCCTCCCACGCGCAAACGTGATGGCAGCAAAGTGCGATCGCCAACCCCTGGAAGCTCGAGCTGACTGAATTCGAAGCACCTTCCGACGATTCACTCTTGGAGTCGGGCAGCGTCTGCGCGATAGCTCGTAGCGACAGATCCGTGGCCACACCACACAAGTGTTTGGACATGCAGACGATAGGTTTGTTGAGGATTTCCTCCATTCCGGCGAAGTTCAGGTGGCGGATATCAATCTTTGCACGCAGCGTAGTGGAGCTGTCCTTCTCAGCTTCTTCGCCCTTGCCCTCGCCTCCGATGAACCGATCAGCCTTGCCTCGCGTGTGAGCCCGATCGATCAGCACGTAGAGACTGTCCGGGAACATCTGAGCCAGGGCCAAGGACAACATTCCTCTTCCAGCTCCAAGCTCCACGAAAGCGGCGTTCGAGTCTTGCAGCAGCTTCACTTGCTCCATGTGGCCAATGATCGAGGTCTGCTGCTCAATGTGCCGCAGCACGCTCTGCGACGCGCCGGCCTTCTTCTTCTCCTCAAAAAGCTGGTCGCAGCACTTGTGGTGCAGCTTCTCCAGCGCCAGCTCACCAACACATGATTCATACGCAGCGTCAATGCGTTTGCGGAGATCCGCAAAGTCAATGGCGAGCAGCTTGTCAATAATTCCCTGCTGCTCCTGAGCGGAGGGCTCCGAGTGCTCCTTCTCCTCCTCGTCCTTCTCCTTGTCAGCAGCAACTTCCTGTTCTGCTGTGTCACTAGACGCAGCTGAGTTGTCCGAGCAATGAGTGCCGCCAGAGTTGATGTTGTGGCTGTAGTACGGCAACTTCTTCATGATATCGGCGTCCTTGACCCGGTTGCAGACCAGCACGTGCTTCGCCAGATCGTACTCGTAGACTGTGTGCGACGCGTCCACCGGACATGGTACACGACGGCGAGTGGCGGCCTTGAACTTCTGCGACTTCTTGCTCACTGCTGCGTCACTGTCGGGCAGGTGGTTGCCGCAGAACATCGAGCCTGGCACTCTGCAGCAGCATTGTCAGCCAAAGTTTGCAATCATTTCGAGACGCATTGACACATTCTCGATCTCCTCACCTGGCGATGTTGCAGTAGCGGTTCTTGCGCACCACTTTGAACATGCATCGGTCCCATTGGCCGCCGTCCTTGGCCTCGGCCTTCGCCTGCTTGCGGCGCTTGCGCTGGGCGTCGCGGCCGAGCTGCTCAGCGCTACGCTTGGTCTCCATGGGGCCCGCCTGTACTGCTGACTGGAGCTGCCTGCGTCACTCGGTGATTGGACGAAAAGAGGAATTGTGAGCTTTCGGATTGGACAAAAACTCAGTCGTGAATTTGCTAGTCATGGATGACAACGCGGAGCTCCAGGTAGGAGGCACGGGGCAGCTATGGAGGCCTCATACTGCGAGAAACGCTGGCTATTCACCATTATGGACATTTTCTCCGTGTTGTCGTGTTGGCGATGTGCGTTTTGATGTGATTTCCGTTGGATTAGAGCGAGGAAATCGAAGTTTTGCAGGTATTTAATCCGATATTGGCCTAATACCATTGAGTAGAGGCTTTAACTGACCCTGGTTTTAATCTGCAGTCCATCTTCGAGGACGAGTTCCAGCTCAAGGGCGACTTGGACCAGCCGGGAGTGGCCAGGTCCTTCACGGTATCAGTGCCGGGGCCTCATGCCATCGTGCTTCTGGTACACCTGCCGCAGGGATATCCGTCCGTGGATCCCCCCATCGCTGAGGTGTACGAGTCCTTCGGTCTGACAAATGCTCAGAGAGACGATATCCTAGAGAACTTGGTGCGATGATAACTGAATGTGTGGGGAGTGGGAGGCTTAGAATTAAGAGTTACTGACACTGCTGCATTTGACCGGTGCCCAGGCTGCCATCTTCGAGCGCTCGAGCGGTCAAGTGTGCCTCTACGAGTGGATCGAAGACGTGAGGGAGAAGTACGCCAATGCTGAACTCGATGCTGAGGCTGGGGCTGGCGATAGTGAAGAGGAAGGGGTCGCAGCCGACACACGACTTGATGCAGTCGAGTACTTTGAGTCGGATTCGCAGACGCTGCGTCCTCGAGTACGAACAGCTCAGCTAGTGCGCGACGTCGAGCGTGAAGCAGTGATCGCTCCTCTCATTGTTCACGGAACGATGATTGTCGACCGAAAGAGCACCTTCATAGCGCACGCGTGTCCGGTCAAGTGTGTTGAAGATGTGCGCTCCTTCCTTGCGCTGCTGCTCGACTACCGCAAGATTGAACGGGCGATCCACAACATGCTGGCCTATCGCATCATCGGCGACTTCACTGTCAAAGACAACGATGAGGACGGAGAGCACGGAGCAGGCAGCAAGCTTTCGAACCTGTTAGAGCTGCTGAAGGCTGAAAATGTGGCCGTCGTGGTGACGAGATGGTACGGCGGAATCAAGCTTGGCCCCGACCGGTTCAAGCATATCAACGCGTGCGCGCGGCAGGTACTGGAAGATGGTGGATTCTTGGACGAGGCAAACCTTCACCACGGATCCAAGAAGAAAAACAAACGGTGATTCATGAAAGTGCAGTGCAAATACTGAACACGGGGCATCAATCCTCTCTCTTTTCAACTATCATACCGTAGAAAGCGTTTGTTCATGTTTATCCATTGTCTACTTGAGTGGCGCTAAGTGTACACGGTAACGTGCACCCTTGTAGCGAATTGTAAGGACAGCACCAGCTGCCGTCGCCTCACAGAATGCGGTTGCCAAGCGCCGAGGAGATGAGAAGCAGCGCCATGTCCACAGTGATCTGGGCACCGTCGCCCGGCGCCAGCGTCGGGTTCACTTCAACCATGTCCAGACCGACGAGCAGGTTGGTTTCCGCCGCGGCTTCAGCAACGTAGTGCGCCTCACGCCACGTCAATCCTCCACGCACGCGCGTGCCCGTGGACGGAGCCACCAACGGGTCCACTGCGTCAATGTCATAACTCATGTGCAGCGGACGCTGCTTCTTGCCGCAGAGGTGGTCAAGTGCCATCTCCATCGTCTTGCCAATGCCGTAGCGGTCCACGTCCTGCATCGTGAAGGCCTTGATCCCCTTCTCGTGAATGATCCGGCGCTCGAACTTGTCGACGTCGCGCAGACCGACATACACGAGCTGCTCGGGCTTCATGATGGGACCGTTGGCGAGCCACTCAAAGCCCGGGACCTTGGAGCTGTCCACCATTCCGTCCATGAGGAACGCGATAGGCATGCCGTGCATGTTACCCGAGTCCGAGTCCGCGGGCGTGTTGATGTCCGCGTGAGCGTCCACCCAGATCACTCCAGCGTCCGGGTGCACGGACAGCAATCCCGCTAGCGAGCCAGCTCCAATAGTGTGGTCGCCTCCCAGCACCAGGCAGAACTTTCCTTCCCCAGACTTCTGCTTGAAGACTTCGTAGAGCTGCTTCGTTCCATTCCCAACTGTCCAAAACATCGTCGAACAAACCCAAAGTCAGACAAAGTTCAACTTGAAAAAAAAACCATCATATGCTGACCAGGGAAACACTGCTTGGCTTTGCCGTAGCGCGGGTCCAGCGCGGGGTCGTTGAAGGACGGCGCCACGAAGTTGAGGTTGCCCATCTCCTCCACGGACCAGCCCAAGTCCACGAGCGTCTTGTGCAGCCCCGCCTCGCGCAGCAGATCCGGTCCGCCGTCCGTGCCCAGCAGCGGTTGGCCGTCTGCGCCACAGCAACAGCAGCACAAAGGTCAGAGACACAATAAGGTTTTCCCATTGTATGGTAGGTGAGAGTTGCCGTTGTCGTCGTACAGGTCATGGGGGCGCCGATAACCGACACGGCGTGCGGCAGGCTCAGCAGCGCGTTGCGGTGCTCCCCCGCGTGGATGTGCGGGCGCACCTGGTCCCACTGGCGCAGGGCGGAGCTGGAGATGTCGCGCTGCTCCACGCGGCGCAGGACGGAGGAGGAGACACGACCGAGCATCGGGCAGCAGTGAGGAAGACGCCTCAGATCTAGGAATGACGCCACACTCGAATCAATGGTCGCACCCAGGCCCCCCGTCAAAGTCGTTGATTTGTGGATCTGTTTGCGCGCACTTCAACTACGTGACTTGGTTTCACTATGCCCACATGAGACCGGTCAATCGCCACGTTGCTGCGATCATATTGACCAGGCAACCAACCAACGCTGCGTTTGAACTTATCCTCAAAGACCTCCGAGTCTCTCAGAGTCTCTCAGATCGGTCCCTGCTTGCGGTTCCTCGTCTTCTTTCTGCTCTGGGGCAGCGCCGAGACGTCGATGAAGCCGCCGCCCTCCAGCGCCTCACGCGCGCAAACTTTGATGTGCTTGAAGCGGTCCGGCCCGAGGTGGATGCCGCCGCACCAGCGCGTGACCACCACGGCCACGTTCTCGGCCTTGATCAGCTCCATGAGGTGCAGCATCTTGCTGCCGGCGCCGTCCTCCTCGTCTTCGTCGGTGTCCTTGATGGTGAAGGCGCCCGTGAGCCGATACGCCAGCATGTTGTAGCACGCGCGACTGATCTTCCGATCGTCCAGCAGCACGGCCAGGAAGGAGCGCATGTCCGCCACGCAGGAAATGGGGCACGCGTGGCCCTGGAAGACGCTCTTGCGGTCTAGGATGGTGCCGCTGTGAAAGATCAACGGGGACAGTCGGGCCTCGCGGTCGCGGTCGCGCAGCGCTTGAGCTGTTTTAGTGCGCGGCCGCAGAGTTTGCGGGTTGGACGAAAAGCAAGCCGAGCTTACCGGCTCTGGAAGAGGTACCGCATCGCCGCAATCGGCAGCTTCAGACTCGGGCTCCTCCGTCTGACGGGTGGCGTAGACCTCCCGCACGTCCGCGATCCACTCGTACAAGCAGACTTGGCCGTTCGAGCGGTGGAAGATGGTGTCCTGCGCAACGTCGGTAGGCAAACCTTAGTCATCGCCACGTAATAGCAAGAAAATGCAGCAGGCCACGCACGAGTTTGGTCGTGATCTGATCTCGTTGAGCATTCGTAAGTCCGAAAGACTCTTGCACGATGGCCACTGGAGTGAGGTCCAGGCACGTCGATCGTGAACGACCGCGCGCCATGAGGTTCATCAAAGTCGGCGCTCAACTGGAACTCGTTCGCGAAGATGGCCTGGACAAAAGGAGGTACTTTAATAGTCGCCACTTCAACTTCCACGACGATAAACGCACCTGAAGCACCTCGATTTCCTCGTCTTGCAGTGCCGCATTCTGCTCGCGCTCGCTCTCGCTGCACATGGCGTCCAAGTGCACTCCACTGGTGCTTCGTGCGGCGGCAAATCCGCTTGTGATCTAGATCTCGCACGATGGGGAAAGCTTGTCAAAGTCGCCGCCACACGTCACAGATTGTGTACGAGCCGCACACAACCGACCGACCGTGTCGTACCTGACCACCAGAAGAGCAGACGCCGAGCCGATGCCGTGGAACGCCAACAACAACCCAGCGGGCGACATCCGCGCGCCGGCCATGGCGGCTGCGCTCCGTCTCAAGCAGCAGCAGCAAGGGGCCACGGACGTAGCCGCCGCCTGGACGCGCTCGCTGCGCGTGGAGGAGCTGGACGGCCTGGAGCTGGCTGGCGACCAGCTGTCAGCGCTGCGTCACTGCGCGCTACTGCACCCGGACGACTTCCCCGCCGCTGCTGCGGGGCCCGACGGAGCGGCCCAGATCCACCCGCGACTGCACGCGCAGTTCGTGGTGGCTGCGCGTCCGCACGAGGCCGTGGCTCGAGGCTCCATCGCCCTGTCACAGCTGCAGATGATCAACCTGGAGCTCTGCGAGTTCCAGACGGAGAAGTGGACGCTCTTCACGGACAGAGTGCCTATTGTGAACGCTGTTGCAGTTGAGATCCGACCACTGATAGAGCAGGAGGACGATAGTGATAGTGACGAAGAGGAGGAAGAGTCGACTGCTGCTGCTGTGCAGCCGCCTCATGCCCCGATAGTCACGGATGCCAAGGAGTTTGCGTCGGCGTTCGCCAAGTTTACGTGGCAGCGGGTGCTGACGGAGCACGAGCGGATCGTTATGCCATACAAGGACAGCCGCAACTATTTCGTCCGCGTGCTGGAGATCGACGCGGAGGATGAGGACGAGACGGAGTTCACGATGCCCGATTCCTTCCGTGGTCGCGTGGACGAAGACGTTCAGGTGTTTGTATCGTCGGAGGGGGGAGCATCATCGGTGTTTGAGCTGCGGAATGCTACAGTGGTTAGCGATGCCGGTTTGGCGTCGATGAGATCCGACGTCGTCACGGTCCTCACAAACGATGAAGAAGAATTCCCAGTCAAGAAGAAGCTGTTGTTCCCGTGTATTAAACTGTCGTCGGCTGTGCTCTCAGGCAGGGGTGTGCACAAGGACGCCTCTACAACCATCGAGGTTGACGTGGACTGCTGCACGTTCGACCGTGTCTTGCTGTACCTCGAGCACGAAGCGCGCAACGACAGCACCGAGTTCCAGTTTGATCCTGCAGTCACGGAAGATCTGCTAGCTGCTGCAGTTACGGTGGGGTGCATTGGCTTGCAGGAAGTGTGCCAGAGACGCCTTGGAGAGTTCGAGACCCGCGTGCGCAAGGACGCTATTCGCTGGGAGGAGGTCGTCCGCCGCAATGAATCGGGCGAGGTGTGGCTCGTCATGCAAGGCATGGTGTTGGATATTACACGATGGATCCCAGAGCACCCAGGTGGCTCCGAATTGATCGCTCAGGAGGCCATGAATGTCGATTCGACCGTCATGTTTGAGATCTACCACGCAAGTCGCCAGTCTTTCCGCTACCTCAAGCAGTTTTACATCGGTGAGCTCTCGGAGTTCGACCTCGCAGCGATGCCCAAGTCAAGAGAGCAGCCTTCTGAGGCTTTTATCCAGGAGCTACGGCAGTACACGACGTGGCGCATCAAGCCGGAGGAGCACACTTTCAAGAGCTTTTAGGCGTTATAGTGTGCCGCAAATGGTAAGGATTTCATAAGGTTTGGCGTGGCGTTTACTTCTACTGCAATTGCTGGGCTGCTGATGGTAATAGCGAGCAGAAACTGTTGGCTACACTGCAAAGGGCGACATCACACCAGTAGCCAGGGTAGCATGGTACACACAAGCTGCCATTCCATGAATACGATCCAGCGGGACACAATGCCGGTGTGGGAGACGTAGAGCCTCGAGGGCAGTCATATCCGTCTTGGCATTTGCCAGAGCAAGCTTTCGAAGCGAGAGCGGTTGTGGCCCCAAACGTTCCTTCAGGACAGAGGTACTGTATGCCACCAATGCAGTAGCTTCCAACCGGACACGATGTCTCCGTTGCGGACGTCGAGTTTCGCGGACACAAGTACCCGGCTTGGCATTTACCAGAACAAGCTGTCGACGCAAGACCGATGGTGGCCCCGTACGTTCGTTCAGGGCAAAGATATTGAACACCACCGATGCAGTAGCTTCCAGCGGGGCAAACGATCTCGTCGGTACGAAGTCCTGCTTGCGTGGCCACAGTGTAGTAGCCGGTGTCGACAGCAATTGGTACGGAGGAGCCTTGACGACAGAATGATGTCCGAGACGTGCAGGGATTTTGCGTGTAGTTTGCTGTTCCTTTCGGGCTGGAGATTCAAACATGAAGAAACGTCAGCTTGCGGGCTTGTCGGGTGCTTTGACACAATGATATCCGTACCAATAGTATCCGGCAGGGCACGGTGCAGTGCAAGCAGCGGTCGACAAGCCTTCGCTGCTGCCATACGTTCCAGCCGGACAAAGCCTTTTCACGCCAGAAATACAGTACGAGCCTTTCTCGCAAATGCGTTGATCTGATCGAGTCGTTTGGTTCTGGATCGCGAGCTTGTAGCCTTCGACGTACTGCAGTGCTAGCTGTTCCCCGGTCACGGACGTTCCCGAGTATTTTTTCCAAGTTGTGTAGTAGCCTATCGTTGCCGCGGTCGGTGCCGACGAGCCCTTGGGGCTAAACATTCCTACGGATCCACATTCCAGCGGAACTGTTGTCGCCAAAGCGCAATAGTATCCTGCGGGACAAGAGGATGGAAGACACGATAATACACCACCGACTAACGTACACGCGCTCGAACACGCTGAGCTAACGAGGCCCTGCACAGCTCCATACGTGCCTGTAGGACACGGTGCGGGGGTAATAGTCCCGATCTCACTGCAACGAACCACGTCAAAGGTAGAACAAACGACATCAATGACAGCGGTTCAACGTACCAGTAGTGCCCGATCGGACAGAGACCGCTGCAGCGAGCATCCTTCAGACCGACTTCACCTCCGAACGTTCCAGCCGGACACAGTGTCGGCACGTTTGTAGCTTCCGGGCAGTACGAACCTTTCGGGCAAGGTGCAGAGCAAGTCGGGGAGGTCATTTTCGTTGAATCTCCATATACCCCAGCTGGGCAAACCCGTCGGATGCCGAAGACGCAGTAGTATCCCTTCTCGCAGCGTATTTGCCGTCCAGCACCGCCGAGCGAGCTGTCGATCATGGGCAGATTACTCTGGTCGGTTGGGAATTTGATCGTGTAGTATCCTTCATCTACCTTGCGCCGCTCGGCGCTGCCAGCGGGGCAATAGAAGACGGAGGTGCCGCAAGGCTTCTCTTGCGGTGAAGTTGACCCTTCCGGGCAGAAGAAGCCCGCATTACACAAACCAGAGCATGCCGACGAGGTGAGACCCGGTGCAGCTCCAAACCTTCCTCCTGGGCATCGCGAACACTTGACGCCATCAAAGTACGACCCAGCGTTGCAAGCGAGCGCCTCGGCTGTGTGAAGAAGCATCACAGAAGCCGCAGCAATCAGGACACAGCATGTCGATCGTGGCATCGGATCCCCAAACGGTTGAGGAGTCGAAAAGACGCGACTGTCAAATTGATGCAAGAACGCATTGGGACGACGATGGAGCAGAGCCCTGCCGCGCGAGCCCAGTCCTTGCAGCTTCTCAAGAGCAAGCTACGATCCAGCGGCAGGAGGCGGTCCAAGTCAAGTCGCATCGCCGCGACGCTGGAGGATCTGACGCCGAATCAGCAGGAAGAAGCGAAGCTGAGTCAGCAGCTCGTACCGAAGCGGCCTGAGCAGCGTCTGCATCAACTAAAACGTGCCGAGCCCGAAGCTGTTGAAGGCACAAATGCACCAGCTGCTGCGGCTTCAACCGTCCAGGCAACTTGCAACCAAGAGGACGTCTCGGTGGCGGAACTCAAGAAAGAGTTCTCTCGATTGGTGACAAAAGCTCCGATGCCAGTCGCAGCCCCGTTCCCAATGAAGCTCAAGAGCTACACGAAGACTGTGATCCAGTGGACCTGTGACACATGCAAGCGCGAGTGCATCCCAGTGCGCGAAGAGAGTCGCTGTCTTTGGTATTTTTTCGTATTGTCCGCTGATCTTTACTCAAGGGTTCGTGACTTGTGGATACTAACCTCGTGTGCGTCTTTTACTAAAACAAACAAACAAAAAATCTACGCAGTGGACACCGCTACAAGGAGCACCCGAGCAGCGCCGCAGATCCACGCGTGAGGTCGCCCGCTGGGTTCCGTGCCTTTGCGTGCACTTCGTCCAAGTGCGCGTGCAAAAGCTTTTTCTACGTTGTGGCGGAGGGAGCCTGGATCCTACGATGCCGCTGCAAACATAGGCACACGGATCACGACCCGGGCGCCAAGCCGTTCGTCTGCAAGAAGCTCAAGTGCGGCTGCTCCGGATTTGACAGGTGCGTACGCCAGGCCAAGTTTTTTGCAAGTCGCGCACGCGTACATTTGCTTGGGATGTTGTTCATCAAAAATCCACCTTACGATTTGATGCGGTTTGCGTCTCTACAGTCCGTGGGTCTGCAACTGCGATCACCCGTGGAGCGCGCACCGGCAGCACCGCGTCGAGAAGCGCTTCGACCCGCTGCAGTTGCTGCAGGCGCAGTGTCTGGCGCCGGAGCTCAACGCGGTGCAGCGGACGGATCTGGAGGCCTCGCCGCTGGACTTGAGGCTCTGACGGCCCACCCTCAACTTCACCGAATTCGCCCGCTTCAACAGAGCTGACCGTACGCTGACACATTCGTCGGCTGGGGCTGCGAAAATCCATCGGCTGTCTGGCAGACGATCAACCTGCGGTCGGCACGCAGAAGCAGCGCGGTGCTCGCACCAAGCAGCGCACAAAGTCGCTGAGAAGCTGCGTGTTCCTCCGAAACGAAAAAGATAGTGCTTTCCGTTGCTAACGAGCGCGTGTCGCCCCCAAACTGTTTGCTTCAACGCTGTCCGTTCCTCGTTGGGTGTGGGGCTGGCATCATCGAGATGAGAGCCAACTCCGTCGGCCAGCACTCCTTTGGCCAACCAACGGCCATGCGGTCGGGCCTCAACTTCAGCTGCGCGTCGCCAGCCCGCCGGGCCTAGAAAGCCGTAGCGCTCCGGACGAGCGGCCAGTTTTCAGCAGCGCTCCCGCATTGCACAGTCGGCTCAATTGCACGCTTGCGGCCCCGGCCATCATGGTCCTGGGCCGCACAGTCTGACCGAGGGTTTGTGCTTCGTAGTACCGTATTTTAGATCTCATACCACAGACAGATCTCTTACTTCATACTAGGCATTAGCCAATGATATCGCGCCATTTACCCAGCTCGTCAGTTGAGTTCTCATAATACGTAGGGTATAAATTGAGCAAATGCAGCAAAAGAGGGCCAGTCATTGCAAGAGAACAACCATGGAGCGCACGCCAAGTCCGCGGAAAGTGATGTCCCGCTCTTCAGGTCAGCAGGGAGGGCGGACACGCACAACAGGAACAGGAAAGCTGCCGAAGCGGTTTAAGCGTGTTGCTGTCTCCTTTCAACACAAGCTCAGCGTGATCGAGTCCTACGACGCAGTCGTTACTAAGGAGAAAATGCGCGACACAGTCAACTACTTCTACCCTTCGCTCACGGCAGCCCAATTAAAAGCCAAAAAGCGACAGGTCTACAACTGGCTGAACCAGCGCGATCTAATTATCGACAAGGTCGAAACCGGGTGCGCTAGCTGCCGTGGAGTAGATAGATCTAGACAGCAGTGTTTAAGGGTACCGGTAAATACCACTTTGCATGATGCACTTCAGAATACGAACATAAAATCGTCGGTACATGTACATCTCGTGTGCACTTTGCAACACGACAACTTCAATAATCAGCTATATGTAGTATGAGATCTAAATTACGGTAACAGCGGAGCCCAAGGCCGACCAGCCTCGGCCAAGTATCACTTGCACGGGCGTCGACAGAGCCGGTGCGCTTTCGTCCGCTTATTTTTTGCGTGGAATTGTGAAAGGGGGGACTGAGCCCCCATTGGCCAGCGCCTTGAAGGGGTGTGACACCAGAGCGCCGGTCCAACATTACGACGAGGGGCGCCGAGCTGCTCGATGCACCGGCCGGGGCGCGGCCTGGTGCCAGCTGAGCTCCGCCGTGCACGGGCGAGCGCCAATCTGCATTTTGCCGCCGCGCAGAAAGATCCACGTAGTCGTGCTGCGCGCAGCGGACTCGTACACTTGAACCTCTATTCTCGGAGTAGAGGGGTATCTATCCATCCGCTACTAATAGCGCCGAGATATCTCTGATTGTCGAAAGCCTATCGACATCTATCTCGCCACCGAACTTCCGAACGGCTTTCCACCTCCAGAAGCCAGCCAACGTCCCCGACCGGCACTCGCCAACAAGACGCAGAGCCGCCATGAGCTGGATCGACAAGTACGACGTGGCCGTGCCCGGCTACCAGGTCACGGACGGCAAGGTCTTCTTCGCCATCAAACTCTCCAAGAACGACGCGCGTGCGGCGGCGCCGGCCTCGCTCTCGCCCAACGGCGTGTGCACCACGCTGCGCTCGTACTCGCAGTTCCGCCGCCTCTGGAAGACGCTGCGCGAGCGCGTGGACGAACCGACGAACCACCGCCACCACTTGACGCTCAGCGCGAAGCACAAGTGCCGCTGCGCCGAGGACCGCTGCGAGTTCGACGCGCTGTACCCGATGCTGCACTCGTTCCCGTTCCCGTCGCGCCGCTCGCTGCGCTCCAAGTTCACGGGACTCGACCACGCCGCAGTCAACGAGCGGCGCGACGCTCTCGCGGCGTTTATCGTGCTGCTGCACGAGTTCTTCAGCAGCTTCGGCGGCGCCACGCTGCGTGAGAAGCTGCAGGACGACAGCTGCTTCGTGCTCAAGGCGTACGCCAACTTCCTCGGCGCGGCGGAGCACTTCCCGGCCGGCGCGTCGGCCGCACTGCACCGCCCGCTGGCGCTCGATGGCTGGAGACAGCAGTGCGCTGAGCAGATGCTCAACCAAGAAGAGGAACACGACGACGACGGCGACTACCGCGATAGCGAGTCGGAAGTCAGCGAGGTTCGCCTCGCCACCCCACGCGCAGTCGCGTCTCGAAAGGAAGAGACGCCTGAAGAGGACGACACCACGGAGACGGAGCGCGTCACGCTGCCGTCCTTGCAGGTCAAGACTGTGCGCGTGCACACCATGCACTCGTTCATGGAGGAGTTCTGCGAGCACGTGCTTAGTCAGTTCGCGGTCGATATCGACGAGCTCAACTCGCCCGACCTCACGGAGGCCCGCCGCTGGGAGATCTGCCTGTACGTGGCGTGCCGCATCGGCCACACGTACGCCGTGCAGCTCATCCTGTTCAACTACGCCGACGCCAACACGGCCATGGCGGACGGGTCCTCGTGCCTGCACATTGCGGCGCGCATGGGCCGGACGGACATTGTGGCGCTGCTGCTGGACGAAGGCGCAGACGTCAACATGGCCAACGACGCCGGCGTGACCCCGCTCATTGCCGCGTGCCGCAACGGATGCGTCGACGTCGTGAAGCTTCTGCTCGACGCAGGCGCCACCGTGTCGGTCTGCAGCAAGCGCGGCACGTACCCGCTCCACGCCGCCATCGTGTCGCAGAACCTCGAGATCGTGGCGCTGCTGGTCGACAGCGGCGCGAACGTGAACGTCATGACCGCGAGCGGCATCACGCCGCTGCACTTCGCGGCCAAGCTCGGCTCGCTGGCCATCTCCGAGTACCTGCTGCGCCACGACGCCGACCCGGAGAAGCGCACCAAGAACGACAGCGACGCCATGATGATCGCCGAGGCCAACGGCCACGCCACCATCTGCGAGCTGTTCCAGCGCTTCTCGGGCTTCGCGACGGGCGAGCAGGTGGGGGCCGACTACCTGCTCAACATGAGCGAGACCGACAAGTCGCCCGACATGGTGCGCATGCTCTCGCAGCGCCGACTGTCCCGGGCCTCTCGAGTCGCGGCCTAAACGCCTCAAGGCAGCTCCCTATCTTTATAAACGGCAGCAGCGCGCTGCGTTCGATCGAAGAATGCGCGGAAGCTCCCTGGCATATTTATTCAATACTCACGCCATGACTATGACAAGCAAAACCTGCTTCACCGCTATTATTGTGAATTCTGGCCAATATTGCCGATTCGGGTCGGTTTACCATATGGGTTGAAATCGCTGAATACAAATTTCAAGTCTTTTGGAATCGACCGAGACGGCCTGAGCGACTTCTTATTTCGTACTTTATTGCGTACACAGTAAACTCAAGTCAAATCAAAATCTCGGGCAGTTTGCTGTCGGTCGATTCAATCAATCGACTTCGGAAAGTTCGACTAGAACGCGCAATATATCTTGTTGATCTTGTTGACCGCTCACTGCAAGTTGAAGCGTTCTCCCCGGTCAGGCGATCTGATCCGACGCTCTGGTAGACAGCAGTTGCAGTGCAGCCAGCAGGCGGAATTAGCCTACGAGACCAGAGCGTATAGAGGCCTCCTGCTGCTCCGCAGTTTCGTTCGCGTCGAGCTGCTGCCCGACTGCAGGCAGCAGGCAGCAGGCAGCAGGTAGGCACAACGGATATATCCGTCCAGATGATGCGGAAGATTAGGAGCCGCCCAGCAGCGTAAGACACCCCGAGCCGATTGTGCTCAATGCTCATAGCCATCCATGAGCCATCTATAGTGCTGCCCCCGAGTAGGGCCATCATCCGATTCGATGCCGAAGCGCTCCGACCTGACCCGTCTATGGGCTTATTTTTGGCTCGAGATTGAACCTGAGAAACGGCGCCGAGCGCTGCCCAGACCTCAAGAAGCCTCGAGTCCATCAAGTGAGGAAGGAGCCACAGAGGAGTCATGGCGGACAGCGACAGCGACGACGAGCTCATGAGCCGCCTCACGAGCATGGTGGGCGGCTTCGCGGGCGGCTCGGGCGAGGACTGCGCCTACTGCGCCACGCCCAACGCGTCGCTGGGCTGCTCCATCTGCAGCAAGGCCTTCTACTGCAGCGAAGTGCGTGGCCGCAATGCAATAAGAAGGCAAAGAACTGCGGCTATTATAACGAACTAACCGGCTATACTCCACCACGTGTCTGCTGCAGATCTGCAAGCGGCGACACGCCAGCGCGCACCGCAACTTGTGCATCAAGATGCGAATGGAGAGGGAGGCGGCCGAGCAGGAGGAGGAGGAGAGCGAGAGCGAGGAGGAGGAAGACGACAGCGAGTCGGAGAGTGAAGATGTGGCCCACGCCCCGCTGTCTGCAGGCCGAGGCGGCAGAGGCGTGGCCATCCCCGGCCTCACGCCCAACCAGATCAAGAAGCTGCTGGAGCTGGCGGCCAAGGCGGACGCCGTCACCACCAGCTCGTCCATCGACAAGCTGCAGCGCCAGATCTCGCAGCTCATGGCGGACAAAAAGAACGGAGGAGGCGCTGCGACCCGAGAGAGAGGCGCCTCGGGCGCCAGTCTGAAGGAGATCAAAGCCCTGCAGCAGAAGCTCATGGAACTGGAGAAGAAGACGCAGACGGTGGCCTACGCTCAGCCGCAGGTGGGGCCCATGATGCCGATGGCCAGAAGCGTCTACATGCCACTGCTGGTGAAGGACGACCCGGAGTTCAAGAAGTACTTCAAGTTGAAGAACCTGGATATGCCCCTCGACCACATCAAGGCCAAGATGCAGGCAGATGGCGTCAGTCCGTCACTGCTGGACACGCCCGATGAAGTCTCTCCGAACGACCGAGGTGTACGTGATGAATGGCCCTTGATATTGGCTGTAAGTCGTTGGGACTAATGTTTTTGTTGGTGTTTAGCCGGAGAAGGGCGCGTACATCCCGCTGACTGTGGCCGAAGACCCCGCGTTCAAGAAATACTTCAAGCTAAAGAGCATGGACATGTCCGTCGACCAGATCAAGATGAAAATGGAGGCCGACGGAGTGGACCCCACTCTGCTGGACACGCCGAGCAAAGTATCACCGAATGACCCTGGCGTACGTAGAGTGTTCACTTCGAATGGTTGGTTGGTTGGTTGTGTTAGCTGACCTTTTAACTTTTTGCCTCTAGCCGCCGTTGCAAATCTCGACCGGGTATCCTTCGTCGCCGCTGTCTCCGCTTCAAGGAGCAAACGGGGGATTTAGCTGGCCTTCAATGCCAGCGTCCGCCCCCGTCGTTCCCTACAAACCACTGCTTGTAAAAGATGATGCGAAATTCCTCAAGTATTTCAAACTTCGGCAAATGGGCATGCCTGATGAGCAGATCAAGCTAAAGATGAAGGCAGAAGAAGTGGACCCTGATCTGCTCGACCGCCCGGATGATGTATCCCCTAACGACCCTGGTGTAAGTGCTAAACGTACTATCGTGCTCGTACGAATGTGCAAGGTTACTAAGTTTCATGTTGTATTTTATGTATGAACCAGCCGCCTGCTCAAGCTCCAGCCTCCCCCACGGGACCTGTCTCCATGGAGCAGCTTTTCAGTATCCTCATGCAGCACCAGCAAATTATTCAACAAGGTACTGTAGAATGAGATGGCTGTCATACTGTACTCAAACCTAAAGCTGACGCACTTGGTATCTGTATTCGTTGAATGCAGTGTCGAACGGTGGAGGTTTAGCTAGCAGTGCTCGTGGTCGCGGCAGCAGTGGTGGTGTCGTAGATGGCATGCCACCGCGGTCAGTTGAAGACCAAATGGCCCAAGAGCTCGCTGCTGCGGAGAGCGCTATCGATGATATCTTCGGTGACGAGTCTCAGCAGTTCAAGGGTCCTGGTGGTATGAGCATGATCGAGCAGCTTGAGAAGAAAGCGCGGAAGGAGAGCAACAAGAAACTGGTTGAGAACCGTGAAGAGGTCAACCGATTGGTGGCGGAGCTACTGTCAACGAAGCTTTCCACCGATGAAGAGGCAGTCTCATTCTACAAAACAATTGGCCCGAAGCTGGAAGAGTATGGACTTGCGCTGGGAACCGACTCCGTCCAGACCTGGTCGTCACGTCTTCTCATCAAGAACAAGGACACTCGCGATTGGTACTTCTCGGACCAGGAAAGGTTGGATGCCGGCAAGGCCTATGGGCGGCTCTGGGCGCTTTCGTTCTTAGAACGCGATGCTGGCCAACTGATCGCAAAACGCGCGCAAATTCTCAACGCACCCGCAACCATGCGCGCGATTGCCAAGGGCAAACCGGAGCTGATCGACAAGTTCACGCAGTTGCTGAAGGACACCGTGAAGCTCAAACACAAAGTATTTAAGAGCGGCTCGTATGCGGCAGAAGTGCGACAGCTACACGAATTCAACATCCCCGAGCGCTTCGAGGAGCGTGGCACTGCGCTGATCGACTCGGCGACGGCGCTGGCTGATGCCTCCATGGACCTGGCAGAAGAGGAGTTCCGGTCATTGGAGAATGCAACTCGTGCCAAGAAAATCCGAGCTTTGGCCGTGGTGCACGTCGCCGAGAAAGCGATCACGCTGGTGGGCATCGTGAAGAAGATCGGCGCTAACGGAGTCAACGAACTGCGGCTGCGGGAAATTGAAGCAAGCTTGGCGAAGATCAAGGAAGTGTATCTAACAGGGGAGAAGGAGGAGGAAGAAGAGGACGATGTGCTATAAGGAAAACGAAGGATATTCTTCCGTTAAACACAACGCAACGCCATCGGCGGAAGGGAGAGAATTTTGCGCGTTACAGCCTTTGCAGTAGAGTAGAACACTTTACGATCCAAAATCAATCTATTCATCGCCAACAGCGTAGCTGCCGAGTTACTGCCGAACCTGTCCGAAGAGCGAGCGAAACAGCTCGTCCACGTCCATCTCCGGCTTGGGGTACGGCTCCGGGAACATGAAGTTCTCCAGCTTGGGGTGCACCGTGTAGCGCAGCTGACGGCCCTTGCTGGCCTTGCGGTTGACGATTTTCTTCTTCTTGCGGTGCGTGCGCCTCACCATGGCGTCCTGGCCAGCGCCACCTCCGCCGCTCTCGATAAACTCCTTCAGCAGCTGCTGGTAGAAGTCCGAGTCGTCGTACATGAGCTCGTCCAGCAAGTCTTCGGAACCTTCAGTGGCTTCGGACTCGGGTACATCCAGCGGCGCGTGTGCTTTCCTCTTGACTCGCTGCGGGTCCACCAGCACGGACTCGACCTGAGCCAGGATATCCTGGTTCACCGCCTTGAACTTCTTCGCCTGGCTGTTCTTGCCACCCGCCGCCAGGTCGGTCTTGCGCGTGTATGTGTTGAGAATGTCGTTGTACTGCGGCAGCATCGTGCGGCTGCTGGCCGTGATCTTCTGCCACAGCTCGTCGCACGCGCGCTTGCGCTTCTTCGTGGGGGAGTCCGCGGACGGAGCCGTTAGCTCCGGGACGTTACAGAGCTTCTCCTGCAGCGCCGACACGGCTTCAATGCTCTTGTAGAGCTCCTGGACCACCTGCTGTTTGGTCTTGGTCGCAGCCTCCTCGTCTGTCGTCTCTCCGTCCGTCTCGTGCGCCGCAGCATCCTTGGCCGACGTCAGCAGCCTCTTCGTGTAGATCTGCACCTCGAGACAGCGCTCCCAGAGCAGCTTCTGGTGACGCACGTGCTTGGCCTTCTCCACGACCTTCTTGCTGTCCTGCGCGCCCATGAGCCGCGCCGAGTCCTCCTTCTGGAAGCCGCGGATCAGCATCTCGGCGCTCTTGTCCTCATCGTCGCTGTCCTCCTCCTCACTCTCCTCCTCCTCCTCAGCCTTGTCCTCCTCGTCCGAGGCTCCGAAGGGCTCCGCGTCCGACCAGTCGGCCATCGCGTCCTCGTCGGGCGAGTCCATGGCCTCGTCCTCCTGCAGGTCCTTGCGCGTCACCACTTTGCCCGCGTACTCGGCGCTCTCCATGAGCCCGGCGTCCCAGTTCTTGACGCGCAGAGCCGACGCCTGCTCGCGCTGCTTGCCGCCCTGGCGCTCCGCCTGCAGCCGCTGCTTGCGCGACGAGCGCAGCCGCGTCGCGTCCTGCGCCTCGTTGCCGCCATCCGAGTCCGAACCCTCCGTGTGCAGCACGGCGCGCGTGCCGTCGTCGAAGTCCTCGGCCTCGTCGATGTTGAACTCGTCGCGCGCCATGGTCGTCGAGCTCGAGCGTCCTCCGCCAGGCGATAGTCAAGTGTCTGCAACGCTTGGTGACGGCGCAATAACGTAGTCCATTGGTCAATAAGCGATCTTTGAGTTTTAGCGAATCAACACAGCGTACAGCCCCTCGCCAATCAAAGCGGAGGAAACACCGTTCAGAACACTTTATCAATCATTATTAATGTGTCCTGTTGAAGAGGTCATGTATCAGATGCGGCCGCACAGAGAGGAAGAGAGAGAGAGAGAGAGAGCTGTAGCCATGAAGGTGCCGGTGGCGCTGCTAGCGCTCTACTTCCTGCACGCGGTCTACATGACGCTCCCTGGCACCGCGTACGGGGAGTGGCTCTTCGACGTCATCCATATGCCGCCGGCCACCACGTCGCTCTACTATGCGGTCTCTTTCTTCCCGTGGAACCTCAAGCCGCTCTACGGGCTGCTGTCCGACAGCGTGCCGCTCTTCGGGTACCGCCGCAAGTCCTACATCTTGCTGTGCGAGGTGGTCGCAGCCTCGTCGCTGGTGCTCACCGCCGTCTACGTGCACTCCATCGCCGGCGCCTTCGTCGTCAAGGTGGTGGACGCCGTGGCCGAGGCCTTCGCGCAGCTCATGCTCGGCATCTTCCTCGTGAATCTCACCGCGGGCGACGCCACCAGCAGGAGCAGCGCCCACGTGCAGTCGCTGGCCAATGGTGTCAAGAACGCTGCGTCCATTGCGGCGCTCACGCTCAGCATCCCAGTGTACCGAGACAAGAACATCACGCCCCAGGAGATCATCGGATGGACCAGTTTGCTGCCTCTCACAGCCGCTGGGGTCTGTCTGCTGGGGCTGCACGAGACGCCGGTGTACGATACTGATTTCAGGACTGAAAGTGAAGCGGACAGTCCTGCGGTGGACGACACAGTGCAGACGTCTACTACGTGCGGCAGTGTGGTGACGTCCTGGTGGCAGCCGTTCAAGCGCGACCTGCACCGCAAGGTGGAGCTTATCAAGCCGGTCCTCCCGCCCATGCTCTTCTTCTTCCTGTGCAATGCACTACCGGACGACGGAACGGTCTGGTATCAGTACTCGTTCTCGCTGCTTAAAGACCAGCGCGAGTGCTTGCAGTACATGTCCCTCGCTGGCATGGTCGGGCGGTTCCTCTCGTGCTTGGCGTACGCCAAGTGGTGCACCAACAAGAACGTCCGCAGCGTCTTCTTGCTGTCGACAGTGAGCTCTGTTGTTGCGGGTCTGCCGCGACTGCTGCTGGCTCCACCGGTGGCTGACCTTCCTGTGTCCGTGTGCACGTTCAGCACGACCGAGTCGTTCATCACGTCCTTCACCTCCGAGTTCGCACTGCTTCAACTTCTGGTTGTCGCTACGTACTACTGCCCGGCGGACCCCGAAGTTCAAGGGCTCACGTACGCGCTGTTCCTGTCGTTCATGGATTTCGGCGGCGTCGTGTCTGGAGTCCTCTCTTCTATCTTGGTGTCGGCGCTGGGCATCGTTCCGGATCCGACCACGAAGGTTGTGGACTGGAGCCATCTTTGGCTGCTCGTGGTGATCGCGGCTGTCAGTCAGCTGCTTGTCCTGGCGTTCCTTCGCGTATTGCCAGAGAAGGTGGACACTTCAGAAAACACCAAGGTCGGTGGAGGCCGGGTCAAACTCAAGTCGATTTCAATGCTGTCGGACGAACCAGAGAAGCAGCCGCTGCTCTCCGAACCGGAAGCGTATGCCGACGTCAGGGTTTGAACTGCTGTCCCTGCGCCAGATAGATTTAGATGGTTGTTTGCACCAGAGTGCGGCTTGAAGTGAACATGTTACGTGACTTACATAACAAGATGTTGCCAGGGCAGGAGCCTGTCAGCTTGTTGCACCTGCGTTTTCGTGAATGCAACACGTTGCACTAGCATCATCGAACACTTAACAAATCAACACTCAAGAACGCGTACGACACCGAGCCAAAGCAGTTTTTTTGATGCGCGATGTATTGTGTTCCAATTTTCCGCAAAAGACTTTCGGGAGCGCCGTCCCTCTCAACAACGAGACAGGTCGATCAAGAGAGCTGGCCAGTAAATGTCGACGCGAACGACACTTACTTCTTCTCCTTCTTGTCAGCCAGACGCTTGGCCTGCTTGCCGAAGATGCGCTTGTCGGCGCGAGCCACACGCAGCTGCGTGAACACGCTCTTCTCCTTCATCTCGGGCGTGATGACGGCCGTGGTCGACTTGACGCTCGAGCGCGTGATCGGGAGGATCGGGCCCGTGTGCTGCACGGCGTTCTTGGTCTCCTCGGCGGCCGAGTCGCCGTTCTTGGGCTTGTTGCTCTTGCGCGGGAACACCACGAGCTTGGCCTTGTAGGCCTTGAGGCGGTGCACGTTGGCCTGGAGCGACTCCACCGACTTGTTGGTGCGGCGGAAGTCCACGGCGATGCCGATGCTCAGAGCCTGCTTGCGGTTGATGCCAGCCTCCTTCAGCTCCTCGAGCGTGAAGCCCTTGCCGGCACGGACCTTCGAGCCGTACTTGATCGTGGGGCAGTGCACGGCGGGGCGCAGCAGACCAGCGGCCGGACGCGGGGCGATGGCAGCGGCCTTAGCCTTACGTCTCAGGCGACGGGTCTTCTTCTTGGAAGCCTGTTCGGGGTCGTCAAGATAACGCGCATCAGTACACCTCTACTCCATGTCGTCGTTCTTGCAGTCAGCCAGCCAGTAGGCTACTAGCCGAGCACACGGTCCTGAAGCGGGTCTCAATGTCCATCGCGCTAAACTATCTAGACTGTCCCGCGTCCCTATTTCATCGTCGAAAGACCTGTTCGCCGCCTTAATCCCGCACTGTTCCCGTAGTAGAGACCGCGGGCTGTGTGCTTTATCGCTGCTGGCTGGCTGGCTGTATTGCAGCTGTATTGACTGCCAGTTCATGGGCTTACCTGGTCGAACCAAGTCTTGATTCGGGACTCCCAGTACTTGTGGAAGTGGCCGTTGGGGATGACGTTGTTGTGCTTCACCATCTTTCAACTAGGGAGGGAGGAAGAGCACACAGAGGCAGGCAGGCAGGCAGAGGGCAGACGCGTGAGTGTCCGCTTCATGAGGGGGGGGGGAACACACGCGCCGAGGGATTTTACCTTCGCGCGAAGTTACTCAGAAAGTTGCGGGCAATTTGGAACTTGGAGCGCACCAACAGCCAGCGGAGCCAGCGGCCGGGAGAATTGGTGGTTCCCCAACGCGCAAGGCTCTCCAGTCCTCGGGCTCACTTGGACTCACTATGCCCCGCGGCAGCAGCCAATCAGATCGCAGCCAGATGCCTGGGTTAGGCGCCCTGGAATTCTAAAATAAGGTGGCCCACACAGCTGGCTTCAACAGGTACACTGTACCACTTTATTGGAGGGGGTACGGTTAAAGCCTCAGAGCTTCCCAACGGCGCTGGGCCGGATCAGGACGCGACACCTTCGGCGGCGTGTACAGCGGATCTCCGGGCGACGGCGCGATGTTCAGCTCAGGCAGTGCGTTCTCCACTCTCTTGGCTCTGTGTTGCGTCTTCATGCGCGCCGATTGGCCGCCTGGTTGCCGAGTTACGCGCTGATCCGTTCTCCCTACTGTTGCGCAGATCGAGGCGGCGGCTTCGGAGGCTTCGGGGCGCCCCAGGGCGGCAACCCGTTCGCGCAGAACCAAGGTAAGAGGCAGGGTACAGGGTTGCGTTTACGCTGCTGCTGTGCGCGAGAGAGGGAGGGAGGGCGCGCTCGTGCTGTGGACGGACAGACAGGAGGCTGGCTCTCTCCGGTGGCGGCTGTGACTTCGCGTCTCTAGGTATTGATCGGTGGCTGCCCCGTGGCGTGTCCAGGATCGACGACGGCAGTGAACCCGTTCCAGTCGGCGGGCGGCAACGCTTCAGCCGCCAAGACGGCGTTCGGACAGAGCTCCGGCTTCGGCAGCCAGCCTCCGCTGCCTCCGGGCGGCTTGACTGGCGCTCCAGGCAGCGGTGGCTTCGGTAAGCAGCCCCCTCTCCCGCCTGGAGGTCTGGCTGGGGCTCCTCCGGCGCCGTCGGGTGGCTTTGGTGGAGCTTCTTCGAGTGGGAACCCCTTTGGACAGAAGAAGACCAACAAGAATATAACGCAGAGCAGCGCAACGACTGCGTTTGGAGGCGCCAACTCATTTGGACAGAACAGCGCTTCGCCCTCTGCGAACTCAGCGGGTGCACACACGACGTTTGGATCTGCGTCGTCGGTAGGTGGAAATCCCAAGAACCGAGGTAACGCGTTTGGAGGGAATGCTGGAACGAAGCCTTCGTTCGGCGGCAGCGGATCGTCGTCTTTCGGTGGAAGCAACGCAGCGTTTGGAGGCAACGACAGTGGATTTGGTGGAGGACAGACTACTTTTGGCAGTGCGCCTACGCCCAAGCGTGGCGGGCAGGGCTCTTTTTCGCAGGACTCGAATGGATTTGGATCGGGCAGTGCAGCAGCACCCACGCCGCTGTCCTCGCCTGGCACAGCGTTTGGAAGTCAAGCGTCGGGCGTTCGAGTACGGAAGAAACAGATAACTCCGAATGCGGCGGGCTCACGTGCGGAGAACCCTTTTGCTGCTGGTGGCGGCACCTCAAACGCCCCCACCGTCCACACAACTTTCGGCGGAGCATCGACTTCTAGCGGCTTCCAAACTTCTCCAGCGTTCGGGAAGCCATCGCCTCCTGGAGGTTCCGCACCTGCGACTACGTTTGGTGGTGCCGCTGACAAGCGACGACAGACGACCCCGAAGTTCAGCTCCGATCCTGCAGCGGGAGGGTTCGCCAATGCTGACAATATGGCATCAATGGAGGCGCGGATGAACGGCACGAAGAAGTCTCCATTTGGAAAAGGCAAACGAGCGCAGGGATTTGGCGCCGCAGCGGAGCAAGACGCGAATCCTTTTGGTGGGCAACAGCCGAAAAGCAGTCAGAAATTCCCGCCAGAAGGAACCGCATTTGGCGCACCCAAGGTTAGCCCAACAAACGAAAAGCATGCGAAGCAACGACAAGCTCGAACGAAGAAAAGAGCTCCAGTTACAAGTGATGAAGAAACTCGGTTCGCTTCCATGCCGTCAACGGTCGCTTCGTCCCGCGATGACAGCAGCAAGGCGGAGCTGGCAGCCGCCACTAACCTGGATGGACTCTGCGCTGATATGTGTAGCCCAACAGAACGCGAGCTGCACATCCGGGTGGACGAGTTGAGCGTGTTTGAGAAGTGTTTCCCTGACCAGCCAGGAACAGAGCGAGACATGATCATCAAGCGATTCCAGCGCAGTTCAGCTGATCATAAATTGGATATCCCCGAGGAGATTCGACCCCCTGGCGTTCTACGACGAACTCAGCTGTATATCGAGCAGGCAATCATGGATTTGGAGCAGTGTGGCTTGGATCCACGTTTCCAGCCGCCTCGAGTTCCGGAGCCCATTGAGCTTTACAACTTCTGCTGGGATCGGTTTCGAATGATTCGCAAAGATTTTGTTCTCCAGAATTACCGTGGCGCTGGAGGTCGTGTGCACCCGATAGCTCTCGATATTCACGAGCGTATTGCGCGCTATCACGTTCTCAGTGAACATGAACTCATCGAGATTCAGAGTTTCGTGGCGCAGCAAAACATGGAGCAACTCGGCCAAACCCTCAAGTCACTCAACGAGTTGTACGATGAAAGCCACAAGGTAGGAGATCCCGCCTACCTCAGTCCGTTCGAGGCCGAGTGCCGAGCGTATTTCATCCTCTGTACTCTGGACAATGGTCGGGGTATGGATGTATTGAAGTACGTGAAGAATCTCCCGCGTGACATCTTGGAGAGCCCCCACATGAAGTTCGCGATGCGTGTATTCGTTGCTCGCCACACTGGCGACTACTTCCAGTTCTTCTCGTTGCTCCGACAAGCAACCTATTTGCAGTCTTGCTTGCTGTTCCGGTACATCCCGAATGTCCGGTCCTCCGCGTTGCTTCGTATGAACCGGGCTTATCGCAGCCAGACTTACCCGCTGGAAGACTTGGTGGAATTGCTATGCTTCGATGACATTGAGCACGCGTACTCGGTGTGCCAGGAACACCAGCTAAGGATATCTGGCAGGCCTGGAGCTGGTGACGATAGCTCAATTGTTGTGAAGTTTGGTGGGGATTTTGAGACAGGTACGATTTTGCGCTCATATCGGGGTTTATTTGGTGATGCTTTTAGTAACAGTCGTGTGTTGGTCTTCGCATAGATGTTCAACTACGCCGGAACAATACGCCGCTGAAGATTCGAAGCTCCAAGATCTACGTTGGAATGAAGCAGGGGTACGGATCATTTGGTGGGCGCAAGCCAACGCTCCTGTGTTTTCACTCAATAATGCCCTCTTTGTGTTTGCAGCAACTACTTACGCCGAGACATCTGCCGTGGCGTGACGGAGTATGCGCGAGATGGATACCCAGCGTTGAGCAAGTTGATCCAAGATTCCGAGCGCGAAGAGCAAGCGAGGCTGTACCCGGATAGGCCTAAGTATGAGGATGACTACTCTTACTTCGTTGACTACAACGAAGGAGCATCAATGGCACCACCGTCAAGTGCCCCGTCCTCATCTGGAAACACCTCCTTCGGCAACGTTCAACAGCCGACTGATCTCAACCAGAAAAGGCACGACCTCGACATGATTGCACAGAGAAAAATGGAGCTTGAGCAACAGAAGCAAGCAATGATCCAGCGGATGCGGGAACTCGAGCAGGCGAAAGCAGACAAGGCTCGTCAAGATGAGGCGAAAAAGGCTGCGGCTGAGCAAGCTGCTCAACGTGAAGATAAGGCCAAGAAGGAAGCTATTGCCCAAGCCCAAGCCGAAAAGGAAGCTGCTGAAGCAAAGCGACAGCAAGAAGAGCTTGAAGCCAAGCTGCGTGAACAAAAGAAACAGCGTGAACTGGAAGAGCAGCGCAGAAAAGCTGAAGAAGCCGCTCGCGAAGCAAAACGTCAAAGACTTGCAGCGCTGCAGCAAGCCGAGGCTCTGCGAGTAAAGGCAGCTGAAGAAGAACGGCGACGACAAGAGGAGAAAAGGCAGGAGGAACTTCGGCGAAAAGCTGCAGAAGAGCAAGAGCGACGTCGCCAGCAGGAGCTGGCGGAGGCCCGAGCGCGGCAAGCACGAGAAGCTGCACTTGAAGCCCAACGCCAAGCACAATTAACCAAGGAGCGAGAGGAAAGAAAGCTCGTACGCCGCGCCGAAAAGCGGAGGCACGCCGTCTTGAAGCTAAAGCTGCACATGTGGAAGAAGTATGTGCAGGTTTCACGCAACGGTCCCGGCCCCATTGCAATCGATGCTTCGAAACTTCGACTTGATCGCCCTCATCAAAAGGCGAAAGACAGTGTGCAGTGGTTGTTCAGAGGAGCTGACGGCACGATGGGCACCCCGATTGGCACGAAGCGACTGAAGCAAGTGTCGACCGCTGAAGCCGATGTGCCGTGTTCAGATGCAGAAATATTGTCGCTGTGGAGCTGTGACGACATCCTGGAACTGGTCGGTGCTTCTCTTCGACGGCAGAACCCGGGTGCTCCGTCTATCGCGTGGAAGTTGGTGGTAGCAGACCTCTTGGATGGGACATCGTCTTCGTTTGGTTTGTGGTGCGCCGTCAGGGCTGGAACGCAAAATGCTGCAAAACCTGAGACTGATTGTTATCGCACTTTCCAGTCGAGCAACGGATCGGCGGAGGGTGTCGCTGTGTGCTGTCGGTATCTTGATTCGACGTTTACCCACAGAAATGCCCACGAAATGCAGGCGGAAAAGCTTGCTGCGACGTCCGCCATTCTTTTTCCTGTTGATCTGAGCGCGCTCCAGAAAGCTGGCAATTGCAGCAGCTGGGAGCAGCGAGTGGGCGAACTGCTATCATCATTGAAGGCGGGGTGCCGCGTGAGTGTGCTTGCGCTGGGATTCGCTTCTGCAGAGGTCAAGTCATCGCGGGCGCTTCTTATGAGTACGCTTGGGAGCTGTGTTGAGCGAGTTCTAAGCCGATTCTCTTCACAGGTGGCCAGCGTCAGCGTCGAGTTTGTTGATGCAGGCAAGCTCCTCCCTCAGAAGTTTGGGCAAGCACTGATGATGATTGCGGCCTTGACTCCTCCCGTACGAAATCTCAAGAGCGTCGGTCTGAAGGAGCTGCTGGAGGGCAGTGTCAAGGCTATGATGAACCAGTACGAGTCTTCGATGGGTATCCAGGCCAAGATCTGCGCCGTATTCCCTCGCGTACGTGAAGACGTTTTGTCGTCTGGTGTGATGGATCTCACGTACCCGCCACCCGAGCTGTATTTCGCCGTCATGGATCCTCCGCGGGGCTGGAATTCACAGGAGAGGAGACACGAGATTCACACGGTGCTGACGGCTCTTGAAGTCACTCGCATTGCAGTGGAGACCTCCGCGGTGCAGCGTGACCAAACCTGCGACGTCTACTTCAAAAAGGTGGAGGACTTCATTGACCGACTCTTTCTGTCGTATCCAGCGCCCACGGCGGTGTCGACGTACGAGCTCAAGAAGCGGATTTACAGCGCGCTACTGCCGATTCACGAGCGCCTGACGCAGGACGACTCGACGGAGCCGGTGACCCCGCAGGAGGCAGACGCATTGCTGCCGTGGCGGAAAATCTTCGAGGAGATCTACGAGACCTTCTTCGAGACGCTGAGCGACATCAACATCTACTACCCCGCCGGCTGGCGTGGCTTCTGCTCCAGTGTCGCGAGACTCCTGGACGCTGTGCACGCCGCCGCGCCGAGACAGCTCCTGACCACCGACCACAGCAGCAGCGGCAAGCGTGACCGTGCCATCGTGAAGCAGCCCGTGCAAGTGTCCATGCAGAGCGTAAGGCGCACGTTCGGGAGCCTCAGCACGGTGGATGAGTCGCTGCAGAAGTACCGCGCCGTGGGCGAGATGAAGCGTCTGCGAGTCGAGATCGAGAAGGAGCGCGCTGCCACCTCGCAGTTCCAGCGCATGCTGCGCCAAGCCTTGACCCGATGGGACGACTAGAGCGCAATGGCGTGGAGACAGACGTTCCAGCCTCTTTTTCGAGACTTCAGTCGACTAGTGTTGTACATGTAAGGAGAGGCTGACACAAATGGTATCGATAGGTTTGTGCACATTGAGACCGTCTGACGGCAACGTACTGCCACGTCAGTGAGTGCAATGCCCTGATTTAAGTCAAAGAAGGTTCAACTTTGTCGCCCAGAAGCTACACCGGGGTCACTAGACGATTGTGATCATGGGGCTGTGCGACTTGCCGAGCGACCTGCTGGCGGCGACGCTGCAGTTCGCGGACCACGCGGCGCTGCAGCGCCTGGAGGCCGTCAACCGCCACCTGCGGGAGGTCATCGTCCAGTGTGGTGCGCGCCCCCGTCTCCTGCGTCTAAGGCTACGTCGCAATCCTCTGTGCCTTCTGACCGACCCCGTTCAACCTGTTGCTGCTCGTTGCAGACACGTGGCGGATCCTGGCGCAGCGCTTGGCGCTGTATGCAAATGACTGCGCGTCCAGGAGCTCTGTGCAGTGGAAGCACCTCGCGCTGATGACTGAGATACCCGTGGGCGAAGAGCTCTCGCTGCTGCGTCGAGTGCGCGGTGCGACCGCTTGGCGGACTGTTTTGGCGTGGAATTAACGCTCTGAGTGCAGCTAACGGAGTGCAATTATGTGCTGTTGGGTGCTCGTAGAGTGCTCGTCGGTGGACCACTCGAACGAGTCGGCGGAGAACACGCTGACGCGCTCGCACTGCGGCATTGGGGTGGCGCTGCTGGCCAACACGGTGGTGGCGGACGACCCCATGGCATTTGAAGCCATCGCCAAGCGGCTGCAGCAGGAGTGCGGCTGTGCGAGGGGCCGACCGTGCTACTGGAGCAGGTGCGGCGGGATTTTATTGTACGGAAAACGTTTTGACTTGCTCACTGTGGATTTCTTTGTGTGAGTCAGTGCCTCGACGTGGGGGTATTCGACGACGGACCACCTGGACTACGCGCTGTGGGAGAACTGCATGGTAAACAGTGTGCAGATTGTGCCGTACCGAGTGTTCTGGTACCCGGGCAGCCCCACGTACTCCCCGAAGAGGGTGTCCTTTGCTCTGTATGAGCTGCGGGAAGATGGAGAGGTCGGCACGCTGGTCTACGAGTCCATGGTGTTCAGTATTGTGAAGGATATGCAGGTGAGATCTCTCGACAATGACTGAGTGGCATGCTAGGGGTAAGGAGTTCTAACTAACACTTTATTGGCGGTTTGAGTAGATGCAAACGTTCACGCTACCGTCGCGGGTCTTCCTGTCCCGAGGAATCCTGCGGCTGAACCTGTTCGACAGACAAGAGGACATCGGTCTGGATGTCGCCCGGTGGATGCAGGAGAACAATTTACCTCCGTACTATACGTGCTTGAGTTATGTAGGTGCCACGGGGCTCCTGGAGTCCACCGAGTAGGCGAGCTAAGTTCGATATATATGTATAGTGTAGTGGTTACGCTTCCTCGCTTTGGTCGGTGTTGGGGTCTTTTCGCAGTGCTGGTTGTACCAAGGGGTCGCTCGCTCGACGATGCAGTACGATGGCGGCAACAACGCCCGGGGCTATGAAGGTGTTCCTGCGATGGATGGCAAGCCCAGTTCAAGAGGATTCGCTATAGCGTCAAACGAACCGCAGCACAGATTTGACAAGCAGTCGCAGTCCCCTGCCGCTATCGAGTTGGAGCATACAATTGGGTTCTCCGCCGTGCCGAACGCGATTCACTATCACCCGTCGGGACGCGACTACGTGTATCCAGCCGGAGGATCGGTCCTGCTTACATCCTTCCAAGACGCACACAGTCAGCTCTTCCTGCGTGGCCATGAGGGTAATGTATCATGCATCGCCATGTCTCCTTCGGGTAGAATACTAGCCTCAGGGGAGCGTGGCAGACGTGCAGACGTCCTTGTTTGGGATTACTCAGCTCGGCGACTAGCCTTTCGACTGTCGGAGCACGATGCAGGGATCGCTGCGCTTGCGTTTTCGGACGATGAGCGACTGCTCTGCTCAGTGGGGGTGCCTGAGGACGGGCCACGGCTGTACATTTGGGACGTCTTGACCGGCAATATCTGCGCCACGCACCAAAAGATGTCGAACATCGTCACGGCAGTTGTATTCGGAGGCATGGCACGCGATGTAAAGCGCCGAGACACTGCCAACTACCAATTTGCAACGGTTGGACATCGATTGCTGCAGCTTTGGGTGCTCAATCCAGTCACGGGGGAGCTCACGCAGCACAAGATCGAGCAAACGCTCATTCGCGACTATACCTGCGTGCAGTTTTCTCCAGATCGGGAGACTCTCGTGGCTGGTAGCTCCAGTGGCGACTTCTGCGTTGTTGGTGTGAAGACCCGGCAGCTATTCAAGGTCGTCCCTGCCTGTTCCTGCGGCGTGAACTCGATTCTGTACTTTGACGGCGGCATTCTCGTTGGCGGCGGCGATGGCAGCGTCATTCATTATGGTCACGACTTCGTCGATACTTGTCACGTCGCGCTTGACAGCGGCATCGTTGGTATGACGCTAAACACAGCTCAGAATGAGGTTGTCGCTGGCACCCAGGCTGGTGGCATCTTCTCGGTGCGTCTCGCCTTTGGTACCTCGCAACGGAGTCTGCAGGCTAGATTGCTGTCTGAAAACCACTCGAACGGTGTCGTGCAGATCACGTACGCGTCTGAGGTATCCGATCGCTTCGCTACCATTTCCCGAGACTGCACTATTCGCGTATGGGATGCCTCGGACTACAGCGTTGCGACTCGCTGCGTTGTTATGGACGCTGGGGCGCCGACCTCACTGCAATACTCGCTGGATATCCTCCTGTCCGGTTGGACGGATGGCTGCATTCGCTCTCACAGCAGCGATTCCGGTGAAGCTGCTTGGTCCATCGATAATGCTCACACAGGTGGGGTCACATCTCTAGTGTTGAGTCACAACCAGCGCTTCATCGTGTCCGCAGGTGTCGGCGGTGAAGTTCGTGTGTGGGATATCCGAAAGCGCGACTTGGTCTCACACCTCAAGGAGCACTCGATGGCAGTCACCAGTCTAGCGCTGTATCGCGACGATCTGCACGTGATTTCCTGCAGTCGCGACCGTAGCTTGCTCTGCTGGGATCTGCGCAACGAGCGCAGAATTTCGAGCCACATCCAGCGCATGGGCGGGATCAACACCGTCGCGCTGTCTGCAGACCAGCGTCTTGTTCTCAGTGCTGGGCAGGAGAAGCGCATATCGTATTGGGACCTGCGCATTGACACTCCAGTCACGGTAATTCAGAAGGCTCATGACGAAGAAGCTACGTGCATCGCTGTGGCGCACAACCTGGAGGTGTTTGCCACCGGTGGGAATGACCGACTCGTGAAACTCTGGGACTTCAACACCAACCAGTTGATCATGGACGGCGTGGGGCACTCGGGTAATGTCCGCGGGCTGGCCTTCAGTCCTGACGATCGACAGCTCGTCTCCGTAGGCGACGACGGCTGCGTTTTCGTCTGGAATCTATACATCGAGCAGTAATTACCCTTCTAGCTAACACACTTGCCATCTCTATTGAGTAACAAACATGACGCCGATAAGTCTAAGGGTTAGACCCTTTCAGGTGAGTGAGTCTACTCTCTAATGCTGCTCGTGTTCCTTGAGGTAGTTGTAGAGCAATTGCACGCCAAAGCCCGTGGCCCCCTTGGGGAAGTACGACTTGGCGGCGCTGTAGTTTGAAGGACCAGCAATGTCCAGGTGTGCCCAGTCCACGCCCTCGTAAACGAACTGCTGCAGGAAAGCTGCGGCAGTGGACGCGCCACCGTAGCGGCCACGGCCCGTGCTGCGCGAGTCCGACTGCGTGCCCTTCAGCGCGGCAGTGTGCTCAGGGAGAATTGGCAGATGCCAGCAGCGCTCGTGGCAATCCGTTCCTGCCTCCTGCAGCTTCTTGGCGAAGTCGTCCGAGTTGGAGAACAAGCCAGCGCAGTGCTCGCCCAGAGCTACCATGCACGCGCCAGTCAAGGTGGCGACGTCGATGACCTTCTTGGGCTTGTACTCCTTCTGCACATACGACATCGCATCACCAAGCACCAGACGGCCCTCGGCATCGGTGTTGTTGTTCTCCACAGTGATGCCCTTGTGCGACTTGACAATCGTAAGCGGCTTCACTGCCTTGGATCCAATAGCGTTCTCAGCGAGCGCAAGGGCGCACACAACGTTTACCTTGAGATTCTGGCGCGAGGCGGCGCGCACAGCTCCGAGGACAGCAGCAGAGCCGCACATGTCCGTGTGCATATCTTCGATCGAACCCGTAGGCTTAAGGTTCAAGCCGCCAGTATCGAACGTGACGCCCTTGCCCACCAACGCAACCTTCTCGTCCGAGTCGGGGTTACCACGGTACTCAAGAATCACTAGGCGAGGAGGGCAGACGGCGGCCTGACCGACACTCAGGAACATGTTCATGCCTTCCTTTTCCAGATCCTCCTGCTGCAGCACGCGGACAGACATGTTGGGGAGGTCGGCCGACGCACGCGCCACCTCCTCCATAAACGCCGGGTTCACAACGTGCGAGCGCTCATTGCCTGTACAGAAACAGAATCCCTCAGTCACCCCATACAAATGAACACAGTAGCAGCCACTCCGCCTGCGTACCGAGGTTGCGCGCAAAGATGGTCTCCTCGCCGACCGTCGCCTGCTCCGCCACATTCTGCATCAACACAAACACCCAATCATCAGAAGGACCTCCTCCAATGCAAAAACATCAACTTACTACCGCCCTCTCACCTTCTGGAACTCGGCCGACGCGTCCACGTAAATCTGCTCCAGCGGCAGACGCAGCTTGCTGTCTCCGTAGGCGTCCTTGGAGTCCGTCAGGTACTGGTCGAACTGGTAGTTGGACAGCATGGAGGCCTGGGACACCAGCTCCACCACGCGGGCGGCGTCGATCTTGCCGCCCTGAAGGTTGGGCACCTGCACCACGACGTCCGTGGCGCGCTTGGCCTTGAGCGCGCTCAGAGCGCCGTGCGTGGCGTCCCTCAGCGTGTTGGGCGTGACCTTCTCGGCGTCTCCGAGCCCCACGAGCAGCACGCGCTGGTCGTTGAAGGCCGCGTCGTCCACGCTCGGGTACAGGTACAGCTTCTCCTGCGGCTTGGCCTTGAAGTCGCTCAGCGCGGCGGCGGACACGGGGAAGGGCAGCGCACTCTGCAGCTCGGAGGAGGCGGCGGCGGCGCGCGACACGAACACGACGCGCGTCTTGGGCGTCGATGCGGCCTCGGACAGCAGCGACAGCTGCGTCTGCACGCGCTGCTGCACCATGCGCGGCGCGGCCGAGGCCGAGGCGGAGCTGGAGGTGAAGAGGCGACGGAGCACCATCGATCCACTAGAGCTTGAGCTTAGTTTGAAACGTGGGGTACTGACGCACTGCATGTTGGCTGAAGGTATCTTATCGGCTACTGGTAGTTAGTTAGGAGTGATGGTCATAGGCAATATCAGTTATTGGTAGTTGCGCATGAGTGCGGAACACCGCACTGCCGCGGCGCCGCCGCTGATCTCCGTGGCGTCCCGCGGCTCTGAGAGTGCGCCCAGCGCGTCGCCAGTGCCAGCATCTTCTTCTTCTCTGCTCTTCTCGCTTCAATTCTACGTCGACCGCGTGGCGCTGGACGCCGTATCGGCCTCGCAGTCGCCCAATAACGCCGCGCTACTGCTGGGCTTCCAGCTGTTGCAGTACGAGATCGTCGTGTTTGACGCCAAAGTGGCCGCCGCTTCCTGTCCTACAGAGCCTGCACTGACGAGACTAAGCCATGGCAAGTCCTGTCTCTTCGAAGCGGACCCGGACGAGCTGCGGCTCGAGCTGCAGCGACACGCTGAGGCGCCACTGACGCTGTTGCTGCTGGCTCGAGAGCATGGCAGGGCTCGGCTTCGCGCCTTCGCGGCCGTCCCGCTGGAGCTGCACGTGGGGCTCGATGATGACGAAGTACTGAGCCGCCGCTCGCTGCTCCGCGTGTGCGAGTGGGCTAGCCTCAGCGGCTCGTGGGAGCTCCGAGACCATTACAACGCGGCGGTGGGGCGCGTGACGGGTGCCGTCACGCTGTCGTGTCTCGGGAAGACGCTGGCCCCGCACCTCACACAGGCACTAGGCGTACAGGTGAGCAAGCCGCAACCGTCTAGTCCTCGAGTGGGGGCACAGGAAAAGGAGCAGACGCAGCGTCCGCCGACTGTAGTGGGAGCAGAGGAAGAAGAGGAAAAGCAACGGCCATCGACTGCAGACTCAGAGTTGAAGCTGCAAGAGGAAGAGAAGGTGGAGACGCAGGACTCGGGTGTCCAGTGCGACGAGGATATGCTCGCCCAAGACGCGGCGCAACCGATGCCTGCCTCAATGTCCCTGCGAAGCGGTAGAAGTGGTGCGGTCCAACTTGATGTAGTGGCGAAGACCAAGAGCTCTGGTGCTGAGGGGCAGCTGCTCTACTACAAGAACAGCGCAAAGGGCGCAACAAGTCCACGACGGATTCGCTCGAGACCTAGGAGAGATTCAAGCTCCCGACCGATGGCGGCGGCCAAAGGTGAGCTGCTGTTCCCGCGAGAGCTCCCACCGCCGCTTTTCTTCCAGAAAGCCCGGCGAGCCAAGTCATAAGCGCACAATACTAGTACATATGTATGCTAAATGCATTTGGACTGAGCTCTGCAACTGCTCCGATCGATCCTGCGCGTGGACCACATACATGCTGGAGGGACGCGTGCGACGCTTCAAGATCACGATCCTTCGCTCACAAGACAAGAAGCGAGCGCCTGCGCAAGTGGAGAGAGGAGAGGACTGCGCAGGCGAAAGAAGAAAGAGGACAAGTGAACTTCGTGTTGTTGCCGTCTCTCCGCGATGAGTGATCAGCGCTACATCAAGGAGGGATGGCTCATGAAGCGCAGTCGGTCGGGGAGGGTCGTGGCCAACTGGCGGCGGAGGTACTTCCGCTTAACCCGCACCGAGCTGCTATACTACAAGGCGCCGCAAGACCCTGCGCCGCGCCGCCGCTACGAGCTGACACTGGATTCAAATGTGCTTCGGACGAATGACCAAGGATACCCGCTGTGCTTCGTGTTTCAGCCTGCGCCCGGGCAGCCGAGTTTCTACATGCAGGCGGAGAATGAAGTGGAGAAGGATGAGTGGCTCAGCGCCATCTACAACGCCTACCGTCGAACGCCAGACGTGGCGCAACAGCAACCGCCAGCTCCGGAGATGCCAAAGACAGAGCCTTTCCCTTCGGCAGTACCAACGCCTCCTCAGCCGCCGCCTCCACCAGCCCCGCTGGCCAGGATCTTGCTCGACGTCACCGTTGAAGAGGCTCGCAATCTCAAGGCTGCCGACTTTAACGGGAAGAGCGATCCGTACTGTGTTATCAAGCTTGTGGGCAAAGATGGACAGATTATCGACATCGAGGAGAAGAGAACTGATTGGATAACGGCTACGCTTGAGCCGGAGTGGAGACAGCACTTCCAAATCGGCAGGGTGGTCGACTTGAATTCAGTGAAGGCTGTTCGGTTTGACTTGTGGGATCACGATACTTTCAAGCGGCACGACAGCCTGGGATCGGTGATAGTGCCGTTTTCGACATTCAAGGTGTCACCAGCAAGCATGGCCCAGTCAAACCCTATCGATGACTGGTTCCGCGTGCAGCCCCCGCAGAAGACCGGATTCTCGTCGTCCCCCCGACGCAACGACACCAGAGAAAAAGAGCAAGTTGTGAAGGATTGCGGCGAGCTGCACGTTCGGATGAGCATATCTGGGCCCAACCTTGTTGACTTCTTTCAACGGGAAGACGAGGTTGTGACGACAAGTCCTGTTGCTACTGTAGCCAATGAGCACACCGACAACCGGTTGGAGATTACTGTCTTAGCTGCGAAGGACCTCATTAGCGCCGATCTCAATAATTCGTCGGACCCGTACTGCGAGCTGACCCTCCTTGATGATCATGGTAAGCCTATTCCAGGAGAGTACGCTACAACTGCCGTCGTGCATCGTACGCGTAACCCAGCGTGGGCTAACGAGCACCACGTCTTCGGCTTGATTTGCCACATTGAGAAGGCAGCAAGCCTCAAAGTACGGATTATCGACTACGATAAGGCCAACAAGAATGACCCTCTTGGATTTGTGCAGATTGACTTGGATCAGCTATCGGCTCATAAGTGGACGGAATGGCACGCTCTTCAACCAGAAGCAGGCATGTCTGTTCGCGAGAATCTTGGCGAGATCCAGTTACAAATGTGGCTGATTGGGGAGAGGCGCGGGGAACATGTGCGAAGACTGAAAATTCACAAAGAGTTGAATATGAAAGCGCACAACCAGTCTGTGGAGCAGCTTGAGTACGAGAATGCTCAGTTTCAGCTTCATGACGCCGCTTGCAAGCTTGATGGAGCTCGCATACCGTGTGCTGCGGCGGATTATCAGTCGCGCGACCCACGCTTTTATGGAATTAACGGGTGCATTCACTATTTAAACACCCAGATAGCACGTGCGCATCAAGAAAAAACATCATCTGATGAAAGCTTTCAAGCGCGAGCTGGCCTGGAAGGGCAAGCGCTACTCGAAGTATCGGTCGTTCAAGCATCTCATCTCAGACTCCAAAACAACCAGCCTGATGCTGGTAGCAAACCGACTCCATACGCGGTTATTGAGCTTGACCCCTCCGTATGCATTGAGGAAGTCAAGCGTACAAGTGCACCGCTATCTCCTCAAAAGAGTAAACGAGTGGCAGCAGCTGCAGCGGAAGTACGCAACGCTAGATTTTCGAAGCGCACCCAGGCTGAAGTGTCTTTGCATCGACCCAAGCTCGTGAAAAACGAAATGCGATCGGAGAAGTTTATCGACATCAACCCCGACAAGCCGATGTTGAAAGTGGGGATTCTTACTGGACATGGACTTAGCCCCGCCGATATGAACGGGTACAGCGATCCATACTGCACATTGTCTATCACTGATCGCACGACGGGCAAGGACATTGAAACTGAAAAGAAGCGCACAGCGGTGATATCGAGAACGCTCAACCCTGTGTGGGCAAATGAGAACTTCATATTTGGCAATGTAAGTTGCATAGCTATATCGCTTTCACATTTTTACAACCAGTAGCATTAACCTGTATATTCTCCATTATGTTCACGCAGAACGTCCCCCTTTCTGAAGCCAGATCACTGCTGATTCACGTAAAAGATCACAACAACATTGGGCGAAGCACCCCTCTCGGACGTGTGGAGATTCCTTTGTACGATCTTTGTCGGGCATCCGCGGACGCCACGTCAATCTCATCGAAAGAAGTTGTGAAACGATATGAACTCCAACCCGAGCCTTGGATGAAAAAGCATGCCAAGCATTTGGGTGAACTTTGCATTAAGACTGAAATGGTTGGAGATGCAACAGTGCTGGCGGAACTGATGCAACGAATGGCTAATATTCCGATGGAAAAGTCATTGAGCATTCTCAGCTTCTCCGAGGCAAATATCCAGAGCGAAGTTTCAATGAACACGAGTATGTCGGCAGCGGACTTTTATGAATCGGAGCTGGAAGATGAAACGACTGAGACGATTCAGCGTGGAGCCCCAATTCGGACCTCTACTTCAAAAGTGCTGAACAATACCAACACCGCTATGTGGCGTAAGGAGAAGTTTTCATTTTCGCTGTCGTATCCAGGAATATTTAATGATGCGAAGTATCCAAGTATTGAGACTCAATTGCTCCAGTTGCGCATTCACGAGGCTCGGAATCTTTTGCTCTCCGATGCAGCGAGTGGTTCTACAAGCCGTGATTTCTTGAAGCCTGATATTGAACTTTCACCGGAGACACAGTATCAGAAAAAACTTGGACGAGCACGAGACGCAGCGAATATTTTCTTCACTGTTATTCCTGTTCGTGGCGATGGAACGCTGGAAGATGCCGAGCGAGTACAGAGCCTCACTGTGTACGATTCCCGCGATCCATTTTGGCCCAAGGAAAAGTTCGTCTTCGGAAAGACCAAGGATATCTCCAAGGTGTCGTACCTCTCTCTTCACTTGTATGGACGAGATTTGCAAAACGATGAGCAAGTGGTTCTGTCCAAGCTACTCCCAGATGAAGAGAAAGTACTCGATGAACTTCCTAAGAAAACACTCAAGCGCTGTCAAATACACAAATTATCCCCCTCTGGAGAGATCGACGATGATGGTTTTGAGATCTTGCAGTATGATCAGCGTGTATTGGCTTTTCGTGGTGGCGAGGATGGCGGACGCTTTTATCCCGCACGTGTCCAGAAGTACATTCCGTTCCCACGCGATGAGTACGAAGTCCATTTCGAGGACAAAATCGACACGATTACTGAGCTCCGGAATCTGTTTTCCTTCGACGTAGAAGGCGTCGTCCAAGCGGTACGTGGTGACGGTAGAGTGGACGTGGTCGTCGAGAACGAGTTGAGTGGCAGCGCGAACTCGAAAGACAGCTCACGGTATACTGTCATGCCAACTCAGCTTATCCCGCTGGAAAAAGGCTTAACGGATGGACTGAAGATGGTGATGGCCAGGCGCTTTGATATCAAGGAAGAGGAAACGAAACGGTGGACGAAACTGCAGCATGATTTTTCCGGTATTGTCATCGACATCGCATCGGTGTCAAATCTCCTAATGCCAATCTACGACGATAGCGGAAAACTTGTGGGTCTCAAACCACTCGATGAGACCAGCGAGCCTTCATGCCGAGTGACTTTGCTAGGTAACCCAGACCAGATCGAACAAGACCTCTGTTCTCTCAATAGCAATGGCGAACTCCTCGCGAGAAAACCAATTGCAGTATCGAACCAGCGGAAGTGGGAGACGAAGTGCCCTCTGGAGGCTACTGTTGAATTCCAATCTGAGCGTATGACAGAACCTGGTGATGAGGAAGGCGAAACTCAAGACGAAGAGGCAGTGCCTGCAGGGCACGAAACAGGAAGTGACAAAGCATCACCTGCAGCTGACGAGGGTACGTCGACTGAAGGTCAAGAAGCGAAACGTGAAGACGGGAGCGCAGCGAAGGTGAATGATTTGATCTTGTTCCAGAAGAAGCCTTTGTTACTCGGCGTCAAGTCAGCTGATTGCAAGGAATCCCGTGCGGATGATACGGATAACGAGCAGATTGATTCAACCCAAGCCGATATGGGATCTCGCGTTCTCAAAATGAGCTCAGGCATCCTGATACGTGTGGATGCTAAACTGGAGGTAAAGATCCCGACGAATGAGTCGAAGAAGAACAAGTCTCCTAAATCAAGTAAGGACGCTAAGCCTAAGACAGCAGAAAAGACGTTCGTGGAGCGCACTATTGGGTATGCGAAAGTGGATCTCGCCAGCTTGGAGCTTGGACAGAAAGAATTGCGCCTGGAAATTATCCCCGTTGACGTATCGAGTGCTCCGAAGCACAACGTGCCCTATTACTTGTCGCTGGGATGTCTGATCGTTGATATTACAACGCGGACAGACACTCCACAACCGCAGCCAACGCCACAGACCGCCACCAATGCAGTAGAAATGGAGCCCCGTATGTGGGATCGCGAATTAGGCACGTGGTATGAGCACCAGCAAAAAAGTGAGCCGTCGTCCATCTACGCTCGGGGAGCGACGTGGATCGAGCGGAGGCAACTACTTCGTTCGTCGTTGACACCTCTTGGGAATGCTCAAATTGACGCATTGCACACTATTCTCGTGGTCATTATGAAGCGCATCGTAACCGTCTTGCGCGAGATCCGCCAGTTTGAGCAGTTTGAGATGCTTTCGACTGACGAGATGAGGCGGAAGTGTCGTCTGATCCACACCGTGAATGCCGATCCGAACAGCGAGTATATCGGCCGTACATTGGAGAAGCTATCGCTCGACGTGCGAAGAGAGATTGTAGTAGGCTTGGAAAATGAGCTTTTGGATTTGGCAGGAGTGAAAGACAAACCTGATGATCCCAAACCTGGTACACCTAGGGAGGAGTGGATGCAAATACGTTCGAAGCGGCAACAACTTCTTCGCGATCATGGTGACTTCTTTATGTCGGATCAAACGAGTACTTCGATTCTCTCAGTCCCAAAAAGCTTCACGGGCAAAGGAATCATTGCTTGGATTCTGCGTGAGCCCACTGTGCTGTGGTCAGACGAATGGAGAAAGTATTCCAAGAACCCGGCATGTGATTCTGTCACTGTAGGCTGGGGTGATCCAAGTGAAGTCACTGGTGTTGGAGCGCTTCACGGACCGACCGAGGAAGGCGAAGCAGTACAGTGGATGAGTGCATTGTGCGCTGCAGGTTTTGTGGAAAACGTCACTCCAGGAATTGTAGCTTTGGCTGACTTGGGTAAGCGACAAGTTCTAATGGAGAACAAGGCGGACCGCTTCTACCGATTGCATGAAGTCGATATGTGGATTGAGAAGCTGCCGCGCGAGAAGAGTTTATTCCCCTTGGACCTCGTTCAGGAGATTGACTGCTACTGCCCACCGATGCCGAACCCACTCAAAGAGGACACCGCCAAGGACTCTATTGGTATCGTCAAAGAAAGCAAGATTTATCGGAAGAAGCTCACGGAGCATTGTGACGGGTTTCTTGGTATGCACTCGATGATCTCCGATCTACTGTTCTCCGTTAAGGGCTGGACTTTGCGCAAACCTTCCGTGCCTGAAAAACCTGACGAACACGCTGCTGAGAAGACTGAAGAGACTTCGCAAGTTGTGGAAAAATTGTTGTGGAACTGGAAGTATTGCCTATTCATTCCAGGTCGTAGGCAATTGTATCTTTACGAACAAGAAACCTCCACATACCCGATGGCCTTCATTGACATGGCTAGTGCTGCCTGCAAAGTAGCTTACCACGTCACAAGCGATGCAAAAGGCGGGTGGCTAGACATTAAAAACCCCACTGTATACAAACGGAAGCCGGATTCGCAAGACTACGTTCCTGCCACCACAGAAGCACTCGACGAAATGGCGCGAGTTCGAGAAAAGGGAGAAAGGGTGATTGAGTTCAAGACGCAGAATACTCAGAAGTGGATCCGTGCGCTTGCACGAGCAGGTGTTTGTGTTGAGGCGTTTCCGGGCCAGAGGGTACTCATGAAGCGGCTAAACCCCGTTGTTCTGCAGCAGAAGTGCAACAAACATGCCACAAGATTTAAGCCTAACGACCTTGACGGAAGTTTCCATCGCCTGCTGAATCGTCTATTTGGCCACGACAGAGAGTTGTCGTATGAAGATCACGAGAGGGAGAGGCGAGAACAGCGTGCGCAATTGCGAAGTGAACTGAAGAAGGCAGGCGCCGAAGGTGACGTGGTGATGGCGTATTATGGTAAAGGCAAGCAGTTGAAGTCCAAGCCAAAGTACAGCGGAAACTACAAGAACGGCTCGCTATACTCCGCGCGTATTCTTCGTATTCGCACTCCCTTCACGGAAGAACATTACCCGATCAAAACGAAATATGACTTGAAGGACAAAGAGATGGTTCCGCATGATCTCACCAAGCTCTTAGCCAAGTACAAGGTGTCTGACCAGGCATCTTGGATGACTTTGCCGATGTCCCAGCGTGACATGTTTTTACTTTACGATGTGGAGTACAGCCATGCCAACGAACGAATTGTCGAAGTAGGGCTGATGCGGGAGCACGTTCGGATGAATGAAGGAGACCTGGACCCTCAAAAAGTGAGTGACAAGTGCACAGATCTCAACATTATGTTCAAGGCTACGGATCTAGAGAACTGTGTTTCTCGAATGCTGAAGCACCGCTACCGCCACAAGCCACTAGGAATTCTCAAAATTCCTGTCACAATGATTTCGCCTCACCGCACCATCGACGCGTGGTATCCGCTTGGGCCTGCCAACGACATGCTTCAGAAAACCGGACTTGGCCAGATCAGAGTGGAGCTCAAACGTGTGCAAAAGCGAGAAATAAAACGCAGTGCAAAGATCATCGAAGAAGTGGGGAGTGAAACCTTAATGCAGTCAGCAGACAAGCCTAAAAAGGAAAAGAAGCAAGCTCCGTTTGCAGAAGGACATGAGCCATCGTTTGTGAAGGTTTCGATTTTGGAGGGGCGAAGTCTACAAGTAGCAGACCTCTTTACAAGCGACCCTTTCGTGGAGATCGTCTTGTTAGGTGAAGAAGACTCGAAGGAGCATGACACGGGCCTGAAAACGGACATCAAGATGAGAACACTCAATCCAACTTGGGAGAACCAAGAGTTCCTGCTGGGCAAGACTGAAAAGACTAAGCTCAGTGGTAAGAAGGGAATAATGCTGCGCGTGATGGACTACGACGCAACCTCGGCGAATGACCCGTTGGGTCGTGTGATTCTTGAGTTCCAACGAAGCGAGGCGGGGTACATCAGGGGAGTAACGATGAAGCACTCTGATACTATGGGCGAGAATGTGACGGAAGAGTTGAAGCTGGACAAGGGTAACCGAGTTGTCGTAGAAGCGAAGCTTCTTCCTTGTTCAGCCCCGGAATTTTCAAAGCGGCAAAAGAAGAAAGCGCCTAAGCCCGATGGATTGCTAGGAAAGTTGCGGTTTGTGGTTGAGCTCATGCGTAACGAAAACTACGCGGATCCAAATGTCAAACTGCTGGAAACAAGCTACTCGGCCGAGATCGCAATCAAAAAGGCGGACCCACTAGGAGACTTGGGCGAGTACACTTGCTATTTCCAGCCCCACGGCGAAGGCGGTCTGCGAATTCAGTACGCCCCAGCCTCCGAAGACCTTGGGTTTGGAAATCCGTACACGCTCAAAGATTTACTTCAGCGAGCTGCCCCCACCAGAGCTGGAAATGATAGTGCACCGTTACCGAGAGAAGCGTATAAAATTCTTGGTCGCACGTACGACTTAGCGAAAGTCGACTATCTCACCGTGCGCTTGGTTTCTGACTCGACTGGAAGGGTATTGGAGGGACAGCTGGGCAAATTGGACAAGAAATCCGAGCGTAAGTCGGACGACAAGGAGGAAAAGCCAAAGTTGTCACTGAGAAACCCGCTGCAGCGCGCAAGTTTTCGCGATGAAACGATCGTTTTAATCGACCAAGAGAACCCCAAGCAGAAGGTGACTTTGACCTTCGATCTAAACTTGATTGGAATCCTTCGAGCGGACCGTGTCAGACGAATATTGGCTGATACTTTCCGCATGGCCGGACTCTCGTTTGATTCGCGAACATTTAACAGTGGGCGATACAACCCTGATGTGGAGAAAGATGCACTAACTTTCCTTTGGGATACATGTCGAGCAAACGCTTCGTTGGGTCCCAATGTTTCAGAGGAGGTTCTTACGCAGGAGTTGCTCACTCAGGTGAGAGTCATGAGCCAAGCGACAAAGCTTCACTGGAAAGTCACGCCTCAACTTTTGGCTTATGTGTTTGAAATCGTCTTTTCGGCTGGAGAGAGGGATCGTCTATCGTATGCCGATGCAGTTGCTTTGGACGATGTGCTCAATCGATGGTCGCGCATATTGTCTCATGTGAACGAGGCGAAAGACTATATGACTGGGAATTTGCACGGCATGAAGACCCCGCGTCTGCTAGAAGCGCTTTTCATGGAGTGCGAGTGGACTGGATTTGATTTCTCAGCTTTACAGGATGCTGGCTCCAGCCCACCAATTGGCATTAACGGCTCACTAAGATTGGATCATAGCGTTCACGGAAAGATGAGCCCCATACGCGTTGATGAGAGAGTAACTGCTCAGGTGCCACTCCTCAAATGTGCTGGCGTGTTGGTGGATGTGAGGCTTAGTAATGATGAGATTGTAGCTGCGATGATTGTCAAGGAGTATGGAGACGACCGCTACGATGTCAAATTAGTCGGTGACATCTCGAAAGATACCGTGTTTGTCTGCGCACCTGAAAAGGATGGGAATCGCCAAGAGATGAAGCGAGGGCGTCTTGCGCGGATCAAGCAAAAGAACGAGAAGCTACTTGAATACCTCGACGGTGAAGAACCCAAGGAAGAAAAACTCGCGAGCGAACCCATGGATGCTTCGATCGCGCTAGTCAACGGGGCAATTTTACTGCGGCGATTTCAGAAAGAAGATTACGTGCTTGTCAGTGAAGACAGTAAGGACAGGAAAGCAAGCTCCAACACCCAGCGACGACTCGCCAAGGTTTTGCAGAGTTGTGGAAAGGCACGATACGACGTCATGTACATGGATGGTCGCCACCCACTTGAGGAAAAGTCGGTGGCACGAAAACGTCTGACTTGTATGAACGATGCTTCGTTGTATGACGGAAAAGTGCTTAGCACTTATTACCCGAGAGGTGAAGCGGATGATGCTCCTCCTTCACAAATGTACGACGTGCTTCTCGAAAACGGCGTGTTGGTTGAGCGTCTGGTGCGAAGCCAGCTTCGCGTTCGTGAGGAGGTTTTTGTGGCAGACGCAGCATTCTTGGGTGCAACTTTCAGCTCAAGTTTGCATTGCACGAACCCATTAGCTCCAATGGATACGGGGAATGATCTTTGGTGGGGCAGCGAAAAAGCCTTAGCCGTATACGCTATCCTTCCTGCGCCAGTGAAATCTATTCAAGCACGCCACCCGACGACGAACTCGCTCATCCAGGGATTCCTTACCGAGAAGAATGAAAAACAGTCGGGTTTCCTCGGCCAATACCATGGATTTGTGAAGGGAGAAAGCTTGGATAAAAATGAGGTGGAGCGGCTGGAGACGGTGTACACTGCAGCATGCAAACGGCGCAATCATAACTCATTCTCTAAAGCCTCGCCGAAGTTTGATAAGAAAAACTGCTTCTGCCTGTTTGTAGCTCCTTCACCGCTGGTACAAGTTGACGGCTTTATCAGAGTCAGCTCATCTTCCGAGTCGGAGGCACTTTTCAAGGATTTAATCCTGGCTACTCTGAACAAAACTCCTGGCTCTGTCGTGCCACTCTGTCAGAGACTGCTGCGTGCGGAATGCGCTGCCTATTCAAAGTCTGCTTCCAAGGAGTGTTTTGCGGTCATTGAACGTGTGAAAGTGGAGTTCAGCAGCGCGCCGAAGCACAATGTGGAGTTTGACTTCAAATCCAGTGGTATGCCACCGAGCGACATTAGTGCAGCTGCCAAAGAATTGAGCGATGTATCCATGGCAGATGCGTACGTTGACATCAAGTTCCAACTGACCATACCGTACGATAACCAAGATGACATCAGTGATGCCGTGGCCGCTGCGTACGAAGACGCTACTGCTGTTTGTGAGCGGCTACAAGATGTAACCACTTTGGTCTTGGATGAAGACATGGAGGCGCCAGAATCGGTTGTTGTAGACAAGGCGTCGTGGACCTTGGCGACTTCAGGCAAGCCTGCGAAGTCGGTTCCGGTTGCGTTCACTAACGCAAGTCGAAGACGAGACTTAGTGCCCAAAGTATCCCTTGCGCCCTGTGACGACATCCGAGTCCAAGTTTGTGATTTCGACAATCGTGTGCATGAGCTGCACTTCCGAATGCTCGATGTTTTGGAAGAAGCTGGCGTTCGTAGAACAGTCACCCCCTTCATCAAAGCTAAGGTTGATTCGGAAACGGTGGATTTGAGCAATGGATTAGCATCGCGCTGTTCCGTTAAATTTAGAAAGAAAAAGGGGGAATATGGAGACGCGGTAGACGTGCCAACAGCAGATTTGAAGTACGACATGCTCAAAATTGAAGTACTGGAAGCGAGTAACATGGTTCTCAAAGAAAAGGTAGGAACGGAGGGTCTCGTCGTGGAAGTGGTGCTCATTTCGAGTGACTATCAAACGCACATGTCGTCCGAGAAAAAGATTTTCACGCCATTCGGTGTGAAGCTTTCAGCTACAGGCGAAATCGTACCTGAGCCGGGGAAAAAAGATTACCCACAAAACTCGACATTCTTGCTGATGCCACAGAAGGACGTCTCAGCGTTGAACACGAAGTCGGAGAGGCTGCCTGCAGTCTGGAAAGCAACAAAGCAGAAAGTGGTAAATGAGGAAGCGCACAAACGAACCAAACAGGAAGCCGCCAAAACAGCCAAACAGGAAGCCACCAAAGCGCCGAAGGTGGATAACTCGCCGTCGGTCGATTTTAAGTACCCTGGTGTTGATTTGGATCGCGTTTCTGAAGTGAAGCTGGTCATCCGCGATAAGAAAACGAAGGCGAAGGTCGGAACTGTCACGATTCCGATGAAGACAGTCGGTGATAAGCTGAAGCCGCAAGACGAGCCGATTCTACGCGTGAACCAAGAGGGATCGGAACGAAAGCGCGTGGTGGGGACGATTTCGCTGACTATTTCCCGAATCAAAAACGTTGACAAGAAATGTGTAGACGTGTACGCGCGACAACTCAGATCAAGCATGGATTTCTGGAGCATCTGCCCAACGGAATTGCTTAAAACAACACTTCACGACCGCAAGAAGAAACTCACCTGCAGTTTCCTTGCAGCTGGACCTCCCGTTTCCGGTGGTGGGAAAATTGTGCTGAAAAAGCCTCTTGAAATGGAGATCCAAGTGCAAAAGTTATCTCAGGCTCGTCGTCTCGTGCGCGCTCTTGATAAGATGCTCTCATCTACCTCCGTATCTACAATTGTAGCGCCAAGGGCAAAAGCTGGCAGCAGTGATCTGGCTTCTCGTGCTGTTAGTCAATGGCGTCATTCCGTACAGCAAACGAAGTTATTTGTCAAAGAAACGGCTTATGATTTGGGCCTGGGCGACTACATGACTGAACGGAGGCTTCCGTGGGGGGCTGACGTAGTTGCTGACGAAAGCAAGCAAACACGCCATGATATTGTAGTTGTGGAGGCAAATGTGGGTACCTGCACCCTTCGTGTGCGCGAATTTGTTCAAAAGCTCCACGAGGCGTTCATGACACGATACGTTCCGAAGTTGGACGAGTTGTACGTTTTGGATGCCCAGGGTGGCCACGCTGACATCGCTAAAGGCGAACGACTACTGTCATTCTTTGACACCGAAGTGGACGAACTGGAGTATGACGATCAACAGGTTCGCCACCGACTGTATCAGCACATTCGCTTGGCAAAACTGGCGCAGGTACTCGAAATGATCATGAGAGCCTCGATAAGAGTCAAGGTGATGGATGAAGATCGCAATAACGTCGACTCGTATTTGGGCACCGCTTGCATCCCGCTGATGGATCTTCTTGACCAGCATCCACGCGATGACATGTACCAACTCCTCTATCTGCCGACTACAAACCTGCGTGGTACCGCATACGCTGCTCCGAGCCCTTTAGGAGTTGACCGGGGAAAAGTTCACTTGCGTCTTCATTTGAAACTTTCGGAGAGTTCATTATTTGAGCAAGCGAATAATGTATACAAGCTGTGGAAATCAAGGTATATCGAGCAGCACGAAGCGGCACGCCGGCGTCTCCACGATGCAGTTGTGCCAGCTCAGCGTCGGCGCTGGATGACCATGAAAGGGTACTTGGACGAACTCAAGGTGCAATCCAAGGGGAAGTTGCATTGGGAGCGCACACCGGTGTTACTTAGCCTTGTGTGGGATATCTTCGTCCTACAAGAGAGCTCTCCAACACACAGCAAACAGGAACGTGTTAATGAGGACGAGCTAGAGTACACGGAGAAGGTCGCGCAGATGGCCAAAGACTACCGAGATGTGGTAATGAAGGTACACGAACGCTGGGTTAATCTTCAACCCGAGCTGGACGAGCTCTTGACTATTCAAGCCGCAGACCAGATCCATGCTCACCGCACACCGGAAATTCTCGATCATATCGAACAGGAGGTCGAAGGGCTAGACGTTGGACTGAGTACTGCATGGCAGCAGGTGAAGCAAAAGTGGCTGGTCTTGTTGAATGCTTTGGAGGAGCTCGTAAGCATGCAAGAGCGCAAGCTAAACTTGACTCGCGCGCCGGTGCTCTTGAAGATTGTGGAGAAGCGTTGCTTGAAGGGACTCAATGCTCGCCACTCGGAGGGTGTCTCGAATATTCAGTCCCGTTGGATGGCTATCACACAGCCGAATGGTCCTTTGAGTGAACTGCGGTTGATGGAGAAGAAGGGATTGCACTGGCGGCGGACACACGAGCTGCTGCTGCTACTTGATGAAAAGTGCGAGGGTTTTGCAGACGTGGATGATAGAGCGCTTACTAGTGTTCAAAACCGGTGGGAACAGGTGCAAGAATGGCTGGATGAGATTGTTCAGATGCAGCTGCAGCACACGATTGACTGCGAGCACACTCCTTTCGTCCTGGAGAAAATGCACTTGTGGATTCCTGTGCAGATGAAGCGGCAGAATGAGTTGATCAAAGCTGAAAAACGATCCAGTTCGATCGGGACAAGTCCACCTTCGCTGTCAAAAAGTAAGCTCGAAGCCAGCATGCGTGGCCTGTACCAACAAAATTCCAGCAGTCGCTTATCATCTGAGGGCAGCTTCAGAGCTGAGAATGGAGGGGATGACAATGAACAGCTAGAAGGTATGATCGAATGGTACTCCATCGAGGAGGCCAAACTTGAGCTGGAGCGAATTCCGTATCACCGCATTTCAACGGAAGCAGAGAAGAAAAACTGGTTGGCCTATTCGCGCGACGGGAAAGACACACGTCTCTCTATTACTCAAGAAGAAATGGTCTTCAGCCCCGAGAATGTTCGCTTTGCGTTGGAAGAGCGCGGCGTAATCCCGAGGACTTCAGAGTTCGACCCGACTGACATCGACCAGGTAGCAAGCATCAAGGCTAAATACGAAGCATGGATCTCCCCGACTCTGGCCGATCCGAAGTCCGGCTCACAGTCGGTAGCGCTGCCTACGACCGTCTCGAAAGAGATTGCAGAACTCGAAACACTACTGAAGAAATATCGCGATGACGATCAACAAGCGGTTGTGCTGCCAAACCCAGAACGCGTGGCCGAGCTCTATGAAGCAATCGAAAGTCTCGGAAAAACTGATTTGCTTTGGAACGTCGAACACGTTGTGAGTAAGAACCGCGAGCTGGCAGTACCTGACGACTACAAACTTCTCCTGCGAGAGATGACAATTCGACAGATCTCAACGACCGAAGTTGAAAATCTGGTCAAGTCTCTAGCGTTCACGATGCAGAAGGAGGTGCTAGTCGAAAAGGGTATTGCTGTCCCAACGACAGCCAACCCTACGACACTGCTTCAACTCATGCACCGCCACCAGATCAAAGAAGTCATCCTGCCGAAGGATACGGCTTCCATCCAGACTTTGCTCCAGGAGAGAGGAATGGATCGCAAGGGTGATCCTGTGATATTGCGAGGGGTTCGTATCGGAACGCAGGCAACTGGTGCTGCTAGTATCCAGACGGCTTCAGGGGCAGCTTCTTCCACCAAGGCACTCAACACGGGACTGGGTATCATCGACACGCAAATCGAATTGCTACGTAAGACGCTGCTCATCGAAGCCCTCCGCAAGCGAAACTCACTGATTCGCACGTTTCCTTGGAGATCGCACGCTCTTGATGAGGAAGATGAAAGAACGGATGCCGACATGTTCGCTGCCGCTGTTGAATTTGCTGAACTTGACATGAGCGGCGACTTTTTGACGCTTGTGGAGCGGTTCCAGCGGCAGCTCGTGCACGAGTCTTACACCAGACGGCTGGCTGAGTACGCAGCTCTTGACCGCTGCATGCGAGCCCTTCTCGGAAAGGATCGGGACGAGATAGTCACGAAGGAAGAGATTGCCATGGAGCTGCACAATGTGAACAAGAAAATAACGGGCGCGAACTATCGCCTGCCCCCTGAGGCCTTTACAGAGGACGAGCTTCAAAGGGCAGCTAATGCTGGGCGCATTCGTTCTCCCAGCGCCGAAGTTCTCGCGCGTTGTCCAACGGGCAAGAATGCCACTGCTATGGCGTACTACACAGCTATCAGCTATGCAGGTAATGTGTTCCAGGAGATGAGCAGCTTTCGAACGCGAATGGATCCGACGAAGAACAGGTTGGCGGACACCTTCCCGTTCGAGGACTGCAGCTCTCTTGATGGTGTTTTAATTCCAAAGCAGCGGAAGACGTCGTCACTTACCCAGTCGATTGCAGACTGGCTGCTAGGATTTGACACGTCGGCACTGAGTATCAAGCGGAAGCTAAGCGCTGCTCATCGACAACGACTTGTGTGGTCATCTGCAGCTTTCACGTTGCGAAACCGGTGGCTGCAGTGCGGACTTGGATGGTGCGACCACATCTTTGGAGAAGGCGTCGGAGTCAAGATCCTGCTTGATCGTCTGCTACTGTTCGAGGCTGCAAACAAAATGCACATGGTGAGGACGGAGATGCTGCTACGGGAGGTCCGTGACAAGTGTTCAAGACTGCGAGAGCGCGAAAGCGAGGCTCAAGCGAAGCTGGAGGAACGGTACCAGACGAACCTCGAGCTTCTGGAGCGGCTGGTGACGCTTGCGGAACGATGCATGAACAACCGCAAGTTGCATTCAGAGGAGACCCCGGTGCTGCTGCACAAGCTTGAACAAGTGTGTGTGGTGCCTAGCGGGCTCAACGAGCGGCACCGCGAGGCTTACCACACAGTGGCAACGTACTGGCTGCCGCAGCAACAGCATCTCTCGGAGCTCATGAAGATGCACAGGGAGGGCACGTTCAGCATTTCGCGCACGCCCGAATTGCTGGGGAAAATGAAGTACCACACAGAAGGCACAGCCGGCTCAGAGGAGCTCAACGAAGAAAAGGTGGCGGCTGTCGCACAGCGCGTCGCCCCCGAGCTGCAAGCAACTTTCGTGGATCGTAAGCTCAACGAGGTCCGGCTTGGGCAGCGCAAGGAGCCGTCGATTCTGAATCTGGACCTGACCGAGGATGAAGGCTTGACCAACCAGTCAGTCGAAGATGGACCGTGGAAGGAGCTGTCGCATTCCAAGCGGGTTGCGCAGCCGCTGTCGCCCCACGAGAAGCAGACGAAGTGGAAGCTGGTGAAGAATGCCGTAGCTGCAAACGCGGCGCTATCAGCGAGCTCACCCACGAAGGAAAAGACTGACAAACTCAAAGTGGAAATTGGAGCCAAGGTCGCGGCGCCGCCTTCTCCGCGGAGAAAGTTGTCCCTGAGTGAGGAACTGAAGGAGCTGCTGCGCTCGCCGACGCAGTGGCTTACGGGCTCAAGCTTCCAAGAGGAAACCATCGCACCCGAGCTGTACTACCCCAAGGAGGTCGTCTTGGAAACTTTAGGCGACCGTTGACCGGCCCAACGAAGTAAGTAACCCTGCATGATTGCTGAGCTCTCGATGAGACCAGCACTTTATAATGAATGAATGGATACATATTCTTTTCACTTGGTACTTTTGTTCTCATGATATATTTGTTAGAAGATGGTGGTGCTGATGGTGATAGTTGCTTACGCTTGTTACTGCTCCCTCTGCACACGCAGCTCGCGGTTGAGATAGTAGCCGGACTTGTGCAGATATGTCGGCGGCAGCTCGATAGCGCGATTTTGCTCCAACACCTGCAACCAAAGCCCATGTTAGACCAAAGGCTAGGTAAAATATCAAGACAAGAATACCGATACCACGCACCCGGTTGGAGAACACTTCGAAGTCGTCCTCAGTCATGGGTCCGTAGAGAAGACTCCACTTGCCGTCTACGAGCACGAAGTAGTAGCGCTCATTCTCGCCGTGCTCGTACCATCCTTCCTCGCCCTGAACGGTACCCGGACACGCGTTGAGGATGCCGCTCGAGTTCTTGCTGCTGTGCTGCTTCTTGCTGCCGCCACCCAGGAACGACCGCATCTTCTCGCCGATTTGTCTCCCCAGCGTCGACTTGCTGCCGTTCTGCTTGGAAGACGACGTGGTGGAGCTCGTGCGACCTTCGTCGTCTTTCCGACTCGATGACACGTTGGTCGCCCGCCCTTCCGACGAGCCCTCGCTGCGTTCTGTCTCGTCCTTCTTTCCTCGGTCTCGGTCGGGCTCCTCCTTCTTGCTGGACGCGGTGGTCTTGGCCTCCGCTGCTTTCTCGTCCGACTTCATGTCTAGCTGGCTCACCCCCTTCTCCACCTCCTGCAGAGTCGCCGCTTGCTTCTTCTTCTCGGCCTTCCGAGCCGACCGAGATCCCTCCTCAGGCTCGGAATCGTTGTCGTTCTTGTCCCGACGCTTCTTGCTGCGCCTAGAGCGCCGCTTGTAGTCGCTGTCGTCCTCAGCGTCTTCCTCACTGGAGCTTCGTCGGTGTCGGTGTCGACGACGACGTCGTCTCCGTCGGTAGCTCGCATCGGAATCGTCGGAAGATGTTGACTCGGAATCACTATCGCTCGATCCACGACGATGGCGGCGACGACGCCCATGTCGGCCACTACGCTTGCCTCCATCGCTCTCACTCGACTCACTGCTATCTACATCACGATGACGCTTCTTCTTGGAGTGTTTACTCTTACTTCGAGACCGCTCCGTGTCCTCCGGCGCAGCGCGGGACCTGGCACTGCTCGACGGCTCCTCAGCTCCCCCTCGTTGGCTTTCATCCCCTGCTGCTTCACGGTCTTGACGGTGTTTTTTACTCTTCTTCCTACTGCTCTTGCGTGGAGATTCATTGCCTTCGTCCTCCGCATTGGTGGTCGCTTCCTTACGAGGAGATCGAGCTGTGACGGGGGCTGCCTCCTCGGGTTCACTCGCGTCGTTGGCCTCGCGTTTTTCCTTCTTTCTCTTCTCCTTCTTCTGCTTCCTGCGCTGTTTCTCAGCAGCTCGTTGAGCCTCTTCATCCGCCGCATTGTCCTTGCTATTGACACTGTCTGCGTCTGCCGCGCTGTCAAGGAACTCCAAGTAGGAGGACGGCACGTAGCCCACTTCGTCTCCGGCCTCGCATTTGAGGTACCCCGTGCGCTTTGAGGACAGCACCTTGACGATGTCCCCCGTACGTAGCGACAGCTCTTCCTCCCCCGAAGCCTTGCGGTCTCGCACCACTCGAGCCATCGTCGCTCCGTCTTCGTTAGCGGGCTTACCGTTTGTCGTCCGCGCGGTGTTGACAGTCGATCGACTGGTCGACAGCGGTGACCCACGCGCTGTCGCGCTGCCGGACTCGGTGTTATCCACGTACGTGGCCACCAGTCCGCCGCCGATCCCCGAGCCGCCTCCTAGCGGCGTGTTCGAGTACGAGTCGATCGAGTCATTCGTCAAGCCTTTGACCTGGCGCACCGCCTGCTTGGGCTTGGTGGTGAGCGCCGGCAGCATGTCCTGCTCCCGCCGGCACGTTCGCTGTTCGTGTCGCCGACACCGCGGGGCTGGTCTCGATGGCGCTTTTAAGTTGTAGCGCCGCTATTAGCGCGACGTCGGAGCAGAAGCAGAAGCAGAAGCAGAAGCAGAAGCTAACGCGAGGCTGGCTGGATGCACGCAGAGCTCAGCTCGAGGCCGTCTGTTATCATCAGACAACCCCCACGAAAATAACTCCACGTCCTGCCGGCTGCATTTAGGTCCGTCGGCTTCAAGGCCTCGAGGCTCAAGATGGAGACGCCAGCCGAGAATAGGCGCAAAGATGTTCTGGTCCTACGCAAACGAGAGCTCAGCACTTCCAAATGCATTTCGTCAGCGAGCAACGCGCTATTTCCCGCCGCGTTTTAGATATCTCCAGCGAACGAGCACTCTGTGGTTTGGTGCAAGACCGTTGACTTTACTCTTATCAAACGCACAGGTCAATATCCTTCACCGCCAAAAACTACCAGGGTACAAACAGACCCCTCTCGCACGGACCAAGCCTCTTACACTACACACACTGCAGTGACGACCATGGATCTTCCACGTTGAAGCTGACTGCAACATGTGACGTGTGGGAAAACCTCCTCAAATAAGACCATGTGACGTGTGAGAAATACCTCAAATTATCCGTGGCCAATCACTGGGAGCGCATCATCCAATTGACGATGGCGAGCAGGTCTCACTACGGCCCCGCGGCGGATGCGTCCGCGCCGCAGTACCGCGCGCTGTGTGTGCGCTCGGGCAATGTCGTGGCGCTCGGCATGCAGAAGACTTCGTCCGTGAACTGCGCCGGCATGGCTCTGTTCCGCGTCTTCCAGGGGAACGTCGAGGTGCTGGGCTTCCGGCCGCCGCTGGGCGTCTACTTCTCGCTGCACTCGCCCAAATGGAACAACCTGCTGGTGATCGAGGGCCGGCCGGGCAACGAGGAGACCCAGGCGCCCTTCGGACCCTCCAACGCCAGTCTGTTGCAGGTTATGGAGCCGAATTTGCCCTCGGAGGCGCTGAATGAGGACGAGGAGATCGCGGCCGACCGACTGGCCATGCAGCTCGTGGACGACTTCCCCATTGTGCTGGTGCTTCGAGCCACCCCCCTCACGTACGGGAATGTCACGAGCTTCTACGAGAACGCGCGGCCCGAGAAGCCGCCGGCGGTGCTGCCGGGCTTCAAGATGATCGTCCCCAAGCACCTTCAGAGCGACGTGGCAGACCTCACGGCAGGCTTCGACATGACGAGCGCGGCGCCGTCAGACGCCGACCCGTCGCACCACGACTGGAAGTCGCAGGAGCGCGTGCTGGCGGAGCTCGTGGTCGTGGACTCGTTCCGGACCGTGCAGTGCACGGAGCCCTGGCAGACGACGGTGGACCGACTGCAGGCGAGTCTGCAGGAGGAGGAGAATCCCGTCTCTCAGAAGATCGTCGTGTGCGGAGGCAAGGGCGTGGGCAAGTCCACGTTCTGCCGCTATTTAGTCAACAGATTGCTGGCGAAGTTCGGGACTGTGGCCTTCCTGGATACGGACTTGGGGCAGAGCGAGCTGACCCCGTCCGGACTTGTGGCGCTCCACGCCTTGGCGACGCCGCTGCTTGGACCGGGATTCTCGCACATGAAGAACCCGATCCGGTCCTTCTTCTGTGGCAATACCAACCCGGGGAATGATCCGCTGTACTACATGAAGGCAGTCAAGAGTTTGCTGCGTCTGTACGAAGCCAAGTGGGGAGGCCAAGTGTCTGACGACTCAAGTCCCAGGAAACGGCAGCGCGCGCGTGTCCCGTTGGTTATTAACACGGACGGATGGATCAAGAGTATGGGCCACGACCTGCTGTGCAACGTCATCCAGGAGACGAACCCGGACCACGTCGTGCAAATGCTGGCTGCTACGAAGAACAAACAGTTTGACGTCCCTACTGAAGGCCGGTGGCGTATCCATGGAGTCCCGCCATGGGATCCCGTGGGCGTGACGCAGCCTGCTCGCAGCTCCAAGGAGATGCGGATCTACCGATTCCACTCGTACTTCCTGGCGCGCACGCCTTGCAGCCTCCCACGCGCACTGCTACAGAACCTGCAAGTGCTTTCAGAGAAGAACCGCGTCGACGGCGACATCTACCGCGCCTACGCTCAGCTCACGCCGTTCGTGGTATCGTTCGACCAGGTCGACGTCGCCTTCGCTGGCTCTTCCGTGCCTCCCAGCCAGCTCTTGTTCTCGCTGAACGCCTGCGTCGTGGGTCTCTGCTTCAACCCCGACTATAAACCTGTAGAGGAAGAGCGTGACGGACCGCCGCGGATCGTTTTGCAGCCAGTGCACGCCCCGTGCGTCGGAGTGGGCATCATCCGAGCGGTGGACGCCGACAAGCGGCAGTTGTTCGTGTTGAGTCCGCTGCCCCTTTCGGTGCTGAAGCGAGTCAACCTACTGGTGCGAAGCAGTATGCCCCTAGGCAACATCATCCTCTCTGCTCAAGAACCAGCCCAAGCTCCGTACGTTGTCACGGACGTCGTGTCATCCGACGGCACTGGATCCGCCGTCATGCAGAGCCGCAACAACCTCAAACGCAAGCGCGACGGCAAGTAACCAGACTGCTAGCCTCGAAAACTCGTATAGAACGATACATAGATGTTCACTGGTTCATGGACTACGTCAATTGATTTCTTTTCTCCAGTCTCTAGCTGCTGATGACGCAGACCTCGTTGTGCTTGGCGTCTCGGTAGTGTGTCACGCACTCGTCCATGTCGATCTCCGGCTCGGGCCACGTGTCCAGCGTCAGTGCGAGCTCTCGTCTTCCGCTCCACCACCGCAGGAGCTGCCGCCACTCGAAAGTGGCTACACCATTCAGCATTGACACAGATCCGAACGAGACGTCCAGCGTCCGCCAGCTCCAGCTTGACTTTGCTTCATGTTCCGACGAGGGCCAGAGAGGAGGCCCCGAGAGCAGCAGCAGCAGCCACGGCATGGTGGCTACGAGCACCCACACGATACGAATCATCGAGCAACTCTGGATCGGGATGCAAAATGGACCCGCAAAAGATTGCGACGGTTCGCCTTTTCGCTGTCGTTTTAGCCATTTTCTACGGAATTCGTTTGTTTTGTAAGTATTTTTTAAGAAACTCAAAAGTTTGGAATTTGTAAACAAAATGGTCTACAGTAAGGCTTAGCAGTCACACATCAGCAACCCAGCAGAGGATGATCCTAGTTAGGTAGTTAAGGTGCAACCTGGTGTCCACAGTTGCTCACTCTTCTGTTCTTCTCATTCCGGAATTTACTGCGCTGTGGCAAAATGGTGGTTCTTTACTGCATTTTGGTTGGGGAAGAAGGCGTGCTCATTGTGGAGATCGACACGAGTGCGTCCGTGGCACTCCTGAAGGTCGCGATCGCCAAGGTGCTGAAGTACAATGGGCGAGCTGATCAGCTGCAGCTTTTCTTGGCCAAGAAGGACGGTACGTGGCTGACAGAAAACGCGGTGGCGGAGTCTACAAGGGATACGAGCGGCCTGGACCTTTTGAGTTACACGCATTCAGAACTCAGCGCGGTTGGCCTCTCGGAGGAAAATGCCAAAATTTTAGTCGGTGATGATGAAGCTGCGGCTGGGAATGGGCCTGTACATTTGATAGTGCGGATTCCGTCCGGGATCGACATAGAAGTCGGTGAAATTTGTAGCGAAGACATCCACCGCGCCGAACTGGAATACTATCAACAACGAGGTCGGCTGGTCCGACGCTACTGTGAAGACTATTGCAGCAAAATCCTCGACAAAATTGACAGCCACTACGCGCTCAATACGCGGCCGCTTCCCTTCATTTATGTGGGCGGCTCATCGGGCATGGGGAAATCACAACTCGTCTTTGCTCTCGGAGGACGGCAGCCGTATTACAACTGGCTTGCCACCCGCATTGGAGCCGAGTCTCAGAGCATCTACCGCAACTTTGAATCCATTTCAAGGGCATTCTTTAATGTTGTGAGCAGAGATAAAGTACCGAAAGGCCTCCGAGCGAGATGTTGGATATGCCATCTCCAGTTTACCAAGAAGAAGCTCTGTGGGCTTTCGGATTCATCCGATCACTACTGGAGCATTGCGGTTCGGCGGAGAGTCAACGTCCTCAAATGATACGCTTTGAAGAGACAATGTGGAGAAGTGCACTATGAAAGCTGTCCGCGCTGTTCGTGATACGATGTTGAAGGAGAATAAGGCCCTCCCTTTCTTCATCTTGGACGAATTGTCGCTCGATGGAGGAATGAGCATGGCGGCTTTCCAACGCAACGTCTTTCGTGTTTGTGGCTTGGTGATGGTGGTTATGGGCACTGATGCCAGAGCCACGAAGTTGCTGGGAGACGACTCGAGAGGCAGCTACAAGGACGAGCAACTGAGGATGACGATTGTTTATCGCTTCCCTCGCTACCAACTACTTCTGAGTGACCGGGAAGAGCAACGTGTCTGGGGTAGTGTTGTGCTGCAGTTCCCTGTCGTTAAAGACATCGCGATGCGTTCGTGCGGAAGGTTTGCCCGATATTTCGTCGACAGCGCGGTGGAGTACGCGACTGCAAACGAGGACTTCAAGCTGTACGACTTGTTGGATACAGCATTTTGTCATGTCAGCCGTAAGACCCAGGGAGGCAAGGGCTTCAGGGACAAGCGAGGTGGACTGGAGGCACAACTGGCGGCAATATCCTACTCAACCATTACACCTGAGCCACCGCGAAAGAAGAGGAAAACAGAGAGTGTGGAGATCAACTTCATGCATTTGCACTTCGCTAACTTGGTGGACGAGCCAATATTTTCTCGAAGTGCTTTATGGGTAAACCCACGAAACTTGAAAAGCAGACGTTCAACGCGTTTGAGAAGGTGGCTGCCCATGCGATCTTCTGTGCGTCGCGAAGGAATGGCGTACGAGGTATCTCTCTCGACGATTTTTTGGCTGGATTACTAGGCGAGTTTCAGAGCGAGTTCAAGATGATGACGATGACTTTGGACGATTCAAACGAGCCCATCGCTGCCAGTATCCTGTTGGATGGATACACTGCGTTGGCGAAGGCGTCGGAGACGACGATTCCCTTCTTGGCTCCACCCAATGCTGAATGGCCCCAATACATTCTCGATACTCGCGCTCACGGGTGTGACTTTGGTCATCTCGTTCTCAGCGCAGGCAGCGGTATTTGCGTGAAGCGCGTGGGGAACATTGAGGGAAACAAGTGGCAGGGCGCACCACTTCTCGTCTGTGAATGCCAGGAGACCGTGGAGACGGGTAAGATGAAGGAGATTATTAATGAACTGGAATCAGCATGGGAGCAGAAGTGGACGACTGCGCTGGTGTTCTGTGCGCAGCTACAGGTAGCAAGCTTTCGTGCAGAGTGGGAGTATCCACAGGTTGGTTGCGTCAAGATTGACTGCCAGAGCTGTAGTGCCGAATGGATGTATCAACCAGATCTAAGAAGTTGGAAAAGGTTGGTCATCCTATTAGTGACGGATCCGGTGATGACGGATTAGACCCGAAACACCCACGCATTTCCTAGTGTTTGCCCCCTACGAAGCCGTGGAGTAAGCATTGCCGGTAGTGGAAAACGTGAGCAATTTCAGTCACATTGTTGCTTACGTTCATCCTACGACTCGGTTTGCCTCCTACTCCCGGAAGGAAAAGTCTTTGTCCGCGGCCTCGGCGTGGGGTGTCGCGATGGCGCCCATGTGGTAGTCGCCGCACGAAATCCTGCACCACAAAGACAACTAAAGTTAATATAAAATCCATGAGTGCGCTCATCAACTATGACAGCCAGCCAGCAGCGACGTACGAGGTGATGTTCACGTCGGCCAGGGCCTCGATCTGCACAGGCTGCAGCTGGTTCTTGCGGTCGCCGTGGCCCAGGCAGTTGGAGCTGCCCTTGCCGAACGTGAAGACCTCGCCGTTCTCCGAGAGAGCCACGGTGTATTGCCGTCCGCAAGCGACCTGCACCATCTTGTACTCGTTCACAGCCGTCATCTCGTGCGGCTCGATCCAGATCTTGGAGCCCCACATGTACAGCCGTCCGTCGTCCGTCACAGCGGCCGCGTGGTCGTAGCCAGCCGCGATCTGCTTGACCGACAGACCGTTGAACGCCTCCACCAGGACGGGGATCGACTCGATGTTGTACACGTCCATGGCCAGACCACCGCCAATGCCCAACTGGTTCTCTACAATGATTGCAGCAACAGCAAAACATTAGCACTCACACCACCCACCGCTTTAAGCACAGCAGCACCAACGTACGGCTGTTGCCTCCCCAACTGTAGAGCTCGCCGTTGTCCGTGAGCGCGAAGGAGAAGTCCCGGCCAGCGGCAATGGACACGACGTTGTCCTTGGAGAAGAACTCAATAGGCTCAGGCACCTCGCACGTGTCGGACTCGCCGTTGCCCAGGCGTCCGTACTCGCCGTTGCCCCAGGCCCAAATCTCGCCGTCCTTGGACAGCGCCACCGTGTGGAACTCGCCGCACTCCACCGTCAAGATGGGTACACCCTGGTCCACCAGCGTCGTCAGCAGTCGCGGCGTGGGCTCGTCCTTGCCGCCGGCGTGGCCCAGACCACCCGCGCCCTTCATGGTGGAGCCGCCCCAGCCCCACGAGTACATTTTGCCATCTGCGTCCACGGCGGCCGTGAAATAGTCTCCGCAGGACACGTCCACGATCTTGACGCCCTTGAGCGCCTCCACCTCGCGCGGGAGCGTCTCCATCTCGCTGCTCTCTCCGAGTCCCAGCTTGCTGTACTCGTTCGAGCCCCACACGTAGAGCTTGCCATCCTCGTCAACTGCACAAATGCACAATATTTGGTCACTATTTTTTCTTATACCCACAAATAAGAAATCAAATAAATAAATAAATAAATAATAAGAGTTGACGTACTGGCAGCGCTGTGGCTGGCGCCGAACTCGACGTGCGTGATGGCCTTGCCCTCGAACGCCTCCAGCAGCTTGGGCGTGAGCTCCTCGTACGCGTTGCGGATGCCCGACTTGACCACGGGGCCGTGGCCCAGCTGGCCCAGCGTGCCGTTGCCCCAAGTGTACACTGTTATAAGTAATTGTGCATCGTGCAGTACAGTAGAGTAGAGTAAAAAGTGTCAATAATGACATGCTTGCTTTCCAAATGGAGTACTGTAGTGTCGACAAGACGCACCGCTGGACTGCGTGGAGAAGGCGTGCTGCAGCGCGCTGCGCGTGGCCAGGGACCTGGCGACGGAGGCGCGGCACCCAGCGGCGCGGAGAGCGCCGAGCAGGACCTGCACCATGACGATCGCGAGCTTCCTCTATGCAACGAATATGTGTGGCGCCGCGAATCCACGTCAAGGAGTACAGTGGGGTACTGGAAACTAGAGTAATTTTGAATCCGATACCCTCTACTATCTTATAAAGACAATATTCGAATTAGCTCCATTAGACCTCTAATAAATGGATAGGTGATAATGCAACATACCATTGATTTAGTGGGTAAAAGTCTTAATAACTGTACTATCTGCAAGTTGGCGTGCACCACATCAACATCATAATCAATGTAGCCATTATCGTGATCACCGAATAATTAGCCGGCGGCAGAACTTCTCGATTAGAGCGCACTTCGAGTGGATACTGCTGCATACCTTGGCAAGCTTAATGGCAGATGTGTAATAGATTGTTTCTAGTTATCCGGGGACCCTTTTTTCATCAAAATTATTATGTCATTGTACTTCTACTTCGGCGCCGATGCAAAACCTAATGTACTTCATCGAACAAGCGAAGGCATTTCAGCTAACGTTGAGCATCGCGGTGAGCTGCAAGTTGCCGCCCTGCGTCGACCGAGGAACCCACAAGAGCAACGAACCGCCTCCAGTTCCGGGGAGACCCAGAAATCCAGGCCGCCACCGATCCAAGTACAGCGTCTTGCCTTCCAGCGCCGTCAAGTTCGATCTCCACGTCGCGACTTTGCCTGCACGCACGCTCACCTCGTCGATCTTGTCGCCGCCAGACTTGATGTTCACGACCACGTCCTCGGTATCGACGCTCTTGAACGTGATGGTGACGGTGCCGTCGCCCACCCTCGTCCACATGCCGTGGCTGTTGTTGAACGCGCCTTGGACGATCTTCATGCCTAGCGCCTTCGTCGCGCTGCCGTCGTCGATCTCGCCGACGAGCTCCGTGGACGGACAGATGGGCTCGAAGAACTCGGACACGACCGAGGACATGTACCACCAGTCCCAAATGGCGTAGAACCCCATGGCTCTGTCCGCCACTTTGAACGCATACTCTTTGGCCGTGAGGAACGTGCCGTTGCTGCTGGTTCCGGAGCTGATGAGGTCGTCTACGATGGCCGCGAACGTCTTGCGCAGCGTTCCGCGTCGGACGTAGGCCTTAGCTTCATTGGACTCTGCGATCAGCTCGCTCATGCAGTTGTTGGTGGCGACGGGGATGTCGTGAAGCACGAGGTTCGATTGGCTCATGATCGCGCGGATGTCGTCCTCAGAGATGCCTGGGTTCAGCCGACGCAGCTCTGCCACAGTCATCCACGTGCGGTCCAGCAGGCGCTTCATGTCGAAGCCGCAGGTCGAGTTGGACTCGAGCGCAGTCTTCAAGTTGGTGATGTCCTTGTCGCTGAGCGAGTTGACTGTCTCGCCCATCGTGAGGTTCTTCATGAAGCCCGTGAACCGTTCCCAGCTGGAGATGATGGCGTCGCCGTACGAGATGATTTCCCTCAGCGCGTACTCGGCCGTGGTGAGCACGCCGTCAGCGAGTTTGACGGTGTCGGACGCCTTCCCCCCCATGCAGTAGGAGATGGTCACTGGGATGTCGATGATGACGTTGTCGCTTTGATAGAGGATGGCGAGCAGCTTGTCTTCCGGGGTCTCTGGGTTGTACACCTTGAGGTAGCGGATGTACTTGATGAGGGACTTGGTGAGGCTGAGGAGATACTTGGTGCACTTGACGGCGAGTTGAATGCCCTTGGCCCACTTAGACATGTCACCGTACATGTTCCATGAGGCGAGGGCGAGCGCGGTCTGCACCACCACGGCAGCCTTCCCCGCAATTGCGAGCGTACAGTCATCATTCTGTCGGAGGCACTCGAATCCGCACTCGACAGGGTACAAGTATGGACACTGCATCCAGCACACGCCCAGCTTCTTGTCGAACCCCCACGGACACGTCTTGGCGATGTGAGTCTTGCGCCAGCACGCGGAAGAGATGGACTGATCGAGCGCAGGGCCGACCCAGTTGGTGTACGTGGACTCGATGGTGCTGGTGGCGTTCAACACGCTGCCGAACTTGAGCGCAGCGCTCATGGATCCAAACACCACCTTGGATGCGGCTGCAGAGCCAGTGCTCGAGTCATCATCATCCACTGAGTCAACGTCGCTCTCTTCGTCAGCGTCTTCGCCGTCGGAGTCGTCGTGATCCAGTTCTCGGGCCTCATCGTTGGCTGTTGGCAAGTAAGCTGGTGATTCGGTTTCTCGTATAGTGGCTGTGGTGCTGGCGTTGTCAACGGTATCGGTTGTGTAGTTCATAGTAGGGGTCTTGGTAGTGTCTGACGCACCGTGGTCGGTGGAATAATTGGCCGGAGCGACCGTAGCTAATGCGGCTGCATTGCGTCCGAACGAGTATACCTTCGCCGAGGTTGCTCCACTGAAGCTCGCTGCGAAGACAGTGAGCAGCGCCGCTGACTTTGTCATCATAATCATACGTCAACTGATACGAAGCTACCCCTGGGTAGCAGAATACGAAGTGATACTCAACGTGACGACGTTAATACCGACCGCTTCATGCGTTGATGGTTGGTGCGAATCTTTTTGCGGTTCAACGACCACTATCTTCAACAAAGCCGTGGCATTCGGGACGCCGCTGCTTCCTATCACGAGTATTATTTTCGTGTGTGCTGTTGACAAACGTTTCCCTGCCGTGAAGGGTGCAAGCTTCCAGCGCCAGTCACTCGGCGCTTGGCGGCGATCCGCTGCACCCCACAATCGAGTGACGTGTGCCAGGTAGGATCCGAACCAGGATTTGGCATCGCCGTGTTGCTCAGCGATTGAATTGAGCAAACACGCAGCTACCTGAGGTTTGCACCGATCTACTACTGTAGCAAGCTCGCGGGCTCAAGACGCTCGTCTTGGTCTGAATCGGGGTGATGCTGTCGTCTCCGAGCATTTATAAGGTCCAAACTTGGATTTTTTTCTTTAAGCTTGTACATGTAGTACAGTTACTGTAAAGTACTCTGCAGAATAGTAGTAGTAGTGATAGTAGTACTTATACCAATACTCAATAGCACTGCTTTAGCATAAGATTGGGGCCGGTATATATCTATAGGAGCGAGAAAAACTGGCGCAAGTAGTAGTGCTAATATCACTATTACTTACCCGACTTAAGTAAGATCTTCACAAGGCGCGCGGATTGTCCCGTGCTTTGCGCTTTCGCGCTCATTTCTCGATTTTCAGGCAAAGAAACAGACTGGTGAAGTGCGCTGAGATTGACGGTCATTGATGTCGGGAGGGGATAGCGGAGACTTCACTTCACCACGCAGTATGTGCAGCTGGTCTGCCCGCCATTCGTGAACCCCGTCGTAGCTCTGCCGTCAGTGATCTATTGCATCGTCCTCAATTGGTAGTTGTTCAATACTAATAACGACCCCAAGGAGCAGAGTATCACCTAGCACATAATCCACAAGCCATCTCGCACTCGATCAACCCGTTGGGGGTCTATCCACTGCAAGGGCAATACATGCATTCTTAATCCCTGTTGAGCTTAAGTAATAAGGCACGCTCTGTGGCGCGGGCTTCAGTGAGTCAGGTGCACGTATCGGGTGACATCGTGCGGCCTGATCCTGGTCCGTGGTGGTGCGTGGAATTACAAACGCGTTTAAAGCTGCTGAATTTCACTATGATGTTTCTGAATACGCTAGGACTTGCTGACAACATGGTGATTTCCTTGATGGCGTTGCTAAACTTGCTTGAAGTTTACGTAGGACGGGGTTGTTCAACAACTAGAACGTCGTTTACTTCGTGTTTTGACACTACGGTAAAAAAATGGCGAGCCCAAAAATTATTGATACTAAGGCAAGTTGCCACTTTAGTAGAATTTTCGATGGCAACTTTTAGCCAACCGCCCCTGCTTGTAATATTGACCGCAAGGTACTGAGTGAGGTATGAAATTGTAGCTCAAGATTTCAACAATCAGAGACGATACCAGCTAACTAAATCCATGCAATATTCAGCACATTTAACGCAAGCTACTAAGCCATCTCGAATTCGAGGTTGTGCCAGTTTAGTAGAGATTTTATCAGGGAGTTTGTATTGAAATACCAGCTGTTGGCTCCCTTGCACCTTGAATAATTACATTATCAACCAATCATGGAAGCTATACGCGAAATACTGTCTGTTCATTGGTCGACGTGACACTCTACTAAACTGCTCACTATCTACTAAAGTGGCAACTTGCCTTAGAACTAACTAAGCCCGGCGACACTGAAGAACTATTGTAGCAGAAAAAATATTTTAGTACTGTTAGCAATGACATTCACCTAGTTATAATAAAATACAATAGTAATAGTAATAATATATTAATATAATTATTATATGAGTCACTCTGATTCGGATATTAGTAGTAGTATTCTAAGAGCGGTAATACTAAAGAAAAACAATGTCACCGTATTACCAAATAGAACACCAACTTTTGCACTTGCTTCAAGTTCTATGAGTATCCATAACGTTTTTGGTGGTGGCGCTGGGACAGACCCAGCTACAAATTGTAAACCGCGATGAAATACAGTGTTTATATAATAGCGACCAGGTTATTAATAAATCTTCGCTCACTCTGGTTATCGAGCTGGGCTCATCAATGGAAAGTGAAGCGCTTCCGATACTTCTCGCACTGCAAGAACATCCATTCAGTCGGTTACCGTGTGCAAGGATTTTAGGTGTACTCTCAACACACACCGCGAATTGTACGCGATCAGTAGCTTTTAAAGGCGAGCGTGGGTCCTCGACGGCACCACTGGTCAGTACCTTCTTGTTATCTGATGCCGTTGATTCTGAACGCTGCGAGGTGGTTGCATTCACCGAGGGAATGACACAGCACCTTTCACAGCGAAAGGACCGGTACCCCTTCTGGTAATCATGACTGCAAAATAATACTCACGATTGGAAGCAACGCGTTTTGATGATGCGACACCACGGCTTTGTCAGGGGCATTGTCGTTATGGTGAACTGTTGTACAGTACGATACAGTAAGTAAGGCGGCGACAAGTAAATGGCCTCAGCCAACTTCATTTTTTATTCCCCGACTTCATCTAACGGCACCCAAGATGGCAAAAGTAGCGGCGCTGCTCACTGTCTTCGCAGCGAGCTTCAGTGGAGCAACCTCGGCGAAGGTATACTCGTTCGGACGCAATGCAGCCGCATTAGCTACGGTCGCTCCGGCCAATTATTCCACCGACCACGGTGCGTCAGACACTACCAAGACCCCTACTATGAACTACACAACCGATACCGTTGACAACGCCAGCACCACAGCCACTATACGAGAAACCGAATCACCAGCTTACTTGCCAACAGCCAACGATGAGGCCCGAGAACTGGATCACGACGACTCCGACGGCGAAGACGCTGACGAAGAGAGCGACGTTGACTCAGTGGATGATGATGACTCGAGCACTGGCTCTGCAGCCGCATCCAAGGTGGTGTTTGGATCCATGAGCGCTGCGCTCAAGTTCGGCAGCGTGTTGAACGCCACCAGCACCATCGAGTCCACGTACACCAACTGGGTCGGCCCTGCGCTCGATCAGTCCATCTCTTCCGCGTGCTGGCGCAAGACTCACATCGCCAAGACGTGTCCGTGGGGGTTCGACAAGAAGCTGGGCGTGTGCTGGATGCAGTGTCCATACTTGTACCCTGTCGAGTGCGGATTCGAGTGCCTCCGACAGAATGATGACTGTACGCTCGCAATTGCGGGGAAGGCTGCCGTGGTGGTGCAGACCGCGCTCGCCCTCGCCTCATGGAACATGTACGGTGACATGTCTAAGTGGGCCAAGGGCATTCAACTCGCCGTCAAGTGCACCAAGTATCTCCTCAGCCTCACCAAGTCCCTCATCAAGTACATCCGCTACCTCAAGGTGTACAACCCAGAGACCCCGGAAGACAAGCTGCTCGCCATCCTCTATCAAAGCGACAACGTCATCATCGACATCCCAGTGACCATCTCCTACTGCATGGGGGGGAAGGCGTCCGACACCGTCAAACTCGCTGACGGCGTGCTCACCACGGCCGAGTACGCGCTGAGGGAAATCATCTCGTACGGCGACGCCATCATCTCCAGCTGGGAACGGTTCACGGGCTTCATGAAGAACCTCACGATGGGCGAGACAGTCAACTCGCTCAGCGACAAGGACATCACCAACTTGAAGACTGCGCTCGAGTCCAACTCGACCTGCGGCTTCGACATGAAGCGCCTGCTGGACCGCACGTGGATGACTGTGGCAGAGCTGCGTCGGCTGAACCCAGGCATCTCTGAGGACGACATCCGCGCGATCATGAGCCAATCGAACCTCGTGCTTCACGACATCCCCGTCGCCACCAACAACTGCATGAGCGAGCTGATCGCAGAGTCCAATGAAGCTAAGGCCTACGTCCGACGCGGAACGCTGCGCAAGACGTTCGCGGCCATCGTAGACGACCTCATCAGCTCCGGAACCAGCAGCAACGGCACGTTCCTCACGGCCAAAGAGTATGCGTTCAAAGTGGCGGACAGAGCCATGGGGTTCTACGCCATTTGGGACTGGTGGTACATGTCCTCGGTCGTGTCCGAGTTCTTCGAGCCCATCTGTCCGTCCACGGAGCTCGTCGGCGAGATCGACGACGGCAGCGCGACGAAGGCGCTAGGCATGAAGATCGTCCAAGGCGCGTTCAACAACAGCCACGGCATGTGGACGAGGGTGGGCGACGGCGCCGTCACCATCACGTTCAAGAGCGTCGATACCGAGGACGTGGTCGTGAACATCAAGTCTGGCGGCGACAAGATCGACGAGGTGAGCGTGCGTGCAGGCAAAGTCGCGACGTGGAGATCGAACTTGACGGCGCTGGAAGGCAAGACGCTGTACTTGGATCGGTGGCGGCCTGGATTTCTGGGTCTCCCCGGAACTGGAGGCGGTTCGTTGCTCTTGTGGGTTCCTCGGTCGACGCAGGGCGGCAACTTGCAGCTCACCGCGATGCTCAACGTTAGCTGAGCTTATCCCTCGGTAATTGAGGGAGTCGTGAGTACCGTAACTATGAAATGTGTGTGTGGTGGTTAGATAACTGCGATGGGTGACGCTCGACGAAATAACTAGTGAAGGGCGGATGCCCACGTCAGTACAGAGGTCGTAGACGAACACCATGTTATCAAAGCAATGCTTCTACCATACAACTTTGTTTGTATGGCAACAACTGACAGCAATTTGTCCTCAGATCACAAGTTGTGATTCAAGTTGTGATTCACAACTTGCGATTCACATTTGACACTAAACGAATCAAAGTCGAAATTTTGAGATTCATTTCTGTTTTCTCATCTGGCGGGGTAGAAGTTGATGCCGCGCATATTTTACTTTGCCGGGCCCGAGATGTGTAACGACAATAAGTACTGTAGCGCTTACTAGACGTTCAACCGTCAGACATGAACCTGGAGGAGCGAGCTACTAGACTGTTTACCAAATACTACTGTACATGTACAACCTCCCTCCAGCCCGCAACTTGTTGTGATTTCTGAAGTCTGACAAATGCCGTTCCGCGTGCATTCAGGCGCATGAATCTTGAGCCAACGCAAATCGAGCAGCGCATCTCGCCATGGTGGCGAAAGTCGCCTTTGAGCCTGCAAGCTGCGCGTTGTGAGGCGCTGTCGATTGCTGAGAGGTAGCAGTCCTATCCTCACCCGCTTCCCACCAGACAAAACGTCCCAGACCGAGGTGTCTCTGGCCAGAGCAAGATTCTCTTCCGGACCAATTTGCCTGCCGAGTGAGTGGCGGAGATGGCGTGTTCGGACCGCACAGCGAAACCAGATGGCAATTTGGGAAAGCCCTGCACCGTGTTCAAGCTGAAGCCACCCGCGATTGGAAGAAGCGCGTCCCGATGATCTGTTGCCACGCACGCGATAATATATCGAGGACATTAGAGTTTAAACTCCGAGCCCAATGCTCGCAAAGAAAGACCTTTGCTGACGGTGCAGTGCATGTAGTCGACCCAGCTCACTTTTCGTTTTGCCGTGTTCTACACAGTCATGACCGTCCGATGGATTGCAGTGTTCGCCGTCTTCGCGGCAGCGTGTGCAGCAACTGATTCCTCTGCGAGCACGTACACGTTCAGCAAGGTCTCGATGGCGCCGCCTCGACTAGCGCCAGTCGCAACGGTGTCCGCAAGGATCAATATGGCCGCGAATGACACACCAGCAGCGACTGTGACGTCGTCTTTAAGGCCTCCAAGCAGTGACGACGACTCTCTAGACTCCTTGGACAGTGACGACGACAGCTCAGGGCCCAGCGCCAGGCATAACTCGCCTTCACTCGACTCTTCAGACAGCGTAGATGACTCATCCGACGACAGCCATGCCGCTTTATCGAAGTCTGTGGAAGCAGCGCTATCGATAGGCAGCGTGATCAATGCCACCAGCACGATTCGGCCCACGTACGCGAACTGGGTAGGCTCCGCTCTCGACACTTCCTTCGCTACCGCGTGTTATCGAGAAGCACACATCGCCAAGGAGTGTCCATTGGGGTTCAAAGACAAGCTTGGAACATGCTGGGCGCAGTGTCCGTACGCGTACCCAGTCGAGTGTGGCCTGGAGTGCATTCGACAAAACGACGACTGTGGGCTTGAGATCGTCACTAAAGTGTCGGCTTTGGCGCAAACGACTCTATCTCTCATCACGTACGATGTATTTGGCAAGCTGGCGGCGTTGGCGAGAGGTGTGCAAGTGGTTATCAAGTGTGCCAAGTATATGATGGGTTTGATCAAGTCGCTGGCCAAGTATGTTCGTAACATCCAAGTGACTGATCCGCAGACGTCTCAAGACAAACTTTTGGCGATTCTGTACCAGACTGACAACGTTGTTGTCGACATCCCCATCGCTGTCTTCTACTGCATCGGGAGCTACGCGTCGGACGAGCTCAAGCTCGCGGATAGTGTGCTAATGACTGCCGAATATGTGCTGAAGGAAGTCATCGCGAATGGCGCGACGATCGTTTCTAGTTGGGACAAGTTTACCAGCTTCATGAAGAATATCACGCTTGGAGAGTCCATCACGTCGCTGAAAGAGACCGATATCAAGTCATTGAAGTCAGCGCTGAAGTCAAACTCCACCTGCGGGTACGACATGAAGAGACTGCTGGATCGCACGTGGATGACCATCGCAGAGTTTCGCAAACACAACCCGAAAATGTCCGAGGACGACATTCGCGTCGCTATAAGTAAGTCGAATCTCGTGCTGAACGACATCCCCATCGCGACAAACAACTGCATGAGTGAGTTGATCGCTCAATCGGACGAGAAAACGGCTTTTGCCACTCGCGATACGCTCCGAAAAACATTTGGAGGCATCGTGGACGATCTCATCAGCTCGGGAACCAGCAGCAATGGGACGTATCTCAGCGCCGGCGAGTATGCTTTCAAAATTGCCGACAAAGCGTTTTCGTTCTACTCGATTTGGGATCCGTGGTCTTTCACTGGCGCGCTTTCCGAGTTTTTCCAACCGATCTGCGGGCCCACCGAGTTCATCGGGGAAATCGACGACGGCGATGCTGAAAAGGCGCTGGGAATGTCGATCGTGCAGCGTGCGTTTAACAACAGTGTCGGCTCGTGGACGAAAGTTGGCGATGGGTCTGTGCGTATTACTTTCAAAAGTGTCGATACCGAAGCGGTGACTGTGAATATCAAGTCTGGTGGTGACAAAATAGACGAAGTGGACGTTCCAGCAGGAAAAACGGTGACGTGGAAGTCAAATGTGACGGCGCTGGCGGGTAAGACGCTGTATCTGGATCGTTGGCGGCCCGGATTTCTTGGTCTTCCTGGCACTGGGGGTGGTTCGTTGTTGTTATGGGTTCCTCGATCTACCCAAGGTGGAAGCTTGGAGCTCACTGCGATGTTAAATGTGAGTTAGGTGTAGTGAAGTAATTTCAATGACTTAAGTGTAACTTACCGGACATTTTGAATTTGTAGAAAATATGCAGGATGTGTACGAATAAATAGAAAACATAGGTACAGTATTTAGACATCAGTCAAACAGTGATCCAATTCCGAAAAGTTTGAACATACCAAGAGCATCTCCAACGGTAGTGCAAATTGCAAAAGTGATAAGGCAAAGTGAATGACCGATTAGCAACATAAACAAGACGAACACGCTTGAATTTTTTTGCAATAGTTCAGCTTCCCCAACGGTATTGCAAAATTGCGTAGTGAAAGCGGGTAGCCCTCCCTCCGCAATGGCCGATAAAGGGTAGCGTAGCTTAAGTTATCCGCGGCAAAGGCACCACAATAGGCAGCACTAGGCAACTATAGAGCACTTCAGGTCGATAACGGCCCGCCGTTGTTTGCAGCATGCATTTGGGACAGCAAGTCATTTGCCCTACATACTGTAGCAACTGCCGGTAAGCCCGGTAGCTTCTATTCATCCGGTGTACCTATGAAACTAGTAGTATATGTATTGTGAGAGCGTTGTGTACCTCTTTCGGACGGGTGCACGCGCTGAAGGCGTCCATAAATGCGTATTCTCGCCTTGCACTTTGCGTGCAATAGCTGGCAGGTCGTAGTGAATAGCAGGCCGATAATCACTACGCCATCCGGGAATTGCACTATCGATTTCAACGTGTTACTTCAGCACTACTTCTGAACCCCTATCACTTCCCCGTTGGGGATGATTTTTTTGCAATTTTGCAAATATCGTGCAATTCCTTGAGTTTTGCACTACCGTAGGAGATGCTCTAACATACTCAAATGCCTTCTTAGTGCCTTCTTGGTACCGGTAAGCTTACATCTCACATACAACAGTGTGTGGGTAGACGCCCTCCTTTTACATAACTTCCAGGTATTGTGGCTTTCAACTATTTTGCCGCCCGATTTGTCGTGTTATCTCGGAGTCCGATTTATATAAAATGGAGCTCCTACATGATCGGTTAGTCCAATTTAGCTATATCTGACCTGAGTTAGTAGCATAAGGCTCAGAGGGGAGGCATTCCAAGTTCTCCTCACCTCTCATGACGCATTAGAACTGCAAGACATTGGGGACAATAGTACACTGTATATAGCCACTTCGTAGCACTATGGCCAGCTAAATCACCTGTGTGATCATCTACGGCCGCTACAACCTCGTGCCACGCCGATCTGAGAGGGCCCCAGACATGTTTTCCCTTTTGCCGGCGAAAAGCGGCATTTCTGGCCCCTGCTTCGCAACTCGCAGCCCCCAGACGCAAATCGGGCCAGATATAGTTTGCTTCCCTCAGCCCCTCCTGCTAAATCGGAGCCCTCCAGCAAATCGGGCCCGATATATCGGATCTTGGACCACCCGATTTGCCAAAACGGATGAAAGCCACAATAATTGATCCTTTCATTCGCGGTGGCGGAAGTATCCGGATTGCCGAAATGTTCATGATACGAAAAGACCCGCAAAATCGTGGACATAATATGCCCACATGTTTTGCGTGGTCTCATAATATGAGACCACGCAAAACAAAATGATAGAATACTTTTCGAGATAACCAGTAGACCACCGGCTGAAAACGTGAAATATTTGCGAGTTATTACTGTGCAACTTGCTATTTCCTGGACAATTCTGGCTGTTGCGAACACTTGAGTTATTGCAATATTTCGACATAATTATTCTAAACAGTGATATTTTCGACTCTAACTCAGTCACCTTCAGTGCAACTGAGCATCAGCACATGCCAGAAAAACGAAATAAATATGAACTATTTCGCAAAATCTCCGGCTGAACTTAGTGATACGCATTCTAATCCATATATAATACAATACACCTTTTTCCAAGCAAACTGACCGTTTTTCAAGCAAAGTGGTGCGGGAAGGTCTCGCGCAACATAATACTGCGACGAAAAGGGGCATTTTTCAAGCAAAGTGGTTTATAGCTGTTTGTTTCCCAAGCAAAATGGTTTGCCCAACCATATGGGGCTAAAACGGACCAGTCCACGTCTTGGGCTTGGTCTGAAAGAATCAAAAATTGCTAATTTTCGACGCAAAAAAGCTTAGTTAGAATGCCCACGTCACGTAGATCACGATAGACCCCTCAAATACATTCACAAGGCTGTTCTAAGCTACGTTTTGGCTTCTTCAAAATGGCTCTAAATCCTCGATGATTGTGAAACCACATTGCTTGGGAACGATTTACGACAGAACCACTTTGCTTGAAAATACCTGGGAAAAGTGATATGAGGTTTTTCTCGAAAAATGATTTGAACCACTTTGGTTGAGAAACCAACCAGTCTGCCTGGGAAATGGTGTAGTTCGCTAAATGTTAGTGCAGTCACTCGAAATTATTCAAGCCTGGAGCCCAGTCGGCATGTTCTAGTCGTTTGTGTTGAATTCGTTATCATGAAAAACCTGGGGTTTGATAGCGTCGCGCATGCTGTCGACCTCCAGAAGAAGTAAATGGTCACACAACTGATGGACAAATCCTTTCAAATTATATATGTTTAGGAGGCTGGATGAGGCTGGATGTGTTTTCACAATCCTTACAAGCCTACGGCATGAGGCAGAGCTGTGATTTGTTCCGAGACAGATATTTATTCGAATAGACTCTTGTAGTGTGCCCTACATCCACTATTTTAGATAATACACAAATCTATAGAAAATATACCTGAACTTGGTTTAAAGTAGAACTTTTGCAAGACTGAGCATCATCCACTAAGACAGACTTTTTGCGACTGTTAACTAGTGCAATCGAAATTATGTGTGGGTCGCAATAAAAAATGCGCTCAGTTATAATAAAACAGAATACTATTAATAAAAATAAATAATTATAACCAATAAAATACGTAACCACAAATCAATATATTTTGTGTCCCTTATCCAAATTTAATTTTCAAAGTATTTATAAAATGCTCCAATAAAACTGATTTATGCATGGCGTCACTTGTCAGGTTGCAGTGCGGTATCAGCTACAGTGCCTGTACCGGTACATGTATCGGCTCATAGTGTGGTGTTGTGTTAACACATTTGCACTACGGAACCACTGAATCGTAGCGTTGCTAGGCGAAGCTCCGCAAGTTTACTGAATAATGTATTCGCAACGCATATGAAGTGTCTTATTTGTCGATGAAAGCTGTACTAGTAAGGTTTTCCATTTTGATTTTTTGGCGGCATTATTCGCACGAACCTCTAACGTCGTCAGCAAACAGACCAGTTGTGCTGAATAATTAATGACAGCGACCTTAGAAGTCTCTCCATGGGTTGAGCGAGGGAGGCACAGCGTTGGGCTTCAACTTTTATACACTTTGAGGGCACAATTGCTGACAAGCCATTGTGATTTTTGTTGTTACACTTGTAAATCACGCAGAGTTGAGTATTGATGAGCTCCAGTTGTAAGCACACTTAGCTGTAATAGCTAACCGATCGAATGCATTATACTTGTGCCTTGTGGCAGATCAAGCCGGGCAGCCTTTCAAAATGGCTAATGCGGAGTACCTACAGTCCAATGCTGTCCACCGGACGGTGTCCAGTGCTCGTAGGAGCCGATGCCCCTCCTCTTAATCCGCGCGCTCGACTGCAAGTTGCAGTGCGCAGGAATACAGACAGAAGCCCCGTGCCTACCGCTCGCCGTGCTGGGTAAGTAAGGGGTTGTCACAACGGAAAGAGGTTGCGTCCACGTGATCGGTCTTACATGAAGGCAGCAAGCGAGCTACCGTAAGTCTACATGAACCGAACTTTGCCGATGCTGCTTGAGTGTACCACCGCCCTCGTACACGACACCGCAGCTTCGTACACGAGGTGGTGGACTACCACTGGCGGAACGTTTCCGGCAGCCCATGGATCTCACTCAAGTTGCAGACCGACGACCGCTCGCTCGTCTACTTCGGGAGCCGAGCCGAGCTGGCTATCGAACAGCGGAAAGGTCGATGCAAATCGTCAACGAAGCTCACAATTAAACCACGGCGCTTTGCAGCAGTCGCAAAAAGCACTGGTGGCTGCGCTTCGCAACATCACGAGCGAATCTCCGCACCGCGCTCTGCACATCATCGTTAGTTGAGAACGGCCAGCGCCGATCCCCTTCTGCATCTTGTGTCTCCACGTCACACCATGCGGAGCCGCTCGCTGAGCTCCAGCGACGAGATATTTCAAGCAAGCAGCAGGTGGTTGGAGGAGGGGCTTTGTGACGAGCACGGCGTGTGCGTCTGCACATTTTTAGTTGCTCCCACAGATGGCTGCACAGAAGCTCGAGAACGGAGCAGTGCTTGCCAGCGACGAGCACAAACGGCCAAGTGTCTCCGAAATTGCACCAAGATGATTGGAGGGTTTGCCGTGGTATTGTTGAAGCCGTGCAATGTTGTACCGCTTGTACACTGGTGGACACGTCCACCGGAATTGATTTACAACACGGTAAGCATGCTTATCTGGTGAAATCGGAGCCTATCCTACCGACCCCGTTGTTGCTTACAACGCTGACAAGCTCAAGATTCTGTACCGTGGTAGCTGAGCAAGGAAGTCCATCCAAGCCGGGCCAGCAGCCAGCTCTCGCAACAAAGAAAGTATCGGGAGCAGGGTTCCGCTCGCTCTCACTCTCCGTTTCGCCCCTCTCGAGGCTCAACAAGCTTCCTCGCGCTCGCGAGCGAGACTCGGCAGGATGTCCAGGCTTGCTGTACTGTTTGCCGTCTTCGTAGCCATCTTCGCTGGGCTCTCCTCGGCCAAGATCCTGACATTTGGTGGATGGCCCAGAACGTCCAACCCGCTTGCTACGGTGGCGCCCGCTGACGCCGACTCGGACGACAACTTCACGACCGCAGGAGTACATGGACTAAAGAGAGCTTCATCTTCAAGCGTCGACGATGAATCTGTGGACAGTGAGGACTCTCCGGATAGTGAGGACTCTGTACACAGCGTACTCCAAACTGAGCTTTCAACCGATGCATCGAGTGACGACGATCGAGATGGCGGGACAAGTGACCTCGACGAATCGTCCGACAGCATTGACAGCAAAGCTGGGACCATCAGTGGCTCAACTGCATCTTCGGGCTCCACGGCCGCTCAGTTCGCGATTGGCAGCGTCGTCAACGCAACCAGCACGATCAAACCCACTTACCCGAACTGGGTGGGGTTGGAGGGCGACATCGACATTTCATTTTCCTCGGCGTGCTACCGCAAGACCCACATCACGAAGAACTGCCCTATCGGGTACGATTACAAGCTCGGAATGTGCTGGGCTCAATGCCCTTACTCGTACCCCGTCAAGTGTGGAATGGAGTGCATCCGCCGGAACGATGATTGTGGGCTGGAAGTCGCGACCAAAGCCTTCACGGTGATCCAGGCCATGATGTCCTATACTACCATGGGTGTGTTCTTCAAATTCTGGGAGTTGGCGAAGGGATTCCAGAGAGCTTTCAAGTGTGTCAAGGCCTGGTTGGGTTTGACCAAGTCGCTGGTCAAATACATCCGCTACGTTAAGGTGTCCGACCCCCAGACTTCGCAAGAAAAGTTGCTGGCGATTCTCTATCAGACGGACAACATCGTCATCGACATTCCGGTGGCAGTCAGGTACTGTATGGGGAAAAAGATTCCGGAGGAAGTGAAGCTTGCTGACAGAATCGTCACCACTGCTGAGTTGACGTTGAGGGAGGTCATGAAGCACCCCGACGAGATTGTTTCGAGCTGGGGAAACTTCACCAACTTCCTGAAAAAAGTTTCAATGAACGAGTCGGTCGAGTCTCTCGGTAAAAACGACATCACCAACTTGAAGACTTCGCTGGAATCCAATTCAACTTGCGGCTACGACATGAAGCGACTGCTGGATCGCACGTGGATGACAATCGCAGAGTTCCGTAAGCACAACCCGACTATGTCTGAGAACGACATTCGCGTTGCTATGAGCAAGTCGACTCTCGTGCTGAATGACATCCCGATTGCGACAAACAACTGCATGGACGAGCTCATCGCACAGTCCAACGAGAAAAAAGCCTACGCTACGAGAGATACGCTGCGGAAAACCTTCGGGAGTATCGTCGAGGATCTGATCACCTCAGGAACGAGCAGCAACGGCACGTTTCTCAAAGCTGAGGAGTACGCGTTTAAGGTCGCTGACAAGGCCGCGGGATTCTACGCCATTTGGGATATGTGGGCTGTTGGTGGTGTCATCTCTGAGTACTTCCAGTCCATTTGTGGCCCGACCGAATACGTCGGTGAAATTGACGACGGACCAGCGAGCAAGGCGCTGGGCCTGACCACCGTTCAGCGTGCTTTCAACAAGAGCGAGGGCTTGTGGACGAAAGTTGGCGATGGCAGCGTTACGATCACGTTTAAGAGTGTCGATACCGAAGACGTGACGGTGAATATCAAGTCTGGCGGTGACAAGATCGACGAAGTGGACGTCCCGGCCGGTAAAACGGCGACGTGGAGGTCGAATGTGACTGCTTTGGGAGGCAAGACGCTGTACTTGGATCGGTGGAGGCCCGGATTCCTGGGCCTTCCAGGCACAGGTGGCGGCTCACTGCTGCTATGGATGCCTCGATCAACTCAGGGCAGCTTGCAGCTCACTGCGATGCTGAATGTTAGTTAGGTTAAGTAAGAACTTCCATGTTGTGGTTCAAACTGATAGCTCAGTAGCGAGCAGGAAATGTAAACTATGCTATAAAGCACGTAGAAGATAAAGTGCTACATAAATGCTAGAAGTGCTGTCGATTTCGGTGATGGATTCGAGTTCAATGGATGTACCGGTATCTCCGCACGAGGCCGGCAGAGACCATCCAGATTTTATCTTTCGTAGGATAGTTACATTGCCTAAACGGTTTGTAAGTTGTAGTGATGACGACTAATGGAAGAAGCTGAACAGGAAGTCTCCGACCTCTACTAGCGAAATGAAGTCGCTCCCATCACCTTGACTCAAAAATATGGAACGGTATTTGGTTCGTACATGTATAAGAAATGTTATTATTACTGAAATGTAGTTTTTGTTAATATGGTTGCCGTCCGGAAAGCATTCGTTTTCCAATTTTGACAATATCGCAAAGTTGCAGAGCGCCGAGATCCGAGAATTTCTTCTAGCTCACGAAATTGACACATTCTACGAACAATCGTTCGGCTTTGGAGATGAAGACGTCGACTCCGGCAGTGTTATGGACGACGAGGCAGGATCAGCGGGCCACACTCCATAGGAAGACTGCAAAAACAGCAGGGGGTCAAGTCACTCCACCGATGAGCAATCGCGGAGAGAGTTTTTAAGCGCGCTTAGAAGCAGGGCTGCTGCGTCCAAACAAAAGCTTGGGTGACATGCCTCGACATGTCTTCGCGTGGGAACTCCTTTGAGCATGGACCAGCGTGGAGGTATCTTCAAGATATACTGCATGTAGCTTGCAGCTGTTGTCGTGCGCTACCGTCCGCTTGAGCGGGACTTCGCCAGTGTTAGAGGCAATGATATGCTATCAACGGTAGTACATCATGTTGTACGAAGCTGGCGGAGGCAGTGTGAAGTTTCTTGCCAGGCTATTGGTTTGGAGGTGTGGAGGGCTTTGCTACTTACTGTGAACGGCACGTAAAATTCGCCCAAACGTTAAATCGTAGTGTACCTTGAGAGAGTCTGTAGATGGGTTAACCCATCTCACTAGGACCTGCGAGACTGTTGCGCATGTACCATGAGGTCTGTTAACAACTAACGTGAGTTAACTGTCAACAGAACGACTTCTGATTCCAGTTTTTTGCTGTCTGCTAAACAAAATAAAGAGGAAGAAGTATTAATACATGTAGATAATGGTTAACGGTTCTCACTTTTAAAGTGTTTTAAAAAAGCTTTACAATTTGTTTTTACGATACGTTTTGGCTTATTACTTTTTCTTTCTCATTCTCTTGTGACTGCAGCAGTTTTTCGACGCCGAATCTACTGTCTAATAAATTAGCAACGAGCGCGAATACTTTCGTGAGTTTTACTGATTTTTGACGACATTTGCTGAAATGTTGCGAATGTCATTGGGTCTTTTGCTCGAGATAATTATTATTATACTGTATATTTTATTTATTAAGCCTTGCTTAAATAGATTTTTTTCGGTACTTAAAGTTTGAGTAAGCGTAGTTTACTTTCAGTTTTTAAGTTTGAGCAGGGCCCTCTAATTTCCATTTCGATGGATTCTTCGGTCATTTTTTAAATTAAAATTCGTTAATTAACAAAGCTACCCGGGTCCAATAATAGGGGGAACTTAGTGGTGGGACTTAGTAAAACAAGACACAACCTACCACTATTCATAGCGAAGACTCAAGCCAGCTCCCCGCATACTTACACCCCAGATAGCTAGCTACAGGTAGGCTACATGTATTGAAGCCGTTCATTGAACGTTAGCATTGTACCAACGTTTGTCAGTACTGTTGCGCCTTGCCTCGCTCCCCGCTGCAGTTAGCGGGAAGCCCGCTGTCGATATCACCTCCCTTGAACACCACGGTGGCCACGCCCCCGTATTGCAAATCGCGACAGTGCTTTGCGTCTCATCGAGCGAGATTAGTACAATATTATTTTCAGTACTATGTATCACCAACTATCATCATTTAATACTAATGGAAGAACTAGTAGTATCCTTAATCCTAATAGTTTTCCTATTTTGTAACGGGTTATATATCCCTGTCCTGGCGGGATGCGGATCACCTGAAGCTGGATCAGGAAGGCAAGAACGCCACACACAAACAGGTAGTTTATTATGTTCTGCTGCTGACCCATCAATGGTTTCATAGATTCTGACGACGCGCTCCGACCTTGCGACCCAACCTCTGGTCACTACAACGGTAATTAGTCTCACTCAGACTTTTTTTTCGTGAGGTTGTTTGTGCGGTTTTCACATATGTTAGTGTAAGTGAATTTCATTATTGTGAGCTACCGCAATTCGCATGTTGAGAGCTGCACTCGCTTATGAGATGCACCTACATCGACCAATCATATGAAACGTTCTACACATTTTTATCCAATTAGAACAATTACTATACCCGGCAAATAAGATATAACCACAATATTACAGTTGTGACTTATATAACATGTTGAATTTTGTACATGATACTTTTAAGTACGAATACAGATCAACATTACCGGGGTGAACATAGGGTGCAGCTCTACTTCTCTGGCCCACATAAGAAACAACACTTCGGTTTTCTGGACATAACTTTTTACAAAAAAATCGTTTGGTGACTCGCAATACCTCGACCAAAAGCTGCGCATTTGCTCCGTTTCACCCTATGATTTAAAAAAATCTAGCAGCAGAAAGAAAAGAGAAACAGCCTTTTATCTGAAGTCCGTTTTAGGCAACATTAGGTTTTTTAGCGAGGTGCCGTCAAAAATTAGCGATATTAGAAAATAATATATCACCGTAATCGCGAGTGACTGCTTTACCCTTATGTTCGGTTGTCGGTGTTGTAGCGCCTGTTGGAGACGAGTTAGAAGGGCTACAGTTTTGAGGTTTTTCTACGCGATTATCTCGGCATACGCAGACCCATTTATTTTGGCCAATAGTAAGATGATACAGTTAATTATACCCAATCATATGTGATACGTACTCAAGCAGCATCAGCACGTTGACTAAGTGTTGAGTCCTTCCCCGTCGGTATAGCGGTCCGCTATACTACAAGTACATGCGGCCGAAATCACGTGGACGCAACTTTTAGTACTTTGTGACAGGCCCTTACTTACCCAACACGGCGAGTGGTAGGCACGGGGCTGCTGCCTGTATTCATCGCATACAGCAACTTGCAGCGCGCGCAGATAATTGGAAGGGCATCCATTCTGACGAGCAACTGTAGACAGCGTGTGTTCTCCTGCTATTGGCATTTCAAAGCATGTCTGGCTGGGTCTGCATGTTTATCCGGGTACTATCGGTATTAATAACACCGGCATGTATCAATATGTACCGTGTGAGCCTAGGTGCACTGCCCCGCGCCCCACGGGCACAGATACCGATTCTAGTGTGCATACCACAAAAATGCCAGCATGGTTGGGTCCACATCAAATTGAGGTTTAATGCGGAATGTTGTTTCTTAAGTGGGCCAGAGAAGTATTGCGGTAGCATTATAGGAGTTTCAGTCTCACTAACACTATTTCCGACCTCAAACTATTTTTCACACGTACTACATTGTAGTAAATGTGAAAAACAGCTATACATGTACACTGGAAACGGTCTTAAAAACGGTCTTTACTTGGCATGTGTAAAGACCGTTTATAGTGTACATGTAGAACTGCTGCAGATCCATACTAATATCATAGTAGTATTTATGAAGTCCCTATTTGAAAACAGTATTATTATAGTAAAATGCTTTACAGTATTAAAACATATAGTACTGTACTTGTACTACCTATCAATCCTAGCTCTTCGTTCGTTGAGAACGGCCAGCGCCGATCCCCTTCTGCATCCTACGCGCCTCAACGTCACAAGATGCGGTGTCTCTCGCTGAGCCTACACCTGCGAGATATGTATTTCACGGTGGTTGGAGGAGGAGCCAGCAGCCTTTGTGACGAGCGTGGCGTGTGGGTCTGCATATTTTTAGTTGCTCTACCAGATGGCGGCGCAGAAGCTCGGGAACAGAGCTGTGCTTGCCAGCGACCGTCGCTGCGACGAGCACACACGGCCAGGTGTCGCCGAAATCGCACCAAGATGATTGGAGGTCTTTGTCGTGTGTTGTTGAAGCCGTGCAATGTTGTCTCGCTTGTGCCCGTGGACATGTCCACCGGAACCGATTTACAACACGGTAAGCATGCTTCTGGTGAAATCGGGCCCACCATGACCCCGTCGCTGCTTACAGCGCCGACAAGCACGAGATTGTCGTTGAGCAAGGAGGTCCCTCGCAACAAAGAAAGTATCGAGAGCAGGGTTCCGCTCGCTCTCACTCTTCGTTTCACCAACTCGAGGCTCATCAAACTTCCTCGCACCCGCGAGCGAGACTCAGCAGGATGTCCAGGCTGGCTGTACATGTACTGTTTGCCGTCTTCGTAGCCATCTTCGCCGGGCTCTCCTCGGCCAAGATCCTGACATTTGGCGGATGGCCCAGAACCTCCAATCCACTTGCTACGGTGGCGCCCGCTGACACGGATTCGGACGACAACTTCACGACCGCCGGAGTACATGGACTGAAAACAACAGCACCCACTCTCAAGTCTTCAAGTGGTGACGATGAGTCTGAAGACAGCGAGGACGACTCCGATTCCGCAGTCAGCAATGAATCGTCCGACAGCATTGACGACTCGGATTTGGCCGTTGGCTCGGGCTCCACGGCCCTACAGTTCGCGATTGGCAGCGTGGTCAATGCGACCAGCACGATCGAGTCGGTTTACACAAATTGGGTGGGGACCGAGCTCGACACTGCGATTTCTTCGGCGTGCTACCGAAAGACCCACATCACGAAGAACTGCCCGCTAGGTTACGGCTACAAGCTCGGAATGTGCTGGGCTCAATGCCCATACGCGTACCCTGTCGAGTGTGGAATGGAGTGCATCCGACAGAACGACGATTGCCGGCTGGAAATCGCAACCAAAACGTTTGCGGTCACCCAGGCCATGATGTCCTATACTCCTATACTACCATGGGTGTGTTCTTCAAATTCTGGAAGTTGGCGAAGGGATTCCAAAGGGCCTTCAAGTGCGTCAAGGCCTGGCTGGGGTTAACCAAGTCGCTGATCAAGTACGTTCGTTATGTCAAGACATCCGACCCCGAGACTCCACAAGAAAAAGTGATGGCGATTCTCTATCAGACGGACAATATCGTTATCGACATTCCGGTGGCAGTCACTTACTGCCTTGGAAAGAAGGTGCCGGACAATGTGAAGCTCGCCGATAGGATTGTCACCACTATTGAGACGACCTTGAGGGAGGTCATGAAACACCCCGACGAAATCGTATCCTCTTGGGAAAGCTTCACCGGCTTCCTGAAGAATGTCTCGATGGGCGAGTCGGCCGAGTCGCTCGGCAAAAACGACATCACCAACTTGAAGACTTCGCTGGAATCCAATTCAACTTGCGGCTACGACATGAAGCGACTGCTGGATCGCACGTGGATGACAATCGCAGAGTTCCGTAAGCACAACCCGACTATGTCTGAGAACGACATTCGCGTTGCTATGAGCAAGTCGACTCTCGTGCTGAATGACATCCCGATTGCGACAAACAACTGCATGGACGAGCTCATCGCACAGTCCAACGAGAAAAAAGCCTACGCTACGAGAGATACGCTGCGGAAAACCTTCGGGAGTATCGTCGAGGATCTGATCACCTCAGGAACGAGCAGCAACGGCACGTTTCTCAAAGCTGAGGAGTACGCGTTTAAGGTCGCTGACAAGGCCGCGGGATTCTACGCCATTTGGGATATGTGGGCTGTTGGTGGTGTCATCTCTGAGTACTTCCAGTCCATTTGTGGCCCGACCGAATACGTCGGTGAAATTGACGACGGACCAGCGAGCAAGGCGCTGGGCCTGACCACCGTTCAGCGTGCTTTCAACAAGAGCGAGGGCTTGTGGACGAAAGTTGGCGATGGCAGCGTTACGATCACGTTTAAGAGTGTCGATACCGAAGACGTGACGGTGAATATCAAGTCTGGCGGTGACAAGATCGACGAAGTGGACGTCCCGGCCGGTAAAACGGCGACGTGGAGGTCGAATGTGACTGCTTTGGGAGGCAAGACGCTGTACTTGGATCGGTGGAGGCCCGGATTCCTGGGCCTTCCAGGCACAGGTGGCGGCTCACTGCTGCTATGGATGCCTCGATCAACTCAGGGCAGCTTGCAGCTCACTGCGATGCTGAATGTTAGTTAGGTTAAGTAAGAACTTCCATGTTGTGGTTCAAACTGATAGCTCAGTAGCGAGCAGGAAATGTAAACTATGCTATAAAGCACGTAGAAGATAAAGTGCTACATAAATGCTAGAAGTGCTGTCGATTTCGGTGATGGATTCGAGTTCAATGGATGTACCGGTATCTCCGCACGAGGCCGGCAGAGACCATCCAGATTTTATCTTTCGTAGGATAGTTACATTGCCTAAACGGTTTGTAAGTTGTAGTGATGACGACTGAACAGGACGTCTCCGACCTCTACTAGCGAAATGAAGTCGCTCCCATCACCTTGACTCAAAAATATGAAGGCGGCAGTTTTTGCGAAAGGTTTAGGACAAATTTCTTGGGAAAACAAAATCAATATTTATATTTAATACAATATATATATATATAATGCATAGTCTATGTATTTGTTTCAAACTGAGTATTTTGTATCATAAAGAAATGTGCGCGACCAATAGTTTGTGAAAAATGAGTTTTGGTCTACAAACATAAATTGCAAATATGACAACCGAAGGCAACGTCCATGGGCTTGACGAGCTGGGGCAGGAAGTACTCTGGAGCTCGCGGGGGCAGCAGGTGATGATGCAGTGGGAGAAGAAGTACATGGAGCTATGCGTGGACGCGCTCGCCATCCAGCCGTCGGACCGCGTGCTGGAGATCGGCTTCGGTCTGGCCTACTCGGCGTCTCGCATCCAGACATTCCGTCCCAGGAGCCACACGATCATAGAGTGCGATCGGGAGACGCTGCAACGTGCCCGGCTGTTTGCAGCAGCTCACACTGGGGTGGAGATTGTGGCCGGTACGTGGCAGCAGCAGTTGCCGACGCTGAACCAATTCGACTGCGTCTTCTTCGACGACTACCCGCTTCCGGAGCTGGAATCCGGGGAGTTCCCTACAAGAGAGGGAGGAGACGGTGGGCGACGGTGAGTTGCTCGAGTGGTAGTTAGGTAGAAAGGGAACTGTGTCACGCTAAGGGGTTTTGTATTTTAATTGTGGGTACCTAGGTCGCGCTGGCACGATTTCCTTGATGTCGCATTGAAACACTGTGCGAATGGAGCTAGGGTGTCCGGGTATTTGGCTCGAGAGATGGATCTCCAGCGTTCAGGATGCTGTGTAGCAGTATCCGAGGTGCTTGTCGGCGTTTCTGCGAATTGCAACTATTTCCCGCACAAGACTGCTCTCGTTCCGGTGATCACCGTTGAAGATTCCTTGGTTGCTGCGAGTGGGGCTGGCGCTGGGGCCGATTCACTGGCATTCTTGCCTCGCCCGTCTAAGAAGTTCAAGCGTGCGTTCGAGAGTGCGAGCAGGCCCGGACTACCGCAACCGACAAATTTTCCACGAGAGCGCGGGCAGATTGCTGAGATCCGAGATTTCCTTCTAGCTCACGAAATGGATGCACTTTCGCACAAACAATCGGACAGCTTTGGAGACGAAGACGACGACGGTGGCGGCGGTAGTGTCGTGGAGGATGAAGCAGCTTCAGCGGACCACGCTCTATACGAAGATGGCAAAAACAGCAGGAGGGCAAGCCACTACACCGATGAGCAATCGCGACGAGAGTTTTTGAGCGCGCTAAGAAGCAGGGCTGCTGCGTCCAAACAAAAGTCTGGGTGACCTGTCCTGAACGTATTTTCGCGCGGGAGCTCGTTTGGGCAAGGGGTCCTTGAAGGAGCACCACGATTCGTGGCCCACCAAGGAATCTTGTAGTTGTACACTGTATGATGATGTCGTGCGCTACCGTCCGCTCGAGCGGGACTTCGGCAGCGCTAAAGGCAATGCTATGATAGATACAGTACTGTACACCATTGCGGATCACCTCATATTGCACGAAGGGGTCGGAGGCGGTCTAGAAATTACTGTCAGACCAGCAGTTCGAAGCTTCTGGCCACTTACGATGGCGTAAAATGAATCGTAGATTCATTCGCTCTGATCCAAACGCTAAATCGCGACGTGCATGATATTTTTGAGACGGTCTGCCGATGTTTTTACCCGTCTCAAGAAGTACGAAACTGCAACAGGTTCATGTACCGCGAGATCTTGTAACAACTAAGGTGACCATGGGGTGCTTATATTCAGAATGCTAATTAGCTGTGGCAATGATGCAAATGCCGATAGATGTGAAACCCAGTACGAGCAACAAGAATCCGTGGGAAGGCTATAATCTCAGCTCTTTCATCCAAGAATCCAAGAAGAACGATCGATTGAAGTACAGTAATCTGCCCGAGTAAGGAACGCCTGATATATATAAAGACGCAGAATATATAAATTGATGTTAAGTTGAGTATACTTTTCCAATGTACTGATTTAGTTATTTCAAAATGAACTGAAGAGCAGCTTTACCTACGAGTCCGGAATGATTCCAACAGTGGCGTATGGTCGAAGCACTAACCTTTGACCAGGCATCCTCGCACCACACACAGCGCTGTCAACTGGTCGACCTCGTAGGGATTATCTAGCCCTTCACCTTGTCGAGGATGCCCACTTTCTCAGACCAAGTGAGACGGAGACGCTTGGACGGTGTGGACTTCATGGGTGGAGTGGAGGAGGAGGTGGGCTTGTGGGGCGAGGTGCAAAAGCAAAAGTGCGAGTCTGCCACTAAAGATCGCTAAATGAGTACCTTGCAGTACCTTGCACATCCCCCTATCGCCACATCGACTGGAAAATAATATTAAATATGTGAGGCTATTAGTTGTACACCCGTTCCTTATTCGGGCAGAATTCTGTAGGGACCGCTGCAACTTCGACGTCGAATCTACAATCAGTGCAAATCGCTTCAGCACGGCGCTACAAACGCACCTCGAACCGAGACAGCGGCCTCGTCTATGGTGTGCCAATCCGGCCTGGTATCCCAACTCTGGACAATGCAAACCTCCACGTCATGCGCTGCGGTGGCTGCAGATTCCCGGTAAGCATGAGCGCGAGCCAACTGAATCCCGAGGACAACCCCACTCACAATTCCCGAGGCGGTGCGATATTGTGTTGGCCATCTGCCAAGAGGAGCGAACTCCGAATGTGTTGGTCAAGACTAACTTCGACTGCAACGACCGGAGCAGCGCCCGTTCCGTGTTGATGCAGGTCGCGGCTTTGCCAAACCCAGATTCGTCGTTGCGCCGGAAAGCTAGATTCGATACAAGACTGAAGTTGCGGCTGCTGGCGGTGGTTACTGTACGACCGGCACGAATCTTTCGGGGTTGAGACGGTCACCACCTGCGCTTGGCGGCAAGATGGCCTCGGCAAGGACGCTCGTAAAAGAGGCATTTTAGCTAGGAGTTCTGGCGGTTTGGTTAAATCTCATTCTTAATTTTGCCCGAAGCTACGCGCCTCCACACGCAAGGCTCGAGGATGACCAGGATAGTTCTGGTATTGGCTTTCGTCTATGCGTTGGTCTTTTGCGCATGTACCGGCGCGCAGTCGTGCACTTTCAACACAAGCACGGCAGCAACGCCGGTGGCTACTGTGGCCGCCGCCAACTTCAGAGCGAACGCCACTGCCACGGTTCCAGAGGCGACGATCACTTTCAGATCGGCTATCGACGACGACAGCGACGACGAGTCAGTGGACAGCCAAGACGACATCAGCGATTCTTCAGACAGCGATGATGACAGTGTATCTACAAGCGTGGGGTTCACCATTGGCAACGCTCTCAATGCTACCAGCACGATCAAGTCCACTTACAAGAACTGGATTGGCTCCGCGCTCGGCACCGCGGCCGACACGGCATGCTACCGCGAGTCTCACATCGCGAAGACGTGTCCCTTGGGGTTCAACAGCAAGCTTGGAACGTGTTGGGCTCAGTGCCCCTACTCGTACCCCGTGCAGTGTGGAGTTGAGTGCATTCGACAGAACGACGACTGCGCACTCGAGGTTGTGAGCAAGGTGGCATCCGTTGCCCAGGCCGTCTTCTCTGTGGCGAGTTACAACATGTACGGCGAGTTCAAGCTCATGGCAAAGGGCATTCAGATTGCGTTCAAGTGTGGCAAGGAGATGATGGGGTTGGTCAAGACCCTGTCCAAGTACATCCGCACCGTTGAAGTGTCGGACCCCCAGACCGCCCAGGACAAGCTGCTGACGATGCTCTACCAGACCGACAACGTGGTTTTTGACGTGCCAATCACGATCGCTGCATGCTTAGGAATCAAGGTGGACGAGCAACTCAAGTTCGCTGACAGAGTTCTGAACACCGCTGAGCTCGCTTTGAAGGAGATCCTGGCTAATGGCGCCGCTATCGTGTCCAGCTGGGCTTCGTTCACGACTTTCATGAAGAACATCACGCTGGGCGAGTCTATCAGCTCGTTAAAAGACACGGATATCACGTCTCTGAAGTCGGCGCTGAAGGCCAATAACACTTGCGGCTACGACATGAAGCGTTTGCTGGATCGTACTTGGATGACCGTAGCTGAATTGCGTCGCCAGAACCCGAGCATCTCCGAGGATGACATCCGCGTCGCAATGAGCAAGTCGAGCCTCGCGCTGTATGACATTCCTACCGTGACGAACAACTGCATGGAAGAACTCATCGCTGAGTCGGACAAAGCTACAGCGTATAAAACTCGGGATACGCTTCGCAAGGGGATTGGCGCAGTTGTGAACGACCTGATCAGCTCGGGAACGAGTACCAACGGCACGCTCTTAACGGCCGCGCAGTACGCTTACAAAATTGCTGACAAGGTCGCGACGTTTTACGCGGTTTGGGAGAGGAAGAACATCGGTGGCGCGATTTCCGAATTCTTTCAGACCATTTGCGGACCGACGCAGTTCATCGGAGAAATCGACGACGGTACTGCCGAAGAAGCGCTGGGCCTAAAGACCGTAAAGAAGGCTTTCAACAACAGTGCAGGCAACTGGACCAAGGTTGGAGACGGCACGGTCACCATCACGTTCGAGAGTGCCGACACTAAGGACGTGACTGTCAACATTAAGTCTGGTGGTTCCAAGATCGATGAAGTTGCCGTTCCGGCTGGCAAAAGCGTGACTTGGAATTCGAATGTGACGGCACTGGGGGGCAAGACGCTGTACTTGGATCGATGGCGCCCAGGCTTCCTGGGGCTTCCTGGTACCGGTGGGGGTTCGTTGCTGCTGTGGGTCCCTCGATCGACTCAGGGAGGCAAGTTGCAGCTCACCGCAAAGCTCAATGTGAGCTGAGTCTAGTTTTAGTTGTAGTTTAGAGTTTGTAGTTGCGTTTGTGGTAGTGAGTAAGTGAAATTAGAAAATAATTATGATAGAGCTGAATAAATCATGAAGCCGAAATGGCTATCACTCTCAGCTTCTCGTGTGAAACTCTATCGCTGTACCAACTAAAAGAAGTTAGAATGTCGACGCATGTATCATCACCACAATACTACTTATGAACATTTATTTTCGTCGTTGAGCATCAAAACTAGTTTCCTGGCAGCTTATGCGAATTTTTATTAGAATGGGCCATACCGGTACTAATGCGTGCTACTACATGTAGTAGTATAGTTTTATTTCAATAGTTTGCGTGACATTTTTAAAATGCCACGCAAAGTTTACCCGATGGATACACATTTAGCTCGAACAGTCAGAAAACGATCACAACGAGTGCGAGAACAAGATGGACAACGGAGTGCAACGCAGCTTTTAAACATGGATAAAGATGTAGATCGCATGTTATGGAAAGCTATACAGATATGAACCTGCTCACCCAGACCTTGCAGGAAACACACACTGTCTGTCGACGTGTATCAGTTCGCCTAAACTATTGGCAGAACTTAGCACTGCTCAGCGGTCCATCGCAATGAGGTTTGTTGAGACAAGGGTAACAAGCAGTATAATTGGAGCGATGCAACTTCATTCGATTCTTTCGATTTACGAGGCTGAGCAACCTGTACTGTACAGACGCAGCAGCAACGGCAACCATTTCACGTGATCAACAAATTTGTGAGTGCCCGGCAAAAACTCTGTCAAGTAGGCGCGATCCACGAACGCATCCATGTCTTGGCTGAGAACTATTGTGCTGAACGGCGTGAATACTGTCTTGAAATTGCAAGCACGAGCATATCTTCTCTTCCAGGACGACGATGACTTGTAGGTATTCCGATCGAATCATTAATGGGCAAGCTTTGCCTTGGTCGCGCCTACCGAGTATTCTCGAAGACTTTCGCATTGAATCTACCCTTCACGCTGGTCACAAGTACTGCAGTGAGGAAATATTGCTTACTTGCAAACACCATGCCAGCTGAACCTCCGTCCAGAGTTCGATCGTCAAAACTGGGTCCTCCATCGCTCCTTTCGTACCAGACACCGGCGTTCCAACCGCACATGAATGAGCGGTTCGTGACCTTCCGAAAGTTTCGTGACCGTGGCATTTTAGTACGATCTGTACCCATCGTGACATTTTAGTAAACGGGCAAACTATGCGTGCCATTTTCCCTTATTTTAAGGTTTGATCCTACAGATAGCACCAATATGGAAGAAGCAATCAATTGCTAAGCACGTTTCCCATTGCCTTCGACTTATACAGTCTTTGGCTAAAATTTATTCATGAGCAATGCCAACAGTATTTTTCCAAGGAATTACTGTAGTAAGGATTTTTCTTGTAATGGCTTCATCGCTTTCCTACGTTGTTTTTTCGCACCGCGTACCCCATAGAGTCTATGGGGTACGCGGTGCATGAATGCCTGCATCGTTCCTCTCCAGAGGTCCTCTACGCTAGCATCGTCTACTCGAGGGTGGGAATCCTCCATCCGGCGGCCTGTACGCGCGGCGAGCACATTGTCCGGCATCGATGAGACGCACAAACGTGGCGTTGTTCGCGCTCATTAATTGCTTGCACATCCCCCTACGAACTAAATTTGTGATCACTTCCTCGTCATTTGCACTCTGTTGGCGCAGTTTTCTCGCGAAATAACGTCTTTACACCTCGCGCGCAGCTTTAGCTGGCGAAAGACAGGCTCTGCGGACGCGTCTCAGTTGTCTCCCCTACCAAAACTGAACGACACAGCGGTAGGGTCTGGAGATTGTAATCAAGTTCTAATCTCCTTCCCGCTGACTTGCAGGCAAATTGGTACTGTAGAAACGACTAAAAGACGATATCAATGGTGTTTTTAGCAACAACTATTCCATATACGATGCCACCGCCCACTAACCATCAAACGTGATTTCAACAAGTCTCACCTGCGAGTGACGCTGCTCGCTATGGTCCCTGCTCGCCGCATGAGACGGGCACAGCGACGGAGCGACTAGCAACCGATGTTAACACATCTGAATTATCAATCCTGAACTTTGCGTCTTTTTGCACATTGAGTCGATGATTGAACGCGCACCCACAAAGTGTCAAAGTGCCGGTGGCAAGTAATCGCTGTCCGGCCTTCGCTGTGGCGTGTCGTACCTCGATGCGACTGCTTTGGGCCCATTGGTATCCCCTTGGTACAGTCCTAGAGTCTGCTAGTCGTACAACCAAGCGAAGATGATCTGACAAAGGATCCAAGGGAACTATCTTGCAGGTTGGGCTCTGCACCGGAATCGACGACGAAGTCGAACTTTCAGGAGACACGGCGCGCGTGAGCTGGTCCACGTTCGCTGGATTATTCAGGCATACACTATGTACTATATCGGCCAATCCAAACAGCTTTGCGAGATACAGATTCTGGTAAGCTTAAAACAAACCTGAATGGCAACTGGTAGTTTCCGCTGTGGTGAGGTTGTTTTACGAACAGCGAGTAGACTAGAGGTTCTGCCTCATTGCAGCAAACCTTTGCGACCAAGAAGGAAGGATGTACAGTATCCTCACTTTTCATTTTCGGGCCTTCCTCGATAGGAAAGCTTCTACTACGAGACGCGTCGCCCAATCCCGTCAACCACAATGCATCGGCTGCTCCAAGTTCTTCTTCTGCTGAGTTCAAGCATCGCAAGTTCGAACGCGCAGACATACACCTTCGATGGCACCAGAAACTCCACCCAGCCAGCTCTTCTGCATCCTATTGCGGTAACAACCACCCACTTCACCGAGTCCTCCAGTAACGACAACGGATCCTCAGAAAGCGATGACAGTATGAGTGTCCACGACAGTGGCGATGGCGATGCAAGCCTCGACAGCGATGATTCCATTGACAGCACAGACGACGGGTCAGTCGTTGGGTCGGGGTCTACCAGTGGCAACACCATTTCTACGATCAAATCTACGTACACCAATTGGGTAGGTCCTTTCCTCGGCAGTGCCCCCGACACAGCGTGTTACCGCGAAGCCCACATTGCCAAGACATGTCCTCTCGAGTACGACAACCGTCACAACATTTGCTGGGCCGAATGTCCGCTGGCATACCCCGTCAGGTGTGACATGGAGTGCATCCGGCAGAACGACGACTGCGCGCTTGAAGTCGTGTCGAAGGTCTCGGTCATCGCCTTTTCGGGGCTGTCCCTCGCCACCTTCGGTTTGTACGGTGAGTTCAAGTTGATGGCGCATGCTGTGCGTACTGCCTTCAAATGCGGCAAGGAGACGATGAATCTGGTGAAGCAGCTGGCCAAGTTCGTCCGCACGATCAAAGTGTCCAATCCGCACACGACAGAGAAGTATCTGGAAACAGTTCTGTACCAAACCGACAACGTGGTCTTTGACCTCCCGATCACGATCTGCATGTGCTTGGGCATCCACGTGTCGGAGAGCATCAGGACAACCGACAGAATCACCAACACGGTCGAGCTGTTTGTCAAGGAAATCGTGACGAATACCGACGGGATTGTGGGCAGCTGGGCCACATTCATGGCATTCATGAAGAAGGTGACACTGGACAAGCCGATGAAATCGTTGGACCAAGACGATATCTCTTCACTTCAGTCTGCGCTCGAGTCCAACTCAACGTGCGGATACAACATGAAGCGCTTGCTAGACCGCACCTGGATGAGTGTAGCCAACCTACGCAAGCAAGACCCAGACATCTCTGAGGCCGACATTCGCGTGGCCATGAGCCAGTCGGACCTCGTCCTCAACGAGATCCCCACCGTGACCAACAACTGCATGGAGGAGCTCGTCTCGGAATCGGACGAGAAATCGGCTTATCAGACACGGGACACGCTGCGCAAGAGCTTCGGGGGTATCATGGACGACTTGATTCGGTCGGGTACCAGCCACAACGGGACCCTTCTTTCAGCTGAGAGTTACGCTTACAAGATCGCGGACAAGGCGCTGACGTTCTACGCGGCTTGGGACCTGACAAACATCGTCGGAGTCGTGTCCGAGTACTTCCAGACCATTTGCGGCCCTACTAAGTTCACTGGAGAAATCGACGACGGCAGTGCGAAGGACGCGCTCGGTCTGAAGACGGTCGGAAAGGCATTCAAGAACAGCAGCGGCAGCTGGACCAAGAGTGGCGATGACTCCATCACCATCACGTTCAAGAGTGTGGACACGGAGGATGTGAGGGTGAACATCAAGTCTGGCGGCTACAAGATCGATGAGGTGAAGGTCCCGGCTGGGGAGACTGTTACGTGGAGATCAAACGGGACTGCACTAGGAGGCAAGACGCTGTATCTTGACCGATGGCGTCCTGGATTTCTTGGCCTTCCAGGCACGGGAGGAGGTTCGTTGGTGCTGTGGGTGCCTCGATCTACCCAAAGCGGCAGCTTGCAGCTCACGGCGATGCTCGATGTGAGTTAAATAACCTTAGAATGGAGGGGCTAGGCTGTTGAGGGTCCAGCCCCAATAGAGATAGAGATAGAAATAGAGAATCAATACTCGGACTTTGATCAAGCAAGGATCTGTTGCAGTGCAACGAATCTGATTGACCCGTCACTTCAACTAGTACCAGCATTCCTTCCGCGACGAACTCATTAGAGGCGACCCCCCTTCTTCCACCTGATACCGAGCCATCATGCAACGTCAGACTGGTACAGCTGGTACACCCGACCATCCCCTTTATACTTTCTTTCAGTAAGAGTCAGTCAAACACAGGGGAATGCGCACAACATCCCGAGCCGTGCCATCCGTCCTCTTCCTTGGAGTCACACGCAGGTGCCTTCAAACAAGGATTCGCCCAGCTTGAAGAAGGAGGAGAAGGACGAGGAAAGATGCGCGCGCTGCCGCTGCTGCTGAGCCTGGCGGCCGTCGCGAGCGCCGAGCGCGGCATGCGCCACGGCATGCGGGCACCGAACGCCGCCATGCCCTGCGACCACGAGCGTGACGATGATGGAGCGGCCGGCCTCATGGCGGCACTGAACGAGCACTTCCAGCGCTCGAGCGAGATGCTGCAGCGCTTCTTCAGCCTGGGGGCGCCCCAGGAGGCGGAAGACGCCACTGTGCGCATCGTGCTGATTGAAGAGGAGGAGCCGGAGGACCCGGCGCTGGAGAGGAAGCGCGCGTGCTTGAAGGCGCTGGAGAAGATCCACGAGCAGGACGCGCTGCAGCAGCAGGCGGAGACGCTGATGCAGTACTTCCGCTCGGCCTTCGGCACGGTCTCGCTGCAGCTCTGGAGCGAGTCCTCGTGCGAAGATCTCGGCCGCCCGGAGCTCATCGAGCAGGTGAGAGGGCATTTAATACTGTGGTTGGAGTGGAGAGGAGGGGGGAGATGCTGATTGGTGTTGATTGGTGTTCTCTGTGTGGCAGTGCAACGTGGTGCTGAAGGCGGAGGACGTGGTGAAGAAGTTCCTGCAGGAGGGCAAGACGGACGACGAGGTGTGCGACGCCATGTCGGCGGTCTCGGACTTGGAGGGGACGGACAACTTGTCGTGCAAGTTGTGCCAGAGGCTCGTGCAGATGGTGGACCAAGCGCTGGAGCAGGAGGTGCAGCAGGTGGAGCAGGTCCGAGCCATCATCGGGGACCTGTGCGACGCCATGGCGGCGGACTCCATGTGCCACACGTTCCTCAAGAACTACGACGCCATCGTGGACTGGCTGAAGCACGGTACGGATCCGCTGGTGGTGTGTGCACAGGTTGCTATGTGTTCGTCGGACAGCGGCAGCGCCAGCCAGATTGAAGACGCGTCTGCGACTCCTGAAGAGCTCGAGACGGTTGAAGACGGAGCTCTGGTCACCCCTGACTTCTTTGAGGACGACCAGTCGTGCTTCTTCTGCACTCGTGTGGCTGGAGTCATCTACCAAGTGAACAACCTTTTCCCGGAGCAGCTTCCGGCGCTGAAGGCTGTGCTGGGGAATGTGTGCCAAATGGCGTCGCCGGAGGCTAAATGCCAAGAAGTGGAAGCCAACTTCGATCGCATTGTTCAGCTGGCTCAGCAGGGTCAGCATCCCCACGAGATCTGTGGAAGCATGGAGTTCTGCCCCATGAAGCCTCGCCATGGAATGCCCCCATCCGAAATGCTCGGTGACGACAAAACGTGCGTCTACTGCGATGCTGCCACGACTGTTGTGGAGGTTATCATGCAAGAGGCCCCCGAGCAGATTGACCAGATTCGCGACTACGCTGACATGATCTGTGGTATGCTGGGCGATGACAGTCCCTGCCACGTGTATGTCAACCAGTTGGATACTGTGATTGATTCGCTGAAGAAGGGCGTGCACCCTCGTGACATTTGCAAGGCGCTGAACTATTGCTCTGCCGAAAGTTTGGACGCACCCCCACAATTGGATGAAAGCCCTCGTGTGGGTATGATGCGAAACGGACCTCTTGGAATGCACCACCGCGTGGGTATGATGGGACCCGGGGGACATCACGGCCGTCACGGTCGTCATGGCAGAATAGACATGATGCATGGTGGTGAACACCCTCCGCATCCTCCCCACCCACACCCCCACGGCAGTTGCTTCTTCTGCTCGCGCGTGGCCATTGTTATTCACCATGTTAACCACACGTCCCCCGAAAAGCTGCCGATCGTGAAGAAGATCCTGACCAACGTGTGCCAACTGGTTCCGTCTGACTGTAAGTGCGATGTTGTCGACAAGAACTTCGACAAGATTGTGGAAATGGAGAAGGAGGGCAAGCGCCCTCATGAAATCTGCAAGTCGCTTGGCGTCTGCAACAAAACGGAAGGCTGGCAGGAGGGTGCGCTTTCCATCGCTGATGAGATGAAGGGCGTGGTCGTGGCTTCGCAATGGCCGCCTGGAAATGCTACGCAGTGTTCCTACTGCCAATTCGCCACTACTGTGGCCAAAATTGCGCTCCAGCAATACGGTGCGAACATCCGCCAGATTCGCGCGTATGCGGACATGATCTGCGATATGCTCGACTCGGACAATCCGTGCCACGTGTACGTGAAAGAGTTTGACTTCGTTATCGACTCAGTTACCAAGGGTATGAGCGCTAAGGCGATTTGCACGGAGCTGAAGTTTTGCACTGCTGCAGCGGCTGCATTGCCGGCCTCCGATGCCGATCTATCCGCTTTCAACCCGGCTTTGGTGCAAATGGTGAAAGACTCGATGGAGGTGTCAGTTGACGGATGCTTCTTCTGCACGCAAGTGGCATCCGTCATTGAGGTGGCTGTGGCTGAAGACCCCAGCAAGATTACGGAGATCCGGCAAATTGCTGACGTGGTTTGTGGAATGCTCCCGAGCGACAACCAGGTATGTTTCATCCCACCTCTTCGCAGACTTTCGTATTCTAATGATTATCGTTTGTTCTGTTCCCTGAATGCTTGCTATTGTAGTGCCACTCATTCGTGAAGCAGTTCGATACTGTGGTTGACTCTCTGCAGAAGGGCGAACAGCCCAAGGCAATCTGTCACGATCTGAAATATTGCACGACCGACACGAACCCTGCTATGGCTAAGCTTGCGGGTCCTTCCTCTGATATGATTGCGGTTCGAAGTGCCGAAAAGGGAAGCAGCACATGCGCGTACTGCAGTGGTGTCGTTACTGTGCTCAAGTTCGCTCTTGACCAGAAGCCGGAACAAGTCAAGGAAATGCGTGAGGCGGCTGGAATCGTGTGCCAACTCCTTCCTGCCGACGATATGGTAAGCGGAGCACTGCTTCAAAGTTAGATTGCAAGTTCTGACGGCGCTGGTATGATGTTTATGTTGCGGCAGTGTCACGATGACCTCAAGATGTTCGACGAAGCTGTGACTGATCTGCAAGCCGGAAAGGAGCCCCAAGAGATTTGCCAGGCATTGAAGTTCTGTACGGCTTTGGAAGATTCGAGCTCGTTGATGTCGGGTCTGCTTGACTTCAAGGGGTCAGATTTCCTGCCCTCGAAATGCACAACGTGCCAGCAGAACACATTGCTGCTGGCGTCTCTGATCACCCGTACAGAAAGCTTGGCCACATTTGAGCGCGAGATCAACTCCATCTGCCGTTTGATCCCGAATTCTAGCGAGGTAAGATGGAAGTACGAATCTTCAGATTTAATTGTGTACTGACTACGTGGTGTCTTGTTTTGAAATAGTGCGAGCTGCTGATGAAGCACCAGGACGTGATCATCGATTCGCTGAAGAAGAACGAAGATGTAGAGACGATCTGCACGCGTATCGCTGCATGTGAGCCTACAGCGGTGAAGGAAGTGCCGGAGGAAAAGTCGATGTCGGTGGGCTGCCTGTTCTGCGAGTACACTGCCGAGCTTTTGAAGTATGCCAAGGATAACGAGAAGGCGCTTCACGAGGCGAAGGTGACCTTGGAAACAATGTGCACGGTTCTGCCGCCACTTGCGCGCTGTGATGCGCTTTCTTCCAAGTTCGATGAGCTGGTGTCGCTGATTCGCGAGGGGAAGAGTCCAAGTGAAGCGTGTAATGCCATTGCCCTGTGCGATGCAGCCTTCGTCTATTCGCCAACGTCAAGCAGTGATGAGGACCCCATCGAGCAAGCTTTCGAGAAAGCGCGGCAGAGTATGGGCAACGTGATGGAGATCCAGTAATGGGATGCCTATCTGCGACCAGCGCGAGTGGGGCGCGTTTTTTTCTTGTAGGTTTGACGAGTTCTTGGTGACGCCGTTTAATCTTTTCTTCTTTACCTCACTGTTACCCAACTACGAAGGAACAATGTCTTGAACGAATAGCATTGCAGCTTTTCTTTTCAAGCAAGAATACTACAACTGATCTCGTCTAGTATTTGATCCGTTGACGTCCACTCGAAATCTGGTAGTAGGTGAGCGAGGCGTGCTGTGCTGAGCTTTGTGTTGAGTGGTGAAGGGTATCCCAGGTCAACTCGTGCCCGAGCTGTCGGCTCAATCGCCCGAGTTACGGTAGCAACTGCGCTGACATGATGCTTCGCACCGGCAGCGATATACCGACGAGCGAGTTCGACGCGCGAAAGCGCCTCCAAGCCACCTGCAAATAGTAGAGCGCGTCATTAGATATGTACAGAGATGCCTCTGCAGGGAAACGTACCGAGATTCACAAGTGTAGCGGATGCGTTAGCGTTGGTCGCCAGCAACTTGAATAGGATGGAGACCAAATCGTGGATGTAGAGATACGAGCGGAACTCGTCACTCCAGAGTTTCAGAGGCACGTCAGCAGTCTCGGGTTGGAAGAGTTGCTGATGAAGCCACTGCATGAACTTAGGTGCACTCTTGTTCGGGAACACAGGAGCTACTGGTCCAACAACGTTCGCGATGCGAAGCACCAGAAACTCGAAATTCGCCGACCAATGACCACTTAAGAGAAATTGATCGAAGCGCAATTTGCTGGCCCCATACACCGACAGCTTCGATGAGGACACAGCAGCGTCTTCCTCGTAGCTTTCACCCCACGCTTGAGTTCCTTCGTAGACGAAGTCCGTTGAAAAGTGCACGAAGCGGGTTCGCCACGGAAGCTTCTCCAGCAAATTTACCACACCTCGAGGCTTCATACAAAAACAGTCAGGACAAAGTAAGATATACACCTCATTATTCAAGGTAGTTCTGCTTTGAATACCTCGTTGACAGCGCACGCCTTGTTCGGGTCCTTCTGGCATACTGCAGGCGATGAAATTGCTGCACAATAGATAAATTAGATACTTGCAGCATTCCTACCCAACATCAAGGGTTAACATACCTGCGCAATTAATGACCACCGTCGGATGGAAGTCCTGGACGCACTTCTCCAGAGCTTCCTCGTCCACAATATCCACCTGCCAGTACACTCGCACCGCTCGAGCTGCGGGTTCCGACCCCGCCGTCACAAACCCAGCAGGGAGTGGCGAGAACGGTTCACTGCGAATAGTGCACGCCACTGCTGATATTTCCCCCAATTGGTCTCCACTCGCAACTCGAAGCGCATCGTCCTGCAGTACGCGCTGTAGCAGGAACTGCGCCACGTAGCTGGTCCCACCCAGCACCAGAATTCGAGCCATGCTTGTCAATTTGCAACTGACTTCGCGTTTGAGGGAGCACAAATCTGAGTCAGAGGCCAATCCGGCGGACTATTTCACAAAATAGTACAAACTGTAGACGCAAAAGGAGCTTCTGTAGCACCATGGATGTGCGGGGCTTCGTGGAGATGGCGCACCAAGTGGGCGGGCACGCTACGTCCAAGACGAGTAAGAAGCCGCGCAGCATTTGTGCTTGATGAGGATCTATTCTACAACGCTAAATGCCTGTAAATTTTGCCGCGCCGTCGCTGCATTTGCCAGGTCTCAAGTCGCACAACGGCCGCATCTTGAAGCCTTTCCAGAGCAAACAGCGAGGGGAGCGCGAGCGCGACTTCTACGAGCGCGTGTTCGTATCAGAGAAGGACCCGCCAGAGTTCGCAGCGCTGAGGCAATTTCTACCAGAGTATCATGGGACGGTGGTGGTCCGTGAAGTGGAGGACGCCCAAGAGGTCAATGGACTGCACCCTGGACGTACGTGGCTGGAGTTGAGGGCCGCGCGATTTACTGCGTAAGCTTATGCGCTGAGTTTGCTGCTGTATGCAGATTATTTGGCCCTGGAAGACTTGACGTGGGGGAGGCAGTGGCCGTGCATCATGGACGTCAAGATGGGCACCCGGTCGTACGAAGACGACGCGTCGGCCGAGAAGATCGCTTATGAGAAGTCCAAGTTCCCGTTGCAGGAGACGGTTGGCTTCCGTATTCAGGGCATTAAGGTCTTCGACCCGAAGAAGAGGGGCTACATTGAGTTCGACAAGCACTTTGGTCGCGGTATCGCCTCCGTGGACGAGCTTGTTCCAGCCTTCCGAAACTACTTCCCGCAGGAAGACACGGCCAAGACCGTCAAGCTGCTGGAAGCGGTACGTTTAGCTGCGGGGTGTTGTAGCGAGACTTGACGTGGTGCTGCAGTATTAACGCTCCTTTGCTTGCTGCTACTTCAGTTTCTGCATCGCCTTGATCAGCTGAAGTCGTGGTTCGACGACCAGCAAGGGACGGAGTTCATCGCCAGCTCCTTCCTGTTCCTGTACGACGGCGAGGCCGGACCAGAATCGCACGCAGCCGACATCCGCCTCATCGACTTCGCCCACGCCACGACACCAGCTCCCCCTCAGCGAGACGAGGGGCTGCGAACGGGCATCGCCACGCTGATCCGGTGCTTCCAGACGTTGCTGCGTGAAGCTCAGGGCCAGCACTAAAATTGACATGGGTCACGCATCTAAGTCGATGACAAATCGCACAGACAGATGCCAGGATCTCCCAGGGCGAACGAACACCTTGACGGCACATGTAGCAGCATGGTCTAGAGTAGTTGAAGTGGAATCGAAAGCCGTGGAAAAAACCGTTTTCGAGAAAAAAATATAGAATTGGTCGGCTACAGGCTGCTCAGCAGCGTCCATTTCGACTTCTTCAAGATCTCCTCCAGTAGCCCAGTATGCGTCCGCAGAGCAGCAGCCGCGACAACCAGCGGGACTCGAGCGACTACCGGTCGGAGCTCACGCGGCTGCTGCAGGTCTACGAGCCGGGTAACGAGGCGTCGGCCGCGCAATTGCTGGAGACCTACGCGGGCATGGAGCACGAGCTCGTCGAGTGCTACCGCCACTACTACGCGGGCAAGGGCAGCTTCCGCGTGGCGCTGGACGACAACCAGGAGGCCGGTTCGCCGCGGGTCTCGTCCCCCGGGCCGCTGCACCTGCCCACGTCGGCCATTGGGACCTACCTGCAGGCCAAGCTGCAGTCGAGACGGGGCGGCGCGGCCCGCAACGCCAAGCTGGAAGACGTCCGGGGCCCCACGGCCGCTGTAGCAATAGACAGCCCCAGTCGACGACGCCCCGCGGCCGTAGCGCCCCGACGACGAGCCACCAGCTTCACCGCCAGGCTGCAGCACGAAGCGGGGGACCTCAGCAGCAGCAGCAGCTACGAAGACGACGAGGACGAGGCCGCGCTGCTCGCGCGACGAGCGTCCACGCCGACGGAGTACAGTCGGAGCAGCTCGTAGCTTGTGACTCCGTAACTATTAGAGCCGAAATGTTAGCTTGTGCAATGTGACCTAGAGCTGTCCACTTCAGACGTGCCAGCACTTTGCGTTGCGTCCTCTGGAACTCGTGAGCCCCTGCTCCGCCCCAAGAGAAGGGCGAGGTGATGACGCCGGCAGGCTTTTGCACCATGAAGACACCAAGATGTGGCCGTGCCGCTGTACACGCGATCGAACACAAGGACAAGAGCACCTACAGTTGCGCGGACACCTGAGGTCGACGCGCTTCAGGTCGGAAGACAAAACGCGGTTAAGTGGATAATGCTCGTTCTTGCTCATTGCTTCCTTTAGCTTGGTGTCAAAACTGGTTGGGAGGGAAGCTACGTTCCCAAATCCGACGGCACGAAAACACTTCTCTGCCGCTTCCTCGACTGCGAGGAGCTCCGATCCATAGCGGGTTGTTTCTATCTCTATTACTGCCTTGCAGCGCAGTGCAGTCAGAATCCGGTCGCTTCGCACTTGGTCCGTCGTCACCTTCGTCTCATATCGCGCGACTCTCGAGAAGCAGACGCGTCCAGCGACTGCACAGCGGCGTCGCTGGACTTATAACATCTGCATCTGCTGCTGCTGCAGGTTGTGCATCTGGTGCTGCGGGTACCCGTTGGCCGAGTAATACATCATGTTGGGCTGCTGCTGCTGTTGCTGCTGCTGGGACGCAGACTGTTCACTGGATGCGGGGGCCTGGGCGGACTGCTGAGTGTAGTATCCACGCGGAGCCTGCTGCTGCTGCTGACCGTAGGCCGCAGCGGCGGCGGCGGCGGAGTCTGCGGCGCTAAGGTGGTGGTGGTACTGCGTCGACTGGGCCGGGTACGGCAGGTGGTGGTTCGGCTGTTGCTGCTGTTGCTGCTGCTGCTCCTTGTTCACTTCGAAATAGTCAACCCTTCCGTCCGGGTGGTGCTGGGGCAGCTCCGGCTTGGCGGCCCAGTGCTGCGTGTACGGGTTCTTCATCTGCTCGGCGGTGCGGGGCGCGTAAGCCTGACGCTCCATGGTACCAGCGGGCTTGTACATGCTGCCGGATACGGGCGGCAGAGCGTTGTTGTCCACCGGCATGTAGTGACGCGCGGCGCCGCCAGCCTGCTGCAGGCTGATGGGCTCGTACGACCGCTGGTCGGCGTGAATCTGCAGGTACTGGCCGGCGTTCGGCGCCTCGTAGCCCTTGTAGCGCATGTCCATCTCCACTCGCTGCTGCACGTACGCGGCGCGAGAGTCCACTTGGCCGGCGATGTGTGGGTCACGCAAATCCTTGACACCCATTGCGAACGTCGGCGTAGTAATCTGTCGCATATCCATCATGTGCTGAGGAAGAGAAGCACCGGGCATGCCGGCCGTCGCGAGCTGGTCCTTGGGGAGCTTGCCCTTGGCGGCGTTGGCGTGGTAGGAGCACTTGCCCTTCTTGCGCGCGGGCTTGTTGCAGCCGGCGTGGTCGCAGCGCTTGCCGCCTCCGTGCTCGGCGCAGAAGCCTCCGCCGCGGTCGTTCTTGGTGCAGTCCGGGTGCTGGCAGAAGCGGCTGCCACCGTGGCCAGCGCAGAATCCCCCGCGCTGGGCGCCCTTGTTGCATCCTTCCTTCTCGCATCGCTGGCCACCGCCGTGGGCGCGGCAGAAACCTCCTCCCTGGCTACTCTTGGTGCATCCGGGGCTCTGGCAACGCAGGCCACCGCCGTGGGCCTTGCACAGGCCGTTGGACTGGGACGCCTTGGTGCAGCCGGGCTGCGTGCAGCGCTTGCCTCCGCCGTGGCGGATGCAGAGGCCCTGGCCCTGACTGCTGCGCTCGCAGCCGTCGACCATGCAGCGACGGCCGCCACCGTGAGCCTTGCAGAGACCCTTGGAGCGCACGCGCTTGGTGCAGCCGGGCATGGTGCAGAGGCGGTTGGACTTGAGCGACTCGTTACGGGCCGGAGCAGCCGCGGCCGCGGGCTTGGCGGCAGCGCCGTTAGCGGCTGTGGCGGGGGAGGCGGTCTGGACCTTCGTGACGCTGGTGGGGGACGTGCTGGCGGACGTGGCCTCCATCTTGGAGCGCGAGTTCGGGGCCGGGACGGGCTCGGCCTTGGGCTGCGTGGCCGGCGCGGAGCCGCTGACGGCGGCCATGGAGCTGTGCACGGCCTGGTCGTGCAGCGCGCGCTCCTGCGCGTACTGCTGGTAGGAGGCCGGGTCGTAGCTGAAGGCCTGCGCAGCGGCCGAGGAGGCCTCGAGAGCGGCGGCGGCGGCGGGATCTTGCGGCTGCATGGCGGCGGCGGCGGTGCTGCTGGACTGGGACGCCGAGGACGCGGACGTGGAGGCCATAAAACTAACTGCCCCGACTCCGGCAGAAAAAATACTTGGGGCCTTGGCGGAGACAGGCACCACGGGCGAGTACCAACGGCCTGGTAGGAAACACAATGGTAAGCGCAGGACGACCACTCACTCGGCTTGGCCCGGTTTGAAGGGCCCCCCCCTCGCGTTCTTGCACAGGAGCGGGAAAAAAGGGACAGCCGCGCGGGTAGGGGAGCAGCTGCGACCGGAATTTGAATGCGTCCGGTTGTGAGTGCCCCACTCAAAAAAGTCTCCGCCTGTTGGGCGCCGAGAAGGGCGCTCACGACGGGACGGGGCCCGCTGCCCGTTCTCTTGAGACGCGTGTCAACTGATATGGCAGTTATGCAGCGCGGGGGTCGACCCGAGAGATTCCAGCCCCAGCTCCAGCGCTGCTGCCGTCGCTGTACCCCGCCCAAAGTTAGCCGGGCTAAATGCAGGCAGCCCGGAGAAATCAATCAACCAGCCCAGCCCCCCCATCTGGGCGCCGGCCCTCCAATCGGCGGCGCGCGACGCGGTCGCAAAGGTACAACCCCGGCGCGAGCAGACGGTTTCCGATCCCTTCGCGTGTCCCAAGCCCATCCCTGCGCAGCCCGGTTTCTGGTCGGATGCGTGACGAGAGAGCAGGCGCGGGATCAACCAATGCGCGCGCCCCAAAATGCGCGCGAAGCCCGCCCATTGGCCGGATTCAAACGCAAAGGATCAGCGCCGATTTAACGGCGCCACTGTATGCTTTGCCCCGAGTCGCTCCTCGAGAACAGCAGCAACGCTCCTGCACGATGGGCTGGCCGTCCGTCGGACGGACTCCGTCCTGCACCAGCGTTTGGACGCGCCACCGCCGCCGCCGCCGCCGCCGCTGTTGAAGCAGCGCCGCATGCCTATCGCGGTGATTGCAGTTTGGCCAAGCCAAACTCGAGCCTCTACGGGGCCATTTCGGTGCCTGCATGGCCCTTCTCGGCGCGAAAAACGCTTTCGTCAATGCTGCCTGCATGCCTGTCATTGCCAGCAGCGTCCTGGCTTGGCCGACGGTCGGCCGGTGCGGACAGCTCGCGCTGCGGCGCCTTTCGTCGAGCAGCGTGGCCATTTCAACATTTCAAACGCGCGAGTTCGGCGTGGCAGGGCCAAAGGTGCAAGCGCGCCGTCACTCACGGAGAGAAGAGCCAGAGGCCGAGCCTCGACCTCGACTCGAGGCACTTGGCCGAACGAAACCGCGGCCGACGGATTAACGGCGTGCACGGGCCGGGCCGGCATTTCATTAGTGCGGCGCGACCGCATGGCCCGGCCGACATCCTGCTGTTGAGCGCCTGCCGCGTGCTGTCCGTGAGCTTCACGCCATGCGGGCACTGCCCTACGGCGCCGTAGCACCTTGCTGCAGCCCGCTGGCCTGCTGCCGGGTCATCAGCGTGCTGTGAGTGCGGCACCAACGCTCGCGGAGCTCGCTCCTGTTCGATGAGGTGACGGCGCCCCGGCTCTTTGTGTATCGCAGCACGCCTGCCTCTGGCGGATACACGTGGTTTTCGAGACCCGGGGTCGTCTCGCTCGGGCCGAGCCTCGGTGACGACGCTGTGGTGGGTGAAGGCGGCGCCAGCTCGTAGGATCGGCGATGGAGATCCGCTGGTCCGTATTGCGGCCTGCAGAGAGCGCGGAAGGCCCACCCCCGGTTAGCAATCGCCCGCCGTCGGCAGGGCGTGGCGGCGGCGGCGATCGTCGTGTGCAGGACCTGCACTGCAGGTTGCCCTCGTGCGCAGCAGCATGGGTCGAGGGCTGCTTGGGCGTGCGGTCTCCGCTGCGGCTGCCGTCATCGCGATCTTGGTGACGAGCTCCGGAATGCAAAGAAGGGCTGGCGCAGCGTGGCCAGCGTGGCGGACCTTTCCGTACTGTACGAGCGGCGTCCGCGCTCGTGCACGCGCTCGTCAATGCCGGAGGACACTTTGGTTGAGGACCTCCGCATTCGTTCGCGCGCGGCGGTGCCGCCCGCGGCCTCCCTCCATCTCCGTGGCCGCGCTCTTGTTCTGGAGCTCTGCGGAGTCTCGCCGCTCGGCTCGTGCACGGCGCCGCGGGCACCTCCGCGAGCGAAATGCTCCCTTTTCTGCTGGACGGCCATTTGGATGGCCGGGGCTCCAAGAAGAGCCTCGGCCGCCTTATGTCACCAGCGGCGTGCCGTGGCGCGGACTGAGCGTTGCGCTTCCCACTTCGGTCGGCAGCACCGCCAAAGGCACGAGCAGCAAGATGGCACGGCCGACCTCGCAGGTTGGGCCGAGTCGCAGCAGCACCGGCCCTGCCTGTGCCCCGCGATCTTGCACCAAGTTGAAGCTTGGCGGCCTCTCTGTTGCTGTATTATCAGGAACTTCATACATGTAATGCATCGTATCGACTCCCAGCATATTAGCAATACGCCCGCGTTTGCTGTAGCCTACAAGGCCCATACTGGCGCTCGTCTCCGTCGCCGCAGGTGACAAGAAGGCTGCCACGTGTAATGTGCGGGTCGTGACAGTGGGAGACCGCGAGCTGCCGCGAGGGATTAGCGCAGGGAGCACAAATGCGAAGACAACGCTGGCGACGCCAAAAAGCAAAGGAGCCTCTGCATCCTCATCTGTGCACTGGGAAAACAAAGCCCCGCGGCATATCCTGTCCTAGGTGGCGACGCCGAGGGCATGGCGCGCGATTGCAACCCTTCCGGTGGAGCGCTGTATTACAGTACATCCGTGCATGTACTTGAAACACGGTGCAATGCACGATCGAGCTGCAAGCTTCAAGGCGCTGTAGTCGTAGGCTCTGCATTCGCTGGTTCCAAACGGTGTGCATTCATGCACCACTTGGAATTTAAACCGTAAAGGAACATATACCACCTTTAGCTACCATCTTGCTCCGCTCAGTCCCCCAGCGATTGCTGCGCTCACTGAGGACAGAACCACAAGTTGCATCCACTAGCTGGGTCCTGGGTTATGGCAAACCCGTCGACTCAATCAAAAGCATTATCGCGCTAGCGTCCAGTTTTCCGCTCAGGATACCACACGAAACAAGTTAAGTCAACCTCCTCTTGAATTTGATTTTGTTTCGGTTTAGACGGCTAACTTAACTCAATGCCGCGCACTGCTGCAGCGTCGTCTACGGATCATGGTCCTGCTGGGCATGTGCCCGCGGTAGTAGCCCAAATACACGGGTGTACTCCAACCAAATACCACGAAGGCATCCGGCCAGGGAATACTTTAAGATATGCAAATGCTATAAGAAATATGCAACCCCTTCCTGGCGCTTCGTCGATTCAGCGTCCACCACCTCGACGCGTCCTACCAGCACTTGTTCACCATGTTCACCCTTGTTCTTCACTTCCGTCTCGCCCTACGTCGATCCAGCGCTCACCACTGCGCCACGCTCGTCGGAATGATATCCCACCGCCACGTTTGCATCTCTGGGCAGCATGGCCAGCTGCCTGCACTGTCTCCGCCGTCTTGAGCTTCGTTGGCACCATTACCGGTACCATGTTTTTCTTTTCCGATGTTCTTACCAGCCTTGATTGGCCTGCGGCCGGCACACCCTTCGTTTTCGACCCTGGCCACGTTGAAGAGCCATTGCTGTCATAGAGCCGCCACAATGCCAGCACGAGGAAGTCCTATCACAAGAAGCGCGACATCGAGGCGCGCCAACTGGAGGAGGAAGAGCTGAGGCTGATGGCCGCGGCCCAGCCCGTGTTGTCCATGGCGCGTCTGTACCGCTTTTCGTAAGATGTAATTTTTCACTAAAACATTTGAAATTTCCACAAACGAAATAGACTGTGCCCCAGTATGCGCTTGCAGCGCCGTCCACCCGGGCCAAACCATAGTGAGTCCAGGACAAACGCAACGGTTGGACGGTGAACCGCAATAAAAACTAGAAACAACCATGAAAGCCATATCACTTGACTTTTGCAAATCATTTTTGTCAATGTTGCACAGAAATCTGGTGAAAGCACAATATACTTATTATTGACACAATATCATATTTTACGGAAAGCTTGAAATCCCAATAATAATAATAATAATAATAATAATAATAATAATAATCCGTTATTCCGGCAATGCAAATCTATAGTTATTCTATCATAATTATTTTGTCCGAGCCCTGCTCCCGAGGATTCCTCCCAGGAAAGCCAAGGACCCGGATCCTTGGAGGCGACCCCTGAGACTTCTCCGCGACCCGTCAATTTTTGGATTCTACTGAAAACGTTGGACAACAGATGGATAAAAGATGGATAGTCGTTGGACGGCAGGTCCAACGATGTCCGTTATCGAGTTGCGTCTATCCTGTTTGGCGACTCAATAGCCGAAAGTTGGACCGCGTACACAATAATGTGTGGCAGATGTGGGTTCGCGGGTAGAAAAGCGGGATAAAGCAAGGCACCAAGCGACCCAAGCTACTGGTGAACTATCACGCGACATCACCCAAGGACCATCATGACGCTGGGTTCCGTAGCTCGACGCTGAGCGCCGTAGCTTCGCGCTGGGTGCCTTAACTTGGCGCATGTAAGGATCTCATCGTGCTGGTGGCTACACGCAGGTGCAGAAGGCCCGCCAACTCACATTCTTGACTGGCAGGGTGCAGCCAAGGTCTAGAAGACGCGCTGTGCCGTGGGTTCTCATACCAACAACACTTTTTGTCTTTCGTTCTTTTGCCAAACTAATATCTACGATTCATGCGTACCTTCAAGCTTCATGGCGGTGTGAAGTTGCACCCGCCACGTTTGCCTGAGCATTTTTCTCTTTTTAGGATGCACCGTTTTGAACGCACTATAAAACTGCTGCTGACGAGGCATGGCGAGCATTTGGACAGAGAGTTTTTGCACTTTGTCTCGTGAAAATGCAACGAACATATATGTTTCCTTTTATACGAGGCGTTGATCCAAAACCGCACCGGCCTTCGGTCACTTGCAGACCGCAGACCGCGCTCGTACTCTCAACGGGCTCGCCGTTAGGGGCGGAATCCAGGTAACTACTACATACCTACACACACTCGCTCCAAGACTGGCCGGGCGATCGAAAACTCTTCTGTCACGTCCGATAGCTGATCTCAGGGATGGTCTAGATTTAGCCCTATAGGAGCAGTATACGTTGGAGAGATACCACGACACTTGTTTAGCACATCGCAATTCTACGCAGTACCTATCTGTATCTGATTGGTAGAAAGGTAAGCCAATAGGAGGTCAGTGTAGGTACGACTCACCGTAGGTATAGTGAAACCAAGTTAAAATAGATATGCAGATGTAGGGCGGCTGTGGAGGCTTCGCGAAGCTTCCATCCGCCTGAACTGCAGGGGCGGCACTCTTAGTTCCGCACGCCCTCCCCCAAGACAGCACTTCTTCCTGTTAAACTGGTAGCACTTGTTGGTCCCAGCAACCTGACTACAAGAAGCCCATGCTGACGAACGCCCAGCTACGAGCCGAGATCGACCGGCTGAATCAAGCGATGGCAGAGCGCACGCGAGCGCCCACCAATCTGCCCAAGTTCACCGGCAAGCGGGGGGAAGACGTTCGCGAATGGCTGTTCCAGATCGAGAACGCCTGTCGCATCAACGGAATCCAAATCGAAGACGCGAGCGCGCGTCTGCCGGGTATCGCCGGGTCGGCGATGGAAAAGCCGGCCTCAGGATGGTTCCTGCACTGGTCATCGACGACGAGAAGTGAGGAGCACACGTGGGGGATTTTCCGTGAGCATGTGCTCCAACACTTCGAAGCTTCGAACTACCAGGCCGTCTTGCGAGAAAAGCTGCAGCGACTCAAGTAAACGGCGGACATCGAGACCTACAACGGCGAGTACTCTGCTCTTATCTTCCGAGTTGAGGGCATGAGTGTACTTGACCAGGTGCTAAGCTACGCAAACGGTCTCAAGCCTCGTACCCGTAGCTACGTCAAGTTCGAGAACCCAGAGACGCTGAGCGCGGCTATGGACCTGGCGATCAAGTGCGAAGTTACGCACTTTGTGGACGACGTGCGCGACCGCCAGTCCCGCCAAGACAAGAGGAAGATCTTCACTGATCAAGCTCCCAAGCAAGACAAGCCATTCAAAGGGAAACCTTTCCGCGGCAAGGGACGGTTCAAACCGAGGTCTGACTCCAAGCGTACTGAAGGCCGCACCTGCTATCACTGCAAGAAGCCTGGCCACATCAAGGCCAACTGCTTCCTCTGGAAGAAGGAGCAAGAGAAGCAGGGAAACGAGGAACCACGTCAGTGAATGAGGGTCCTGGCGTGGGCGAGAGCGTAACCGGGACACCAAAGATTGAGAATATCAGCTTGAACGTTCTGTGCGAAAACCCTCTGGTCTACAAGTCACGTCCACTGTTCTCCGTAACAGGTGAAATCAGTGTTGGTGACAAGTGTCTCGCGACACGAAGCATGTTGTTGGACTGTGGAGCCACCACGATCTACGTATCCAAGCGTTGGGTCGAGGAGCACAAGCTTCAGACAACCAAGTTCAGCGACAAGAACATTCGTGTCAAGCTGGGGGACAACCAAATTGTCGAGGCGGAGCTTGAAATTCTGCTGATAGAGATTCTGGTCTCGAGGCTGGACGACGCCTACAAGTGTGTGGCAGTCGTCTACCCGATTCCAGACGAATTCGATTGCATTCTTGGAATACCATTCTTCGAAGACATGCAACCACATATTGACTGGAGAGGTCGACGAATCGAAGGAACGAGAACGAGGACTCTGCACTGGAAGCGAACAGGGAAGACCTGTGAGCCGATCGAGGAAGGCGGACCGGTGATTACCTCCGGGCTTCGGAGATCTGTCGAGGCGAAAGGCCTGTCGGCGAAAAGACCCGATTCCTGTCGAGGTGCCGCGCTGGAAACGGATGTGAAGCTCACGGTTAAAGTTGTTGGTGACGCAGTGCAGAAGAAATCCCTAAGTGTTGTCCGCGGACGACATGATGACGCGCAAGCTGGCAAGAGTTCAGCTGGAGACGACGACGTTGCGACGTCTGAGCACGAGAGTACTGTAGTCGAGGCTGATGGAAGCAGCAGTACCAGGGGTGGAGACAACGCCGTGGAGAAGATGTTCACGATGGGAGTCGTCGACGAGAGTGGTATACAGACCAAATACACCACGCGCAAGAAGTTGCGGAAGTTCCTGAGAATCAAGACCAAGACGAGCGACGAGCCTGACTTCATGTTGGTGCTGTCGAACGAGACGATCAAGCAAGTTGCACGTTCACTGCAACACCGAGATCAGCCCGACAACGTTGGGAGTGCGAAAGCACAACGCTATCTGGAGACAGACTGGGACACCTTCCGAGAGAATCCAGCTTTCAATCTTCTCATGGAGTATAAGGACAACGTGTTTCGTCCAGAACTACCCGAAGGTTTACCAGAGAAGCGTGACATCGAACACCGGATCGATGTGAAGGGTCCAAATATGGCGATGTACCGGCAGCAGTGGCGACAGTCGCCGGAGCAGCAGCGTGAAATCGTGCGCTGGGTCGAAGACATGGTGAAGAAGAAGCTGATTCGACCAAGCATCAGTCCCCACGCAGCCCCAACATTCTGTGTCCGGAAACCAGTCGGCTGGAGAATTGTTCACGACTACCGGTACTTGAATTCGAACACCGTGCGTCAAAGTATCCCGATGACGAGGAAGGAAGACATCCTTGACGCCATGTCCGGTGCGTACTGGTTCTCCACGATGGACCTGATGTCCGCGTACTACCAAGTGCGCATGCGGGAAGAAGACATCAAGTTTACCGCATTCCAAGCGCCGAACGGTCTCTGGGAGTATCTCGTTCTTCCAATGGGAGTTTGCAACGCGCCAGCAACGATGCACAGATTGACATCGAAGCTCTTTCGAGACTTGAAGAAAACGAAGTCGTTCTACGATGACATCTATGTTTTCACCAAGTCACCGAAGATCGAAGACCATCTGGACGCACTGCGGAAAACACTTGACAGCTTGCGTGATAACAAGTTGTACGTCAAGCTAAGGTGCAGACCATCAAGGACTGGCCTGTACCACGGACGCAAGAAGAGCTTCACAGCTTCCTTGGCTTGACAGGTTACGTCCAGCGATTCTGTCCAGAGTACGCATCTCTGACAGCCTCCATGTTTGCGCTCTTGAAGAAGAAGAACAAGCGGAACGCCAAGATTCATCTCAGCGACGAGCAGCTGAAGAACTTCAAGGAGTTGAAGCGGCGACTGTGCAACCCGCCAGTATTGCACTTGCCGGATATCAGCAGCCCCATGCATCTGCGTACCGACGCAAGCAAGTTTGCTGTCGGTGGAGTCCTTTTTCAAGTGGTGGACGGAGTTGAGCGCCCGATAGCGTACACAAGCCGGAAGATGAAGTCGGCGGAGCTCAACTATCCGACTCAGCAGCAGGAGCTACTAGCGATCGTTCATGCGCTGGCAGCGTTTCGGATCTACTGCCTGGACAAACCACCCATCGTCGAGACAGATCACAAAAGTCTCGAAGGACTGTTCACCCAGAAGATGGCCAACCGTCGACTCGCTCGCTGGTACGACATCCTTGCGGAATACCAACCGACGTTCTCGTACCTTCCCGGTGCGAAGAATGGCATCGCAGACGCGTTAAGTCGAAGGTCAGACTTACAACCGGAGACGAAGTTCTTCCACGACTTACGGGTGACCAGCTTCGACGACACATCCTTCGGCCTCGCGATCAGCGAAGTAACGGGTGACTCGGAGCTGATTACGCGCATCAAGAAAGCGTACAAGAAAGATCGTGATGTCCAAGCAATCTTGACAGCAATCAAGCGACGCAAATCCGACTCATAACCAAAGCGCGAACACCAGCAGCACAAGAAATACCGCTGCTACTCCGAAGCGAACGGGTTACTGTGGTATCAAACGCCTGCAGATGACGCTCCACGGATTGTCGTGCCCAACGATGTGAAGTTGCGACAGACAATTATCAGCGAGTGTCACGACACCAACTACGGAGGCCATCCCGGTGCGGAACGTACGTACTTGACACTGGCGCGCCATTGGTACTGGTCAAAGATGTTGAAGTCCATCCAGAAGTTTGTCGCCGACTGCGAGCCTTGTCGGAGGGACAAGCCGCGGTTGACGAAACCTCCTGGGTTGCTCGAGCCACTCAGTATTCCAGACGAGCGTTGGAGATCCATCTCCATGGACTTCATCACTGATCTGCCGCGAACGGAGCGGGGCGTCGACTCTATCTGGGTCGTCGTCGATCGGTTGACCAAGCGGTGTCATTTCGTGCCAACCACCTTGCTCCGTTCGAAGCCGATCTGGGCTACATTCCGCTGAATCCACTTCAACTTGCATCCGAGCAACTTGAGAGTGTCCCCAAGAGTCGCCGCGGAGCAGAGTTTCACGAGCGACAGGCGGCGATTCTCTTACGCTGGCGCGAAGCGTTAGCTCAGGCCCAAGAACGGATGCGCGACGTCTACGACCGAAACCGTGTTGAGCAGATCTTCGAAGTTGGTGACAGGGTATACTTGAGCACGCAGAATCTGAACCCGAAGCACTCCGGCTTGCCCAACTCCACCAAGTTCGGACCCAAGTGGATTGGACCGTACACCATGGTGCGGAAGATTCATAACCACGCGTACGAGCTCAACATCCAGGCTGGCAACAAACTGCATCCCGTCTTCAACACTGCGTCATTGAAGCCGTACAAGGAGCTGACTCGCTTGTCGAGGCCAAGCGACGTAATCTTAGCGGACGGCAGCATTGGCCAGATCGTCAAGGCATTACGTGCAAAGCGAACGCGAAAACGGCGGATCCAATATCTTGTGGAGTGGGTGGGCGAGGAGAAACAAACCTGGGAACCAGTGGAGAACTTGTCGCAAGTCCCAGATCTCATCGCGGAATTTGAATCTACAAGGCGAAAGAAGCGTCGAAAACGGTGAAGCAGGATCAGCTGAAGGGGGGCTCAAAGGCCTACATGTATTCCCGTATTACATCCCCTCGTGTTGCAGAACCTGCTGCTTCATGCGCTTCTCCCGCTTTTTCTGCGTTTTCGACTTGCGCTTGCCGTGGCGACACTTGTATCCTGGTTGCAGCTCCACTTGCGCCATCCATTTCACGTGCTGAATCTACTGCTGGTAACTCAGAGGAAGAACGTCCACCGGCGGGTTCTTGCGGGCATTGAAATTGTCAAGAGCCAGAAGTTGCTTCTCCGGACCATGGTTAACCACGACAAAGCAGTGCCCGACATCATTGCGGCCAGCGCTGACGACGTAAACACCGGGTGCTTGTTTGCGGCAAACACCTTGGAGCGTCGTGATGTTGGCACTTGACTCTGGAAGAGCGTTTCGGAGAAGGACGTCGTAGTTCAGTGACACACTCTTGCGCTGCAGAACTTTGAAGAACTCCGTCACGTCGTCGCGAGACACACCGTACTAGGTCGCGTGTCTTCACACGCATCCCACATCTCCATTGTGACTAGATCCGGCTGTCCGAGATAGTACAAGGCCGAGCGGAAAGCATCCATGAAACAAGTACCAGCCTCCGACGCGGAATCACGCTCCGAGTACCGATAACAGAAGGTGCGCTTGTCTCCCGATTCCTTCCAAGCGTCCACCATCCTCACCATGTAGCGCGTCGACGGTTTGTCGAGCTGCTCCATCCAGACCCAGCTTAGCTGTAGCGGATTGCCTTCCCATTCCACCAAGTAGCAACGGTGCGGAGCCTTGCCCCTGACATCCAAGGCACGGACGATGTCAACTTCAGTGTTGTAATCCCAAGGCTTCTTCGGGTTGTAGTGGTTCTTGCGGTTGTTCGACGGGTGCTTTTTGGGCGCCGGAGGAAGCGGCATCGGATGCCACGTCGAAGTCTCGTCACCGCGACGCAAGCGCGAGCGATCAACCTGAGGCAGGCCTTTATCGTCGTCACTATCATCGAAAAGCCTGGATTTATCTTCAGGCGAGGCCTCAAAGGTCTCCCCAAGCGCAGGCTCAACAGCTATCGCCTCCTCGACAGACAACCCTTCCACATCGAGCATGAAGATCAACTCCTGGAGGCGCGTAGGTGGAGAAAAACCACCAACCGAAGCAACAACCTCACGCGGTGCTGGCGACGCAGGCGGCGGCGCCGGGGACGCCGAGCCCGAGTCTGGAGAGCCAAGACCGGGAGAGCGACTGGTGAGCTCTAATTCTTCCCACACACGCACCATCTCTTCGTCAAGACCGGAGTTAGCATCGCTGTCTTCACCAGCAGCGGCCACAACATCGACAATCTGCGCGAGCGCGGCGGCGCATTCAGAGTCTGCCGGCGCGGCCGGCGTGGCGGCGCCAGGCGGAAGCATGGACGGACCATCGAGATTTGCGGTCGCCAGAGGCGACGCAGAGCGCGCGGAAGCAGGAGACTGCATTCCGACAGTAGTAGAAACCGCTAGCGACACAACCATCAGCCCAAGGAACCAATCCAAGCCTCCAAAAACCAGGCCGAGGCGAAGGAGAAGCGAGGTTGGACTAATTCCTCAGGCGACAGCCGGAAGCGTCGCGGTTCTCTGTCTTTTTCGGGAATGACAAGTCGGAAGGGCGCGCAGCCAGAGAAGGGGTGAGTGTATCTGATTGGTAGAAAGGTAAGCCAATAGGAGGTCAGTGTAGGTACGACTCACAGTAGGTATAGTGAAACCAAGTTAAAATTGATATGCAGATGTAGGGCGGCTGTGGAGGCTTCGCGAAGCTTCCATCCGCCTAAACTGCGGGGGCGGCACTCTTAGTTCCGCACGCCCTCCCCCAAGACAGCACTTCTTCCTGTTAAACTATCTTTGCATGTTGGGTGAGACAAAAGGGTAGTGAGCGGCGTGAAAGATGATATGGGGTGCTTAAAGTACCTTGTCAAGCTGGGTCCGTGTATTCATTACGGTCTAAGCAACCCAGCAAAGTGAGCGAGCCGAGAACGTGTGACGGGAAGCGCAAGCAGTCCGACATTGGCAGCCATAGCCCGAGAGTTTCCGCCCTGAGGGTAAACTGAATGAGGAGAGACAAGGGTGTGTGACAACCCGCAGCGAGAGTAGTTCGTGGAGTACAAGTACCTCATGGCCTGCGACTAGAGCTTGCAGGATAGAATGAGCAAGTCTTTAAAGGAATATGTCGTAATGAGGTGTTTCGTGGACCCTAAGGCCCTGTAGCCCCGGAAACCAGATACGTGGGCGCCAAGGATTACGCGTCGTAGGTAATTAGAGGCGATTATAGGGTATTGAGACGAGTGTAGTTGCTAGCTGTTACTAGCTTCTATTATAACGAGGCTAGTACAACGTTGGAGAAGATGTAGCGAGGCGGACAGTTCGTCAGGGGGAACCAGGTGGATTTTGTCAGTCATCCGTGTGTTTGAGTCCTGCGGAACGACCAACACGTGTGCTCTCCCATACACAGTTGCCTGACAACCCTATTACGCTTGACCGTAATAAGCTGAGCGTCATCAGTGCAAAACTTATTAATCGACGTCTTCTCAAAGAATAAGAAGACGTTGATTAATAAGTTTTGCACTGATGACGCTCAGCTTATTACGGTCAATACGTCGACGGGAAACAGGAGCCGGCGTTCGTAATATATGTATATATACCATACATGGTTCGATGTCTATAAGCGTTAAGAAAAGCACTACAGTAGTGTGTCGCCCTATCATAGATAGTACCCACAGTTAAAGGTGGTTTTACTTGTCCGTAGGAGACGCACGGTAAACGTTCCATTATGCATGGTTTTCGCGTACGCAGTTAGTGTATGTACTGTGCTACAGCAATTTTGGTAAATCAGAGCTCATATAACCGATATACTGGATCCGATTTGCTCGATGTTTTTGATGACATATCCATTTTGCTTTGCTTGTAGCTGCCCGACGTGTCGCTGTTACAAGCCTGATGGGGAAGTGATCCAATCAGCTATAGCAAATCTTATGCAATCGCGGATACATGCAGTTCCGTTTGTCTTTCGCGTAACGCATCGTGTAACACCGCTCGAACAGTCATTGTCTTATACATGACAACCTCGTACTTACCTGGATCTTATTTCCTTCGATACAACTCCCAATTTACTTTTGGTCCTTTTTTTGTTCTAGCCAAAACCCCGCAAAGTACATCGTATTTAAATTCACTTAAGTACGAGGTACTTAAGTGAATTTTGGTCCTAGATTCTAGAACGAAAAGCGCTGAGGATATACACGAAAGTGACTTTCGTGCATTTGCAAGGTTATTTATACTGGGATAGGAAGCAACATTAGTGCTGCTATCGCAGACCAAATAGGATTATATCCGTGGTACGTCAAGTCAAACGATGACCCCTCTTGATATCTAACTGGTATATTTTTTTGAAACCGGTACGACTCCGGTGCCGAACTGGGCCCTCCAAAAGGTTTATATGCGTGGGCAGATCCAACCGGTGTGCAACCGACGACACTGGTATGAATTAGTACATATATTCGAGCAGTTAACGAATTGAAGTAAAGAGAACGATTGAGGCGGGCTGGAATAGCACTAGAGATAAGCATTTGCATTTCCAAGTACTTCGAAGTAGAAAACTTCTACAAGTTGCAAACAGATCTCAGCCAAGGTTCGCAATTTTAAAATTTGTAAAGCGTTACAAGTTGATATCTGGCATCTACAGTCTAAAGTTCAATTTTTCCCGGGCAGATGGTGCGGCTGCGAAGCAGGCGCAGGAGATGACCGTAGCTCATTAGAAAAGTAATCGATAAAAATAAAGACTGGGCTTATACCAAGATCCTCCTATACCAGCCTTCGCGGAGCCCTAGTTACGCAAATAGCACCAAAGGCATGAGCTCGATCGTCGTGTTGCTTCTACTAAGTATTCGATTATACTCTCTTAATTACATTGATAGTCCCCGGGGATAGATGCACAGAACAGCCTTACTCGGGTTGCTACAGCCTCAAATACCACTTTGAGCGCTTATGGCGAGGTTGGAACTCATTTGAGGCACCTGCTCCAGCGCTTTGACGTGCTGAGAAAGATGTTGGCTTCCGACTAAGGCCAGCCAAGCTGAATGACTGTGCTGACGGTATGGCTTCAGCCGCAAGGGCGGATGGAGACTCATGTTAGATGGGATGGCTAGCGTGTAGGCGTTTCTCTGTCGTGCCGCTCCTACGCCGTGAACGGTCCGTCGAAGTGCGGAGCAAGCTTTTTGCTCCAAAGTTGGAAACAACACGTTTAGGCAGATTTTTAGAAGCTAACAAACCAATAAACCCTTCTTGAATTCATTTATGTTGCCCTTGCCATCTGCGCTCAACGTTTGTCGATCGACACAAGGTGCAATTGCATATTGGACAAACCGAATGACCGCTTGTCTGCGCTGCACGAATGTAATTGCGTCCGTGCTGAACTCGTTCAGCTCGCTTTCAGCAGTAGGCCCGGCCTTTGCGTTGATCTTCACGGTGTCTGTGTCCTGCACAGACCCGTATAGGTGCGCGACTAATCACGCGCCGCTTGCACAATACAGATGCTGTATTTACTATTAAGTAAGGCTACTTAGGGCACCACTACTGCGGACCTTAATTTGCTGATAAAACAGCAAATTGCTATCAATTACCGAACGGTCACTCCCAACGCACGCATCAAACTAAGATAACAAATAAATTCCCGACTCGACAGCAAATCTGCTCAATTTGCTTCCACGTTTACTGTCAGAAGCAAATCATCGGATCCGAGATTTACGGCGACTTTTTCACGTAATTGAATCAGTTATGCACTATGTTTTACCGGACAGTGGGCACAATGCTATGATCTCAATTGGTACAGAGAAATATTGGCGAAGAACGGAGATGCCGCATTCAAACCGCGGCCACACCTTCACCTCTTTGCTTCGACGCACCTCAACACTTGCAGCAGCTTAGCACCCGTCCCGCGCCCCGCCCGCCTCACGATTCAGCCACCGCTGACGAGCAGGTGCAAGAGCGAAAGAGATGCGTGTCTCCGCCTCACGCCGCGAGCAGGATCAACCAGACCAGGTAGAGGAAGCGGCAGCGGAAGCACACCGACGTCCTCGCCAGCAGCACCCGGCAGCTTAAAGAGAAAAGATCGAAACTGGAGATCAGGCGTCAAGCCACCCAGCAGGCGTCCCCGCGAACGGAACCGTGTGGATCGAGTACTGTTGAAGACAACGGGAAGGCTATGCTGCGCGGGCGAAACTAAGTTCATTGGGAAAGGCAAGGTGCTGGCCAAGGTTTGGCTAGCGATCTGCCACCTTCTATTAACCAACTGAATGAGAGCAGCCAATTTGTTTCGGGTCAATTTGCATAGGATGAGCATCTGTTAGATATGTTTTCTTCGGACGGTAGCATTTTAAGGACGCGCACTTTAGTAGGAAAAACCGTTCTCAAATGCGTCCTTAATGTTTCGTTTGTCAAGTACGGCTCGGTGAGAGCGGCGGTAGCCTGTGTAGAAGAACTCGCTCGTTTTTCCGGATGTTTGAAGGTACGATAAGGTGGGGTGTTGCTGGATCATGGTAGGCTACGCTTCCTCACCAGAGTTGCGCAAATCAACTAAAGAATCATCGTAGCTACGCTCGTTTGCAATAGCCTGCATCCGTGCTGTGCCTGGGACGGGTAGCTCTTCAGTAATTGCTGTGCGTTTGGCTTCGACCTCCACGCGGACGCAGATACACCAAGCGCTCTGGCTGCTTTAGCCCGTGACATTTTTTTTCTTTTTGGTGAGCCGGCGCTGACACTGGCATCTGAGGGGGTGACCATGCAACTGGCGGTTACGACTGCGACTAGTGAGGTGGTTCTGACCCGTGAGATTGACGCGACAAATGCTACTGGCGAGATTGGATTGTTTCTGGATGGAGGGGTTGAAGTTGCTGATGTTGCAGTAGTCGATGCAGTGGTCACCGCGACTTTACGATATTTTGTGGAGCTTGACGAATTTAATAATCTGAAGCTTGCTGAGGACAATGTGGGGGGGGGGGGGGGGAGAGGGACATAGTAGAGAGAAAGAAGTCGCCGCTTCAAGTTCGTGGTCTTTTTAAAAGACACCAGCGAAAAAAAACCAAAACCTTGTCGGGGACAGACACTTAGCGAGCGTTTTCCTGATCTCAAAACCATTTGGAACGAGACGAAGAACGGCAAGCTCGACTTTTTTGAGCCGAAGAAGGATTCCAATTGCGATCGTTCATCACCACCGCTATTACCCCGCATTATACAGTATGACTAAGGGCTATCGATGCAACATCTGCGGTTGCAAGAAAGTATGCCAAGTTGATTTTTACAACTCGATTTGGTACGTGAGGAAGGATTTTCGTCCGCAGTGGAACGAGGAGCGCAACGAGTTCATGTGGGAATGTTTTGCGAGTAGTGCCCGAGTCGTACACTGGAAATGCGAAAACATCCGCATTATGAGTGGCAAATGAGCGTCAACCAGCGTACCTCGTCGAAAATGCAAATTGTCCAAACACAGTTGTGCTGGGTGGACTTCGGCAATTCGCTTGCAGAAACCCACTCACACCTAATGAGCGAATGCGATCACCAAAAGAATGGAGATCCTCGTCTCGTAATGGCCGACAGTCACTCCAACTATTGGTGCATTTATGCAGATGTTTCTCATCGCACGTGAAAAACAATTCTGAAGAACCGCACCATGAAAAAACAACCCACTGGGTGCCAGTACTGCTGGAATCGAATGGTGTGTTCTGTCGACCAATGTAATTCATTACAGAAGGTGGTTCCTGGTCTAATTCCTGAACTTCACCCGTCTAACGCCCTCAAAATGAATGAGCTCACAGCAGGGTCCCACAAAGTTGTGAAATGAATTTGCCACAAGAAGCACACGTGGGAGGTGAGCCCAAGTAACCGTATCTGTAGTAGAACTGGGTGCCCGCAGTGCTTATACAAGTCCGAGCAGTGCGCCCTCGAAATTTCCCAGAAATTAATGCCGGGCGTGCTCTTGCTTCTTGGGCATTTGTTGTGTATTTAGCCGTACTGATCAGCTTGTCCACGGTGCCTTCAAGTTGCTCGACCCATCTATCTTAAGATGCTCGACTACGTGTGTTGCGGCGAGGCCGAGTACAGCGTCGGATAGAATGTAACTGCCACTGAGGGATGTTAACTGATTGGCCAAAACTTTTCTGGTCGATTTTGTACTTGCTCAAGATTAGTGTCAAAGTAGTGGCAAAATAAGGAGGCAGCTGTATTTTGCTAAAAATTAGTCAATAGCGCTTTGTTGAAAGCCGATCTGATAGTTTTTGGCTTGAACGACTCCCACGCCTTGATGGTTCGGTTGATTGTCTCGATGCGCTTGTCCTTGGCAGTCTTCTTCTTTGGCTTCTGACCCGGTGGAGGCGGGGGTGGCCTTTCGTCCATCCAGAGCTCTTTGAGCATGGCCTTTAAGGGGCCCATGACGCCTACGTCTAGCGGCTGGCACACCGAGGTAGCGTTTTTGGGGAGTGACTGTAGCTTACAACCCAACTCATCCGTTACAATAGCCTCTGATGCTGCCGAGACTTGGCAATCGAGATTGTCAACTAACAACACAGCGTCTTTAGTGATGTGGCAGGCAAGCAGAGATCGTAGGTAGATTTCCCACACACGGGTATCCATCCACGCTTTGGACTGTACCGCATATACGTGTCCTGCATATACTTGTCAGCATAAATTATCCGATAATGCAACAACGTAATGTAAATAAAAATAAAATTCAGAGTACCTTTTGGATAAGTCTTGAGCTCCTCCTGCTCGATGCTACCCCCGGGTTCGCCTCGAACGATGAACAACAATGGCAGCTTCAGACCGTCTGCTCTGATCGTGCACACAGCCGTTAGCCTCGCTGAGTGCTTCTTCTCGGCAGTAATGGAGGCTGGTTTCTCCTTCTCAGACAGCATCTTCGATGGGGGGCAGTCGAAATATATGCCAGTTTCATCTGTGTTGTAGCTAAGCTAGCATCAAATGACCCATAGCTCGCTTTAAACGTCTTAGCGAACTCATCACGTACGGCCATGATATCAAGCAGCTTTTCCTGCACCAATATTGCAACAACCACACGTAGTAGCGTCACAACATGCAGTTATCGATCAGTACAAGAGTATTCCTTTACAATTTAGGGGCATTGCATACATTATAATGGCAAAAATACAATGATACAGCGAATTTACCTTGAGGCCACTTGGCGTTCGCTGCACGAACCCGTGGCGATAAGCGAAGCGGCGTAGTAGACCAGTGAGTCGTACGCCGTTACGGCGTTCTTCTTGCCGTCCACGTAACCGGCAAGCCAGTCGGGGTACTGGTCGCGCACGAAGCTCGCCATGACTTTCGCGGTCAGCACCTCGCAATCCCTGCGGGTGTCCTTCATGAAGGTGACGAGCTCCGCACCAAAAGGCACCATCTCGGGGCGCCCAGGTCCTCGCGACAAGCGCTTCTCACTACCAGCGCAGCCGACGATGTCGTCCTCGGCCTTGCGCCAGTCGTTGAGTATCCAGCGCGGGACGTCCTGCTGCCGCGCTGCCTCGCGCTGGCTGAGGCACGCAGAGCCTCTCGCTTGGCTTTGAGACTGTAGCGTTTCCTCCGCTTCTTAGGGGTGGCAGCGCCTCGTGCGGCAAAAGGGTCCGGCGGCTCTACGCTATCCACGCTTAACGGGTCGTCCACGGCTGCCTCCATATTACCGACTGACAGCCTGAAAATTAGCATATGGATCGATGTATCTGATTGGTTAAATTATATAATTTTAAGCGTTTTGATTGGTTCTAAATGGCGTAGATGCTCTTACGTTGTGATTTGCACGTGGCAGTTACATTCTGTCCGACGCTGTACGGGCTCGTTCTATATTAGGAATAAGCTTGTACACATGGGCAGCGGTTCCGGGTAAGTCAGCCCCAACTGAGCTTACCGCAGCTACAAAATGGGGACAATTATCATATTTGGCTCTAAATAAGCAACCACACGGCAACGTAGAATTCGCCGCTTATTCATCTAATATATTTCCACATTACTCCGAATCACGGAAAGCGAAGTTTCTGCGCTGTAATTGTTGATGTATCGAGGTCGCCGACCAAAGGAAGCGCGGTGACTGAAAATACTTTGTATGATGCGATGGCCTTGCACAACTTCACCAGCTGGATCGAAAATTCTAAAGACTTCAGTAACACAAGTTAAAACTTAGACAAGTCGTAAGCGTGGACGCGCTCTCTGGCTATTGCTCTGGGGTTCGAGCAAACAATTTTGATCACTCTGTAATATTGCTCTAGTCGAAGTTTGACGTAACGCAACCAGACAAATGTATGAAACGCCGACCACTTGCCAAACCGAGGGTCATTCAGCCACGAAGCCATTTAAGCACCGCGTGCATGTTCTGTTGAGCCTTACGTAAGGTTTACCCCCCCCCGTTAGTTGTTGATCCTTGGGGCATTAAAAACGCTCTGCGTCACAATTTGGAATAGTGTGCCGCGAGTAGTGATTCCTAGAATAGTATGGATAGGGACGGGGGGGGGGGGAATCAGATAAATAAATAATGGTGTATATTCGATAAAACGCAGAAATACATAATGGCATATTCGTCATTACTAGCATACATTATGCATAAGTGAAATAAAACGTCTGATTGGTCAAAAATACACAAAATGATTGGCTACACAATTATTCTGCCAACGGCCTGACCTCAATAATGGTATGGTGATTCCAAGAAACCAGAATACATTAGAACTCCACTCCCGTCTATTTAGATGTGAACCAAAATTAATGGTACGGACCTTAGCACCTGATTTACGCTATTTTCCACCCTCTAGCATGACAACTAACATCGGATCGGCACAAAACATAATTCCAGACATAACCTTCGAGAGCGTTGTACTGAATGCCTTCATCCTCCCCACATTATCTCGGCTCGCTAGACCGGGGTATGACTGCCAGCGCCTCGGCGGATGCAAGCCGCCTTGTTCATTTGTTGAAATACAGGTATTGGCGTCTTGGAGAGCCACCTTATATTTTATCCCCTGCGATCACATATGGTATAAATTATTGAGAGATAGAGGTCAGGGTACTGAGTGGAGTGAGCATTTTGCGCAATTATGCTCCATACAAATATCAAGTCAGCATTTCATTTGAAAAATGGCGCCAAAATCGGTTTGGACACGGCTTACCAGCCACGGAAACGTGCACAGTTTGTGGGAAGGGTCTCATTCTGAAATCGACTCTAAGCCACACACAGCCCACCCCACGACATTCAGACCATGCCTCGGGTCCTGCTCACCATGGCTCAGCAGCTGAAGCTGTGTGATCACTACGCGAAGAATCGACGCATGAGCTGCATGGCTTTGGTCGCGTGGTCCCAGGGAGCTTTCGACTTGATTGCTATGCCTGATAAAAGCACTGTGAACAACATTTTACGGGGCGAGGCGAAGCTGCGTGGCATCACAGTCGACTACCAGGACCTACAGCGCGTGCGCCCTGCTCAAATAATGCGGTTAGAGCGTCAACTAGTCCAGTGGTTAGCCCTATATGAAGGTCGGTCAAGCCTCACTTACTAGTCAGTTATTTTTCTTGCTAGAATGGCTGCTCCTGTACTGAAAACCCCAGCGTCCAAGCTTCTCCGCTTCACTCGCGGTTGCTGGTGTAAGCACTTCTTGGCTCGCCACGGGTACCGCGTGCGCCACGCCCACGGTGAGATCCACTCGGTGGACACCTCCCCAGCAATCAAGGGCGCAATGTGTGATGTAGCGCCTTGAGCTTTCGCCCTCGACACTCCGGCAGTTCCCGGGTTGCGTTCCTAGACAGAGAATCTAGGGAACTAGAGAGAGCGAATCTCCTAGTAGATAGACGGCCCGCCCGGACGAGGGATTTATCCGGGGCCGTGAGTTCCCGGGACCTTTACTCGCTATGGGAAAGCAAGGGGTCCTGGGACTCGGTCAGTAACCTCACCTTGTGTACCCCCTTCGAATCGGTTGTTTAGATCAGAGGGAAGGTCAACCACTGAGGATCTCCTGGGAGTCCCGACCTTATGAGTACGCTGGGGTGGTAGCTATACAAACAATCGCCCGGGGACGCTACCTGGTTCCCGGGGCGGGATGGATACGCAACTAAATATACACTGGGTCTTTCGGAGCAAGACTCCCTCGGCGACGGCCGCAAGTAGTTTTCGGGGCGAGACCCCACGGGCGAAACCCGAGAAATATGAAGTGTTCTACCCGTGCCGGCCAGACCGCACTCCGGAGGAACAGATATGGAATGCCTGGGATCCCGGGGGAAACCCTGGCAAATATGATAGAGAGTTTACCTGGGATGAGTCTACGAGCGCGGTTCCCAGAGGCCGCGGCCTTTGTCCTTGTTGTCCTTGGTCGAGATCGACTTGCGCACTTGAGGGGAAAAGATAGACTGAATTATTGCTCCGCCCGGCAGGTGGCCGCCGGGCGTGCTTAAGCATACGAGTATCTCGGGATCTGCTACATATTGGGTTTCACTATACCAGGGTCGTGCTGTCGCCATGCTCCAGCTTCCGGGAACTTCGTCTTGGTCTTGAGTATACTCGGGTCCCCGGGGGGAACCCGGTCCCGGGCCCGCGGGTCTGGGGCAGTTGGGTGCAGTTTCCGGGAACGGTACCGTAGGTGCGCAGTTTAGTGCCGGGACCACACCGTGGTCTCCCGGGTAAAGTCCGAAAGTGTACCGGGTCTAAACGGGAGCCCACTATGCCACCACCGCCCCATTTGTGTCCGTTGGCGCTGAGATGCTTCGAATCGTCTCCGGGCAGAAATCATGTGGGCGACTCCCGACCAGGCGAGGGCAGCACGGGATCTGCTGCACGTGCCGGTATCTCCCGCCGCTGGCCACTTCCAGATTCACCGCGTGCCGTTGATACATCCACTTTGCGGCCGACATGGCTTCCAGTACCGAGTCTCCACAGCAGTCACGCGGGCAAACACCGCGCTCAAGCTCGCCGCCAAACGAAACCATTCATGCAATATCGCCAGCACCGGCGCCGGGTCCGAGTGCACCGGCTCGCGCGGCGTCTCCGCATCCGATGACTCCTGTGGATGACGGTCCGCCAGCGTCGAGCCAGGAGGCTCCGGGGCCGTTGCTTCCGTCCTGCGCCGAGCGGTCCACGTCCGTATCTCCAAGTACGGCAAGCGCTAGTCTCACTCTCGTGGGGGCTTCGCATTCGAGCGACATTGCTGCTCCAGTGCCGGCTTCACGGGCTTCGCCTTCGTCGCCGACCGGGATCCGGGATCCTGGGGCTTCGTCGACACTCTTGTCTCCGGGGTCCCCTTGCATCGCCGTCCTGGCGATCAAGCCGTTCATCGTGCGCCTCCTAGTGTCGACGGCGCTTCGACGGTAGTCTCGGGGGATCTATTGTCTGGTGGCGGGCTGTGTCTTGCTTCACGTCGGGCTACCGCGCCGCCTCCTGCTCCGAGTCCCGAACGCCAGGTGGCCAGTGTCCCCGGGTCTTCTCCGGATCCAGCATCATCTCCAAGCTCCAGTGAAAGGGTGTCCGCCAGCGGGGCCCTGGCCAGCGTCACTTCGGTGTCGATCGCGACCACACGCGGGACACCCGCCCCTCTCTCCCTGGACGGCTCCTCGGGCCCGGGGCCATTGGCACCTGTCCTTCACGCGGGTGTTTCTCCATCCGTGGCCCAGAGCGTCGGTCGAGAGATTACGCGAGCACACCTGGTGGGGTCGGGTTCCTCCGCACTGCCCTCCAGCGACCAGCAACTTCGGCAGGCATTCTTGGCCCCGCCACGGGGACTCGCTTCGTCTGCAGTGGGTGGAGCTATCCACATCGCTCCGCGCGATGCGGACAAGTCGGCACTCAGTACGCTTCTGGGACTTCCGCCTTCACGTAGAACACTCCCCACCGGAGAGGTGGCGCATGCTCGCTTGGGTGTCAGCGTGGGAGAGCCTCCGTCGACGCCTCCCATCGCGTACGTGCCACTCACTGCTGTCGATGTCCGGGGCCTGGTGGCCGATCGTTCGGGTGCTGCGCGGATCCGGGACATCGAGGGTATCGCTCACTTGGCCGTACGGGTGCCAGGGATCACGGCACACGAACTCCAGACGCTAGCGGAGCTGCTTCCTCCTGGCGACGAGACAGCCGGCAACATCCTGATACCCAGCAGGTTGATCGGAGCATCTGACACCATGGCTCCTGGTTCCCGAGGGCGAGCGGCTGAGATCCAAGCCGGACCGCTCATGGACTTGTTCGGACCTGATCACTTCGGCTTCAGAGGGCTTAACACTCATCGGTCCCTACAATTCGCGCTGCGTCGAGTCGAGGAGCTGACAGAAGTTTGCCGTCATCAAGACGCCGACGTCTCGGAAGGATTGCTTGACTTGCCGGAACCTGAATCTGGCACTACGTCGATCCCAGGAAAACCGGCGGAAGGAGGGCGCTGAGTGGCGTACGAGAGTCGCCGAACTCAGGGGCGATCTGCGAGGCGAATATAACGCACTCGTCGAGAGAACCAGACTCATCTTGCAAGCTGAACATGACGATCTGCGGCGAGCCTAGGAGCAGTTGGTCTTGGCTGAGGTGGACAGCTCCAAAGCGCGTCGAGATCTGGCCGTCCTTGCCGCTGAGCAGGGGCAACTCGAGCAGGACGTCGCGCGGCTCCGACGCGAGAACACTCGACTCGAAGCAGAGAACCGCGAGTTCCGGGGCCGACGCACCTTGTTGGACGCGATGTCATTCATGCACTACCTCCGGGGTCAAGGACCCTGGGGATTAGTCGGTGACTGGGAATCTTTTCGCGATGTCGTCGGGGCTTTTGAGCGGGGGCAGCCGGTGCCGTGCCAGGTCTCCGTGTCGGTTACTCGACTGGATGGTGGCGGTTCAGGGGCGCCGTTCCCGGAGCCCTCGACTCCCTCGACTCCTTCAGTTCCTGATCGTGGTCTCGCGCAGGACCGGCCCGCACCTGGTGACGAACTGCCACGTCCAGCCCTGGGCCGCTTGCCTCGGGACCAAGGCCCATCCAGGGACGACGTTACTAAGGATCGACAGGGCCGTGACGTGCCCGGGATTCTGGTCTACATCCGGGGTCTTGGGGCCGATGGGTCCAGCGTCTCTGGGGCACGGGATCATTCGACTGCCTCTTCCTCGGCTACCACGGCGCCGGTACCAGGCGTCGTCAGTCGCGAGGTTCGGTCGGGAGTCACTGGGGGACATCTCGTCGAGGGATTGCTATCAAGTCCGGGAGCGTAGACAGCACTCGGTAGTCCGGTATGTCTTCTGCCCTACGTACCGGGATCTCGAGAGCCGCTTCCAGGGACATAGAGGTTGTTGAGATCGCCGATGACTCGGACTTGGACACCGACGTGGGTCTCGACTCCTCGGGGACCCGGATGTCAAGCGATGGGTCTTGCCAGGTCAGACCAGTTGGGTACGCCCCTGAAACCAATCGACGAAGTGCTTGTTACCGCGCCATCGACTCGGATGCCGACCCTCCTCGACCTGACTCCGAAATCCAACGCCTGCTCCCTTCCGGGTGTGCCCTCGAAGATGTTCGTCTCGATCTGCTGGAGTTCATGCGCATGGACCCTGAGCGGAGGGACCTCCAACAGTCCCAGGGCATCGTTCGGGGAGTCCGGGCGGATGGTATGTTGATACACACGATGCTCCGGGAAAACGTACTGATCGAGGTGCTGCGTCGACTGCTCTGCCTCGGGATCCTGGACGACGTGTGGTGGACCCGTCATGTCCCTGAAAAAAACTTTGAGGCCGCAGTGGTTCTGGCTAACGCGTCTCGCTGGGAGGTCGATGCGAGTCGCCCCTGGCCGGCGATACCCACGGAGCGCTTGGACTCGCCGACGCCTTCCAATTCAGAGTCGGACGCCTCAGTCACTGATGAAAGACGACATGGTGGGGCCTCACGATCACGGAAGAGAGTTCTGGGCTCGTCCGGCCTGGTCAGGATATGGTTCCAGCAACTCCAGCGTCCAAACGAGGGCGCTCAGGCGCACATCGACGTGAAACTCGTCCCGCACAAGGAAACCAAGAGGGGCAACTGGCTCGGGCTCGAGAACAAGCTCTAGGCTCCCGTGACGTCGAACTACCGGAACCAGGAGCACCGTCGTGGATCGTGTATGGCGTGCGTGTGACGCGGGCGAACGTTCGCCACGGCGGGCTACAGTCACTGGGGTTCCCGGATTACCAGTGCCTCCGAGGAAGCCTTCACCTAGTCCAGAACCGACTTCTCACCGGCGACTACATCGGCCTATTGGCAGTGACGAGCACGCAGCCCTTGCTGCCTTGGGACATCATGTTCCAGCGTCGAATCACAGTCTTCTGGTTCTTCAAGCAGTATTCGGCGATGAGCCAGGGACTTCGGAGCCTTGTCATTGAGTACGTCGCACACATGCGCGAGTGGCGTCGAGCGTTCTGGGAGCGGACGCACTGGGTGGAGATCGATCGCAGCGATCCTGCCGTGTCGCAGTTGTACGCGGATCACCGTCGCCGACAACGTGCGTGGGCCGGGGCCTGGAAGGCCCTTCGTGCGCAAATCGAGAAACTCCCCGAGGTCGAGCGTGTGCTCTTCGAGCAGGAGCCCGGGCTCTGGCGTCGTCCACACTTGATCTGTACCTGGATTTTGATGGACAAGTCCGCTGACTGCCCGCTCGCGGGACAGCTCGAGCTCCTGGATTCGCGTGAGCCGGCTCGCGCCTACTGGTCCGTCCCTGATTCAAGCGCCCGGATTGCGGAGAGTGTTGACGTAGAGGTGTGGAGTGCCAGGGTTGATAACGCTGACGAGCGTGCGTCTCGCGTGATACCGGTGCCTCCTGCCATGCCTCCTGTCCCGTGATGTTCCACGTAGGGAAGTAGTCCCTCAGCGACGCCATTTATCTTCGGTAATCTTGATCTTCTTCTTCGGCCTTGTTCAATTTCCTTATCGTATACATGTACTTCCGGGGTCTCCTCAGCGAGTGATCTCAGCTGGGTCCCCAGGCATCCCAGGGGGTCGCACCTTAGTCGAACTTGGCTCCGCTCCTGGGGTTGCTCTACCGGACATTTCTGCCCGGGAGTCTTGGGTTCAAATCGAAAAATATAACATGCAAGCTTCCTGGGCACACTAGCGAGTAATCTCAGCCAATGACCCCGAAGCTTCCGGGGGACGCACCCGAGGAACTCGTGCTCGACTCGGGGTCCACGCCCCGGGGCTCTACCGGACTTCTTCATCCGGGAGCTCGTCTCCGGACTGCATAGCCTGGAAACGGACACGAGCGCTCTCTCCTTGGTCAAACTCGTACAGCAGCCGTCCACAATTCAGGCGCCCCTGGGGTATCCACTCCGGGACATCGTAGCCCTTCCACTTAATTTTGTATTCCTTGATCCGTCTGCTGGTTCGAGTTCGGGTAACCCAGCGTACGTCCAAGATGGCTTCCACTTCGTATTCACCGGCGGCTTCGTCGGGCTCCCAGCTGTCTTCGCGGAGCAGAGTAGCGTCAAAGTCATCGTCTTCAGGGATATCCAGGGTATCGGAGGGCCTCTCCGAAGAGTGGCAACCTCAGTGTCGGCAGCAGCCTTACGCCTGGATTCCTCAATCGCGTGCTTGCGCTGCGTCGACTTCTGCTGCTTGCGCTCGGAACGATTCATGTCACGCTCCGGGATCCGGGTCTTCATCACTTCCTCGAGGCTTCGGAGCCGAGCCCGCTCCTGCTCATCTCGAGCTGCCATGGCTGCTTGAAGCTCGACGATTTGACGTTGCGCTTCGCGCAGGGCGTGATGAGCCATCGTCTCCTCGTCGGTCACGTCGACTTGTCGTGCCATCGGATGTGCTGCCGCTCCATGGTCCGCTGACTTCAGCTCCTCGTCCAGCTCGTGATCGTGAAGCCTAGTGGGCAGCGGGGCGTTCGCCCCTGGCGACGGCGCTTGCGCGAAGTCCGGAGGGTATGCGGCGACCGGGACGTACACCGTAGGCTGCTCCATCGTCGGCGCAGCTTCACCACCAGTGCCCGCCGTTGCCACGAACACATTGGCTGTGGCCCCTGCGGGGCCGAAGCCCGGGGAGCCCTGGGAGCCACCGCCCGCGGACGACATGTTCTCGTCGGGAGTCAGCATGGGAGCATCTCCAGACGCCACGCTCGAGGAGCCGACCGCCTCAGGTAGAGGACCTCCCCAAAATCGAGCGCCCTCGTCGGAACCAGGCCACGACGGGATCGCCATCAGGGCGTCCGCACTGCCACGACGGCGCTTGGGCTCGGGACGGCTGCTGTCTGTCTCGGACCACTCCCGAGGGCGGATCTGAGCCACGCGAAACCTGGTCACAACAGCCATCCCCAGCAGCTCTTGCTCTTCGGACGTCAGCATCAGCGCGTCGCCATCATCTTCGACCGGAAATGCGGTTGCAGCTTCGGGGTCCAGGGCTTGGAACGGAACGTCTTCCCGTCGGACACTGAACTTGCGCCCCCGGGCGATCTGGTCCCAGGCATCTTGCTCGCTCACCAGAAGCCGTCGGAGAAGCAGTGCGTCCGAGATGAACCGCGTGTCCCGAGGCCTAAAGAACTCCGGATGCAGCGTCTGTCCCCATGAGGGCGCCAAATTCACGAAGGCGAACCCGGCGTCGGAGAGCACGGTCTGCAACATGGCGATCACCGAGACGTAGTCCCGGGAGCCATCTTCGAGCCAGAGGACGTTGAAGTCGATCAGCCGCGCTTGGTGGTCGGAGACGACGGGCAGACAGAGGCATTCGCCCCAGAAGCTCGCAACCCAAGGTCGCTCGGGGTCCCCGGACACGTTGACTTCGCGGAGGTACCGGACTGTCTCCTTTGCTTCCATCAGCCAGTTCCGCATCGGCCAGTGACGTCGCTCCAGGTAGTACGGGTCGAGGTGACATTGCTCCAGCGCCTCGGGACCTCTATCGCGCGACTTGGGCTTCGGCGTTGTTGTAGTCGGGAGAGCTGAGTCTGCGCCACGAGGGCTCCATCGTGCAGAGCTCCGCGTGCAGCGTCCAAGGCCGCCGCGACTCCGGGGTGAAGCTCAGACGTCTGCTGTGTTGTCCCCGAGGCTTGATCTCCAGGGTGTTCCCACGGCACCAGCGCTCCTGCATCGGGTGCGGCAGCTGGGCTTGCCGGCGCTTGCGCGCTAGCGTGGGTGGTGAGTGTCCTCACCGGGTTTGTGTCTGCATCCCCGGAGGAAGCAGGTGGGGCCGCCGTCCGTGGGCCGGAAATCGCCAGCGCGCTCGTCCCGCGGCATTCAGCGCGGCTCGGTCGTCGTCCATCCGCGATCCGGCGTCGACAGCACTTCCGGAGCTTGGATGCATCGTCAAGCTCGACGGGGCTGGAGGTTCTTCGGTCGGGGCAGGAAGAGCCAAGCGGCGCGATTCTGGAGCTTCAAGGCGCGGGCGTCCTCCGCGTCCAGCTCGGCCTCTCGCACTGCCGCGAGAGGCGGTGCCCCGGATTCCCCGGGGCGATAGCGTATCTGTAGGTTCTGTAGACATAGTGAGAGATGTGATAAGTGGTTAAGCAACACCCTGATCCGGGCACGCGCACCAGTTGTGATGTAGCGCCTTGAGCTTTCGCCCTCGACACTCCGCCAGTTCCCGGGTTGCGTTCCTAGACAGAGAATCTAGGGAACTAGAGAGAGCGAATCTCCTAGTAGATAGACGGCCCGCCCGGACGAGGGATTTATCCGGGGCCGTGAGTTCCCGGGACCTTTACTCGCTATGGGAAAGCAAGGGGTCCTGGGACTCGGTCAGTAACCTCACCTTGTGTACCCCCTTCGAATCGGTTGTTTAGATCAGAGGGAAGGTCAACCACTGAGGATCTCCTGGGAGTCCCGACCTTATGAGTACGCTGGGGTGGTAGCTATACAAACAATCGCCCGGGGACGCTACCTGGTTCCCGGGGCGGGATGGATACGCAACTAAATATACACTGGGTCTTTCGGAGCAAGACTCCCTCGGCGACGGCCGCAAGTAGTTTTCGGGGCGAGACCCCACGGGCGAAACCCGAGAAATATGAAGTGTTCTACCCGTGCCGGCCAGACCGCACTCCGGAGGAACAGATATGGAATGCCTGGGATCCCGGGGGAAACCCTGGCAAATATGATAGAGAGTTTACCTGGGATGAGTCTACGAGCGCGGTTCCCAGAGGCCGCGGCCTTTGTCCTTGTTGTCCTTGGTCGAGATCGACTTGCGCACTTGAGGGGAAAAGATAGACTGAATTATTGCTCCGCCCGGCAGGTGGCCGCCGGGCGTGCTTAAGCATACGAGTATCTCGGGATCTGCTACATATTGGGTTTCACTATACCAGGGTCGTGCTGTCGCCATGCTCCAGCTTCCGGGAACTTCGTCTTGGTCTTGAGTATACTCGGGTCCCCGGGGGGAACCCGGTCCCGGGCCCGCGGGTCTGGGGCAGTTGGGTGCAGTTTCCGGGAACGGTACCGTAGGTGCGCAGTTTAGTGCCGGGACCACACCGTGGTCTCCCGGGTAAAGTCCGAAAGTGTACCGGGTCTAAACGGGAGCCCACTATGCCACAGAAGGCGTTAAGGGTGAAGATCGCCAAGTACGACTTGAACAACGTCTTCAATGTCAACGAGGCTGTGTACTTCTGCAACGCTGTGTCAAGGGTTTCGGTCTGGTTCGGGGTTGCACCTGCGCTCAAGGTGAACAAGGCGCACATGACGTTCGAGGTAGGCTCGAACGTCACCGCAACGGAAAAACTACGGCCTGGTGCTAGGGCAGTCCAAGAACCCACGTTGGTTGCCGGAGAATCCGGAGGACATGGACTACCTCGGCACCAGCAAAGGCTGGATGACGACCAAGGTGTTCCGGAACTGGCTCGTCGCGCTGACCAAGATGATGAAGGCTGCCGACCGCATGATCCTGCTGCTGTACAACAATGCGTCAGTGCACAAGGAGCAGGAGGAAGAGCTGGCGCACGTGGAGATCGCCAGGCTGCCGGCGAACACCACGGCGCTGCTGCAGCCGATGGATTAAGGATAAATTGCGTGAATCAAGGCGTGTATTCTGTAGAATCGAGCGGCCGCTCCTATGTTAAAGGTACGGTGCTCCGTGGACGACAACGAGGGCGCCTACGCGATCGATACGGTGGAAGCCTTGCAGTGGCTTGGTGATGCACGGACCGCGATGCCAAAAGAAGTGCTGGATAACTGCTGGAGACACACAGGGTTGCTATCAGATCGAGTTATGCATGTGGACCACATCCTCAATTAAATCAATACATTGTCGCCTTGTTGCATTCACTCTGACCTATTAAATTGTAACCCCCCCAAAGCTGAATATATCAGGTGGCTCTCCAAGACGCTAATATCTGTAGCGTTTTGTCGTGTGTTCATTCACGGGGTCAGTTTGTCGATGTAATTGTGAAAATGTATACAACACTCGGGCAGCATTACTGTTCACGGCTAGCTTTAACTTATTGGCTTCAGTGTCCCTATTAGCTAAACCGGCCTCATTTCATGTGAGTTATGTCAGGTTGATGACGTGAAGCGCCTGAACCGTTGCATCGAATTTCCCTCTTTCACTAACACAAATGGTGGATAAATGCGGTTTACCAGGTTCAGATCGCCTCCGATATAGAAATAGATGGAATAGCTGCGGCTATCACGAAGGCAGATACTTAGGGGCTTGCATTATATGGCTTCGTGCTAAATGCAACACCTCATTTCTGAAAGGTGATATCCTGAAATTTTGTCGAACTATTACCTTTCGCTTTGGTGCTACCAGCCTTAGCTGTACTAAATCGCATGGAAAATCGATTACAAGGTCTCGTGATAACATTCACTATATCTTTAATCTCTACGAAGACCAACGAAGATTTACGCGTGGAAAAACCATTACTTTTTGGAGTGATGTGAGCCAAGCTGCTCGATCTTTATTGCGGACACTGATTATGTCTGCCGAAGTTTGCTACCGCTGCAGGCAGATAGTGGTGATGTTTTTTTCCCTTCGAATTCGTGTTCGGATTATGCGTGGGCCGCGAGAATGGTATTGACATAATCCGCCCTAAGAAGGTGTGACTATTTCTGAGGAAACTTGGCCAAATTCAAAGTTCGGATTCATGAAAGCCTAGATTGAAATGGCCAATCTGGATGGAAATGTTTCCTATACGATCTTATCGATTTAGTATGCCACCGCAAACACAACTCTTGTCGGTCTTAACGATCGGGTCGTCGGTATCATCGGAGAGCACTGCAGCTTTTCAAGGTAGCGCTTATTCTAAAGGTGTTATTATCTACCACATTGTAACCTTTCTGTGCCTGTCTCTTGATCCGTCCGGACGCATTTTGCACTGCGCTCAGCTTTTGTTTCGTTTTGCACCAGGTCGGCGCTTTAGCGTTCCGCTTTTGGGTTGCTTTGACGCGATGAATTCAGAAGGTTGCTGCCAAAGTATTAGTTTTTGCTAGGACCAGCCGCGTCGTGGTGCATACCGTTTATCCGAGACATGAGTTTTGTAACGGTCGGTTGGCACGACTTGAAATTATCCGCACACTACAGAAGTCGCTGCAACAACTATACTAAACCCCGCGGCATAAATATCCTTTTTTAATGCAAATGCGGCATCTTTAACTCGCAAACGGCTGTTGATGCGACTCACGCCTTTGCCAATGTACCCCGCATCCGTCGTGGGGCCTACTTATTCGCGGTTTCAAACTGAAGACATTTACCGCTGTTTGATAACTGCATTTCTCGAAGGAGGCCTTGGCTACGAAATTCACGTAGCTTACGCATTAGCAGCCTCGGCAATGCAGCTGTTTGCTGTGCCGCTTGTGCCCCTCTCCCGGGAGTAATATGTGATTGACATGATGACGGACGGAATGCCTCCGGAATGGGCGTTACGTTGAATATACCCGGAGCTTGCAGTACTGTTGTTCAAAGACAACAAAACCCGAAAAGGTTGTTTGCTTTCCGTACGTTAGCGCTAATCTGGCTGCGGGAAATATTTTTCCCATGCCCCCCAACGGGAATTTTGCAAGCCCGCTAGATTAATTGCATGCCACCACAGTTATACTCAAAATGTTTAATGTAGGTGGCAGTCTAACAACGACAATATAGTTTTGAGGCTGTCAGTGTTGGCAAAACCAAAACGTGTGCGGTTACTGGACAGGCTTTGTGCGATGCGCACAACACGTCTTCGAGAAGCTGACGATATCGACATCGCCTACAAGCGAATGCGGACCTCGTATGAGAACGTCATCCAAGTGATGAGTTCTCTACACCAGGAAATCGCTGCTCAAGACAACCATATTGCCGACCTTGGGTCGGCACTACTGGTTCAACCCGCCCCCAACCAATCCATCCCAGATGCTATCGAGATATCCGACAAGAGCGATGAAGATGGCAACGCCGACTCGCGCAATCGCAGACGGCACGCAGGAAGGTGGTGATATACTGGCCAGACAGCGATTCAAGCGACACAAGCGACTATGTTGCCGCGGTCACCGACACCGAAAAATCGGAAGGTGAAGAGGGCAAAGAAGAGGAAGATGACTACGAACGGTTCGGCGATGGGGGAGGCAGCGACGCGAGCACCGCTGAAGATAGCGACGCTGAAAGTGATAGCCTCATGGATGATCAATCAGATGCCTCTGACGCTAGTAATGCCGAGCTACATGATTGGCTGACGTGGCTTCAACGTCGCGTTATCGACACGACGATTATGAGCCAGATGGATCTGTGGATTTCCCTTTTGACTTGACATACCTTAGTGCCTGATGCGCTTGTACAGTTAGTTTCAGCCCAGATACTTTTTTTTAAATAAAGATTCCGGATTTTTTCGGTTAAATTCGTTTTTCTTTTTCTTGCGTGCGGGTACAGTGATAGGAGTTTTGTAACCAACGTAATGAAAATCTAGTGTGTTTATGAGAAAACAGAAACGTCGTAGTATGGCGTGAAAGTTGCATGTGTTCCTAGGCTCACTTCTCGATTTGCCTCGACCAGCACACAATCAATCTTCTGAGGTCTACACAACTCCTTTCACGTCCAGGCAGGCTCCACCTTCATCACAACATTGGGGCCACACCCTGGGCGCTTAACATGAACCTGGACAGCCCATTTTGTAGCCTCGGTAGAAGCTATGAGGACGTATCCTCTAGCGAAAGTCAAGCCTACAGCGGTGACATTGTCCCGTCAAGCCACAGTCGACACCTAAGCTCTGGCGGCACCACCATGCTGCGACCCGCATCGGTACCTCGAACGAAAATGCGCGTATTGAGATACACCAGCAACGGTTTCGCATTGTATTCGAAGCCACGGTTCTAGCAATGCCACGAAGGCACTCTCTTCAGATCGATGGACCATGCAGAACCAATTGCAACAGCATTCCGCAACGTTTGGTCGGATATCCGGTTGTTAAACTGTTGACCACATCTTAATCGGAAATTCAGAGAGAAGGTGAGGCTTCTGAACGATGGCCAACTGTACGATGACATCATCAAACAGCAGTTAGATCAGCTGGAGTCGGCTAGATCAGAAGAACGATCCTTCGCATTGGCAGCGATCGTCGTGAAATTGAAGGAGCCTCGGTCATCAAGCATATGCTGACTGGTTTGAAGAATAGTGCCAGTCTGATCCATGGAATTTGTGGTCTATCACCGCTAGTGTAACGCCGGGGGTTGTGCCGAATCAAAATCCAATTGAAGCTCACCATAGCGCCGTTAAGAAAACTGCAGCGGGACCTGTCCGAGCTGCGATACCTCCCGTTGTGGCAGCAACTCTACCCAAAACTCCCATTCACTGCGGGCGTGATGGCAACGTGGATCCTATTCGCGCATTTAATGAAGGTCCTACCGACGCGAAAATTTACACACTGGCTTCAGCGCTGTGTAAGCTGGCGAATCATTTTCCAATACACAAAGGGATGTCCAGACGCGCTATTTCTCAGAAAAAGCGGTACTATTTCAACCCCGACTACTATCTCGTGAATGATGAAAACTTGTACGGGGGTCGCCATACGAAGGCAAGAACGACCACGTACGCCAAATCACTAGGCGGTGAGCTAAACAAATCTGAAATCGTACACAATATCCAGCTACGGTACCAAAGCTTACACGCGGTGGACATCTTGTGCGGCACGGATATTAAACACGATTGGGCAAGCGCTGTCTGGACGATTGATGAGGTAAGACTCCTTGTTGTGTCCAATATGTTTTTGCACTAAGTCTAGCTGTGGTGATATCCCTTGTAAATGTAGATTGGAAATCTGCGACCCAAGCTCTGTTGTGACTGCAAGAATTTCAGACAAAGCGGGTGGTTGTGCGGGCATGTCGTGGCGTGTATTTATATCGTCGACACTTTAGACTTCTTATCATGCTGAAAAGCCTACCGGTTTGCCGAACGCCAGGAAGTCCACGGAAGGAAAAAAAACAATGCCTTGGACGCGAAGAGTTAAGCTCTGGCGCATATACTGTCGATGCACTGATCAAACGCCTGATCGAGCGGCCCGTGAGTGTCATTAACTGGGGTGTGATTCGCACATGGCCAACTGAGGATTCCGACGGCGACATTAAAGAGCCCGACTATGTAGGCGTAACTCAGCCATCCTGCATGAAGAATGGAGCCAGATACTGGGACGTTCACTTCGACAAACGAAAAGAAACCGTGACGATGGTTGCCGAAGCGCTGGATCCTACAATTAACTACGCACAGTGTATGGGCCACCACATCCTTCTCGCACAGTAGTTGTAAGACAACCAAATCCCGTATAGGGAGCGAAGTAGTGAGGCTAGATGTAGTGAGTGCTTTGGGTGCTGCGAATTAGGGACCTGTTAAACATTACCTCATTCGGATTTCATTAATAAAAAATATTGCATGAAATAATTTCAGCCCCCCCCGTTCATATGGAGCTTGAGGGGTGCCTGCATCATCATAGGTGTCTCGCCCGGCAAATCGATTTCTCAAGGTTCGAAGCCTAAGAACCGATAAAGTTAGCTTATGTAACTTCGACCCTCGCGTTTTGGCATTGCAGAAGTGACTATAGTTTATTTCGTAACGAATCCAACCTTCTAATAGGGATCCTCCGACGATGGTGAATGAGGGGTTAAACCACTGGAATAACTCACAGTAATTCTATTATTCCTCTATTCCTCTATTCCTATGCTTATTCTCAAGACGTGCTCAGTCTGAAGCAAAAGAGGAAGTGAGCTCGTCCTCGGGCGGCTACCATTCCTCTGCTTCATATCCTCATCGCACAAACAGTTGGTGGGCAGGCTCTCTCTGCCCTATGTCCATAGATAAGAGTTCAGAGCTGAACTCCCCTAGAACTTGCTAACAGATTAAACAGGTGTTCAGACTTTTGTCTCTCATTTGCCTATTCTTCTCTGTAACCGGCAAGTCGGCTCTTCTGCCGACTGTCCTGCTGCAAGGAGCGACTGCTCCACTCAACACTCCCACTAAGTGCTAGGGGCAAGGTTCAGATCACGAACTCCTAGCTTTTCTCTTAGTTTTATAAACTGCTTTGTGCTAGTCAGAATGTCTGCCGTCATCTCTGTTGTCGAACAGTAGGCAATCTTGAGGCGACCGAGTTCAACCAAGTCCCTCGTAAACAAGTACCGAATCTCAATGTGCTTGTTTGCCTTGTGATTCCCAGGATTCTTAACAATGCTGATGGCTGCGTTGCTATCGCACCAAACCTGCACTGGTTCCTTCTGTGGAAATCCCATTTCCCCAAGCAGATGCCACAGCCACTCAATTTCCTCCACTCCTTTGCTAAGTGCGATAAGTTCTGCTTCAACAGTCGAGAGCGATACGCTTCCCTGTTTGCTACTTCACCAGGATACGCTGGTTCCTGCCATTTGAATCACATAAGCGGAAACCGATTTGCGTTATTTTGGTTGACACGCGAAGCTCGCGTCTGTGTACACTTCGTAAGTCACATCACTCGTGTTCCCATCGAGTAACAGACCTAATGTCGACGTCCCTTTCATGTATTTGAGTACCCGCCTAGCAGCTTCCCAGTGCGTGCGGTTGTAACACGAAGAAACTTGCTTAGCTCCCTTACTGCGTTAGCAATGTCCGGTCTTGTCCCACGGACCAAATATTGGAGTGATCCAACAATGCCTCTGTAGTCAAAAGGCTGCGCAGCTATCTGCTCTGCGCTCAGCTTCGTCTCAGGCTCGAGTACGAGTCCTGGAACTTGCGGTGTCATCACTGGGGTGCTATTGACCAAGTTGAACTTACTGATCAGCTCTGCAATGTATTTGCGCTGCGAGATCATCATCGAGCGCTGAGCTCTATTGCGATGCACCTCCATTTTCAGAATGTAGTGAATGTCTCCCAGGTCCTTCATTTTGAACCGACTTGACAGCTCGGCTTTAAGCCTGTTGATGAGTCTCATGTCGCGTGACATATTGTCAGATCATATATATATATACCACGACTATCAGCCATTCATCTCCCACTTTTTGTACATAGATACATGTTGTGGTTTAGAATAAGTACCAACATTTGACATACCGATCGGAGTTTCTAATCTCGGATAGAAACAGATGCATGCAGTACAAGAACTTGATTTTCGTAAGGTATAATAAGGATAAGTGAGTTTACTGAGCGGCATATCGACCACTGCACAACACTTATCATCTGTGTAGCTGCCGAAATGCCGACAACGGCACCTCGAGCAGCGGTAGATAGATGTCGTCGTCCTCCTCCTCGTCGTAGACTGCCACCACCACGAGCGCCACCACGAGCGCCACATACATGTACACGAGCGCCACCACGAGCGGCCTGAACTTGACATGTGATTTGTGGATGTCGCCTCCTCATACATAGCCGTGTGGCCACTGGTGATGTCCACTGCTCCGACATAATTGGATATCACTTGCAGGATCCTCCGACGATGGTGAATGAGGGGTTAAACCACTGGAATAACTCACAGTAATTCTATTATTCCTCTATTCCTCTATTCCTATGCTTATTCTCAAGACGTGCTCAGTCTGAAGCAAAAGAGGAAGTGAGCTCGTCCTCGGGCGGCTACCATTCCTCTGCTTCATATCCTCATCGCACAAACAGTTGGTGGGCAGGCTCTCTCTGCCCTATGTCCATAGATAAGAGTTCAGAGCTGAACTCCCCTAGAACTTGCTAACAGATTAAACAGGTGTTCAGACTTTTGTCTCTCATTTGCCTATTCTTCTCTGTAACCGGCAAGTCGGCTCTTCTGCCGACTGTCCTGCTGCAAGGAGCGACTGCTCCACTCAACACTCCCACTAAGTGCTAGGGGCAAGGTTCAGATCACGAACTCCTAGCTTTTCTCTTAGTTTTATAAACTGCTTTGTGCTAGTCAGAATGTCTGCCGTCATCTCTGTTGTCGAACAGTAGGCAATCTTGAGGCGACCGAGTTCAACCAAGTCCCTCGTAAACAAGTACCGAATCTCAATGTGCTTGTTTGCCTTGTGATTCCCAGGATTCTTAACAATGCTGATGGCTGCGTTGCTATCGCACTTCGCGACAGCATCAATTGTTGGACACACGCTGGACGCAGGGATCCAGTAGTCCATCTCGGCAGGGTTTGCAGCCCACCTCTCTATCACCGCTACGAAGTCTTCAATCGTCTCACCCGAGCGCTGGAATAGTGGCGGCTCGCGCGACTCGATCGAACGGTCGAGTTTTACCGTACCTGTATCCGCCATCATGATGCTCTCAAAGTTCCGAACACTACTCCGATTTACATTGTCGTACTTAAATTACGATATGCGAGTTGAATGATGGTGGCGTAAAAGCGAGCGGAACAAGTATTCGAGCACAGCGCCATGTAGTTTATCGTCGTCCAAGTCTTGCGCCAGAGCAAGAAGCTTTTGGAAATAGTCGGGTTTCACCGTATCTATCAGGTGTCTCATCGCCATCACCGACGTAATACACGGTCTCCAAAACAACGGACGGATATAATGATCGACGCTTGTAGGGTTTGCAACCCCCATCATTCGAATGCGGTCAATCTGCTGGTCTGAGCTGCATCCACGCGGTCTGATCAGCAATGTTGCTACATCCGAAGTGAGTTCACCCAATGCTGCTTCAATTAGAGCTCTAGAAGCAGCCACCGCCATAAAAAAATCGCGAAGGCTTCCACCGGTCACGAAATGCCGGTTGGCAGTATCGCTCTCGTCCAGCTTTGGGATCTTTCGTGCGAGGTCCTCCAAGTCGGTTTGCTTCCAGTACAGCACCAAACAGATCTACTGCTTAGAGCCACCAGCGCCCTTCTTCCGGAATTGTCCAGAGGTTGCTAGCATCGTGTACAGATTAGGCCACACTCGACGTTTGAGACACTCAATTGAGCGATTTTTTTTGCGAATACAGCGGATGCTGTCAACACGCTTAATCGCCTCTTCGACTGCCTGATATTTGTCGAACGCCTCGTGGTTGCAAACCCAGCTAGCGATGATCTTTACAAGATCAATAGTTTTTCGTCGTCGGTTGAAGAAGCGTCTCTCGTGATGGTCACACCACTTGGTACCGAGCTGTTACTCCAGCTTTTCAACTGCATAACCACCAGGGAGGCCGCATGTCCATTCGGTCCACAACTCACGAACCGATTGAATGCCTCGACTGAGTCTGTAACTGGTAATCGCAGAGGGGTCACTCGGTGTAGCTAGCTCCGGAGGCGGCTTGGGTGGCGCTGGGGGTTGTCGATTGTAAGCCATTCACGATCTTAACTTCCACAAATGCTGATCCATTCCTGAGTGGGGCAAGAACTTCCATGACATCTGCTACACTTTCACCAACCGCGTCCAAGCTATTTCGAATACCACTCAATGATGCTCTCATCTCCTGTCGAACACCATCGAGCGTCGACTTCAGCGCGGGCATGGCTTTCTTAAGCTGACGCTCGGTGGGGTCACTAACGTGGTTCATGACATTCTTCATTTCCAGCTGGAATTGTTCAAAATGATCGCTCTTGAAGATCTCATTGTTCCAAATCGGATGTCCCGGCATTTGCTCGGACAAAATGGCAGCATCCTGCAGAATTACGGTGCGCAGATACTGAAGCAGCTCGAGAAAACCACCAGCCGCGATTGACTGTTCACATTCACCTGAAGTCATCTTCGACTGCCACTCCTCCACTAACGGAAAAATACGTTTCTGAAGAGCTTGGGGAGGATCAACGCAAGTACGCGCCAGCAAATAACTACCTCTTCCTGGTTCAAGCCCGCAAGCGTTCGCATTGCTTCTCGCGGTAGCGAGGTGAGGTAACCTTTCGCCTGAGGATTCCACCTCCCTAGGCGCCGTATCTGAGCTTCACTGGCACCCCCAAGGTCTGCCATTCGGGAGCCCGATCCTCTGCCTAAATGTGTTTTGGCCCTGCTGCGTAGACCGATGTGGTCGAGTGCGTCAACAATAGCCGCTCGATGAACCTTGTACGACATTGGCTTGGTTGGGGGGGCGATGACGGACGTGGCAGCTTTCCTAACTCAAAAGTAAGATTTATGTGGAATTACTCAGAAATCAGTGAAGTATACTCGCAACTAAGTAGCACCCCGAAACTATAAGGCATTGCACTACCATGAGGACGCGTGCAAGACGTTTATTGGATGAGCACGTTCGTCAATTTAGTAGTAATATGACCAACTTCGATGGAGCTGTGCGGGGTAGCCCCCTGACGAGGGAGGGGGCTGAAGCCCCCTCATTTTGGGCCTAGCTCTGGCCCTGCCGGGATGAAGAACTTGATGCACGTGGGCGTCTGCAGAGTGTAATGACAGGGAGTTTCTATCCATTTAGAGGCTCCCGTTAGAAATGGCTACATGAACTTCAAGATCAGGAGAGAGGCAAACAGTAGCACTGCTCGAGGGTCTTCGCGCACGAGGTCTCTCAGCCTTCTGTATGCCCAAGTCATACTTGCGTTGCTCTTATTAGATTAGCTTCATAGCAATTGCACCCCAGCACTTCATGCGCAACTCTACCTCTGTTGGACCCACAGATAAATACTCAACACTGATCGCCTATTTGTGCTGATCAGTGATCAGCCGTGAAGACAGTTCGTTCACTGGGAAGCCTGTAGAAAGAAAAAGGAGCTTTCGCATTGACCAGCATCAAGTTGGTGATCACTGATCACCAACTGATCATCAACTTGGTGCTGCTCAATGCGAAAGCTGCTTTCTTCTTTCTACAGACTTCCCAGTGAACGAACTGTCTTCACGGCTTGCCTATTTCTTGATGCAGGCTGCCCGGGTAAAATGTACGGCTCACCACGTTTCTAACTCTTTTTTTAACGAGTAGAAACGGCGAAATGTCTCAATTAAAAAATAGAGAACTTTTGCCGTTTGTCTTTTCCCGTAGCAGTCTACGTATTTATTTAGAAACAATGTACACATTTTCCGTCCAGATTTCACAAATATCCGAAAAACATCCTCAAGCTGAAGCTACCCTCGGCCCTTAGGCTGAGAGAATTTGCATCATGTATACGCTTCAACGTCTCGTCTTGACGAGCACTTGCCACAAGGGCGACCTCGGTGGTGAGAATTATGGGGTTGTTCTTGTCCTGTTGGGGACGTCCTTGTAAAATTGAACGTCGCCGAACATTTCGATTACATTTCCCAGAAAAGCAACACGAGTTGAGCTGCCCAACTTGAGCATGGCCCGAGTCCGACAGTCCCTCTCGAACAAAACTTTGGTAGACCTCAGGTCACGCGCTGCTTAGCACATCTATTTTTTGTTTTTGTAAAACTCCTTATAGCCCTTATAACGTATCCCTCCTGCGGCTGCAGATGCGCAGCGGCACCGACGTCTTTTACTGAGCTTAGAGAAACGAGCTTGTAGCGTTGTCATGAATAAGGCATCTAGGCCGACCTTAGTTTTGCCCAGCTTCCTACGCGTGCGATTATATTAATCTCTTAAAAAGAGATCCCTCCGCATTGTTGTTGTTGAACAGCTTGATTTAGTTGCCGACCTTCCGAGAACTCGCTCATAGCGGCTCTTTAGCTGCCTAAATCTAAGGAGTCGCCACAGGATGGCGCTGGACGGACAAGACTTGAGGTGGCTTGAGGTGCGGGCTGTTCTGCTATGCAATGGTTCACATGGCTTAGTGCTGATGTCGAATGTTGTAACGTTTGCCTTATTGCCAGTCGTATGACTACTGCCCGTGGGGAACTCACGTGTCCCGGTCGCTAGAGAGGAAGAACCCGGAGCCACAAGAGATTTACAGCTTGTCGCGGGGACTCTGGGTGCGTTTTTTGTTCTCATTCTTTCAGCGGCTACTTTCCATTTATGGGCAAAAAGTCTGCTTTTCATTTATTATTGGCTAGTTTTCATTTCGATGGTGTTATTGCATTCACTTGCATCTATTGAAAAATGTAAAACAAATGTCCGGGTTACTCGGTCCCTAGTTCGTAGCACCCGAAGTGCTCACTACGTCTAGCCTTATGTCGTCCACTTGCTATTCTGCTGAAGCTTCACGCTACCGCTGTTGTGTCGAAGATATGCATAAGCTGGAAACAATGTTGTGCCCCTTTTGGAAGGAGAAATTGATCGTCCTTGCAAGAGCTTCAACTTCCAGGACAGTCACCTCATCTTGATCCTCGTACGCGATCTCCCAGAACCGCTTTCCTCCACGAGTGAAGGGGGGCTAATCTTGTCAACATAGGTCCGCTGGGACCCCTCGCCATCCGCCTCGGCCACTGTCTTTTCGATTAGCACGCTCCAGTTGATAACACTTGCTGGCTTGTCCACAAGTCGTTTCACCATGGCATCGACGGAGTATTGGGATGTTCTCACACCATCTCGCTGGAGGCATTTGCTTTTCTTGCGCGGTCTACCGGGAGGCCTGCGAGCTGGGAGCCCTCGAAGCATGACCGTCAAATCAAGATTGTCAATGAGGTGAAGGCATGCTAGTACATGAGCACACAGCCACCCCGTCCGGTAGAAATCTTTGCAGTCACACTTGAACTTTTTTCTGATGGTGTTGATCTCCTCCAGTGACCACAACGGAGAGTTCCAGTCGTGCTCATACGGAAGTCGATCCAACACCGTCACCTTGTGCGGAGAGGTATCGAAGCTACACATTCTCCACAATTTCATCATCCTTGAGGGATCCGCTGAGCGAGCTCTTATAGATCTTTGTTCGACTTGCGTTCACCTTCAATCCATGCACATTGTCGTCCCGGACGATGTAGTATCTCTGGTTAAAGTAATACGCCTGGATGTTGCGGATTGCTCTGGGCGACTTGCGTTTGTGAGTCGGGAAGTGGTTGTCGTCGTTGCAGAGGAGTACACCAGCTTCTAGAACCTCTGCGGAAACTGGTCCAGCGGCAAAGTGCTGGATAGGCTCCGACCCGATTTCCATCGCGCATTCGACCAGATTTTCGATAGAGTCGACGCAAGCACATGCCCCGTTGAAGCCCGCAGCTGATTCACTGCAGTAGCCTTGATGCTGTGGTGGTGCGATTCAATCGGATTCTGGTTCGGAACAATTCCTGGAACATCGCTGGCCGTATAGAACCCCAGGTCACACGGCTCTGTAAGATATTCCGTGTTCAGCCACGCCAAATACTATATACAAGGCATGTAACAGCCATTTCGAATGTACAGAATGAAATAAATCCATCAGAAATGCAATGTAGCTGTCGAGAATGTAATGCATCTCCACTAAATGGAAAGTAGCCGGTGAGAGAATGAAAAAAAAGTTTTTTTTCCGGGGACGCTA